TTTACCAAAAATAGTTTACGAGATCCTTTAATTTTTTTTTTTTGTTTGTCATTCCACTGCTGGGTTTAGAATGTTAGATAGATAGATAGATAATTTATTTGCATTATTTGTAGTACACAAATAACATACATAGATACATATAAAAAGAGATACAAGAATACATCTACTCAAGAGAAACTGCAGGATGTTTTTTTTTTTTTATACAGGCAAACACTAATTACATTAGTGTTGCCATTTAACTACAATCGTAAAACTAGAGGCTGGAACGCGAAATATTTATAATTAATAATAGATTATTATAAAAACAAGACACCAGAGGGAGACTTTGTACAAAAATCGTTTGCTTGGCCACCTCTGTCCCATTCGTAATTCAACCGTAAAGCAGTTGTGTTTGCATGGCTGTGTTTCGGTTTGAGGGGTGGGATATGGCAGTGAATTTACAGGGTACAAAGGAATAATACCTGAGTCCTCAGGAATGGCAACGCATGGGGGGTATCATGGGCGAAACAGTATACTCTGTTATGTCCACGGTACTGCTCATGTCTATAGGCGACGGTTACCACTTTCTATCTGGTGGGCCGTCAGCTTGTTTGCCATTCTAAGTTGTATAAAAAAAGTGTGAAACTGAGTTTGTTATTTTGTATCGTTTTAACGGCTTTACCAATCACTGAAATTTGGTGTACACAGAATATATGAGATGGAAAATGATGTAGCTTTATATTATATAGATGGAGCATCGAATCTCAAAAACGGGTCAACTTTTTGTCAAATTAGCTGACTTGATTCGTTTTTTTACCAGTGTTCTGTATATTTACGCATACAATGTATCTGGACGTATTATTTAATAAATAAAATGTTCACTCAGTAAAAAGAGACAAAAAATATAAGACAAAATAGGTATAGGAATTATAAAGGAATCATTCATAAATATTTATCACGTAAAATTGTATGAAAAAGTTGACCTGCTTTTTTCGAAGCACTTGTATGGAGACACTCTATCTAAATAGTCTAAGGATACCATAGTCTACTTTATATCCGAGTCATGTCATGTCATGTAAAAAAAAAATGGTTCCCGCCAATTTTTTTTGACAGATAACGACTGATAAAGTGATATGTATGATGATTGACAGTCCACGACTCTTTAACTCTTCTTTGCACAATTGTTTTATTGGTGAAATAAATCAAGGTGATATAATTCATGTTCAAAATTAACCCTTAAAAGCCTGATTTTTTTAAATGAAATTAAAAAATATTATAAGTGTACCCTTTACTGTGTTTACTAATGGGGGAAAATAGTAAAAAAAAAATCAAAACGATATTTTTATATATTTATTTTGAAAAAAAAAAAATTGGTAACATGTAAACAGCCAAATATTAAAATAAAATCGATTGTAGGCGCCCAATACGATTTATAACCCCCGTGTCAAATTTGAAACTTCAAGTATTTAAGGGTTAAAAGAAAAATGGTTAAAAAAATAAATTTGACAGCTATGTTTTTTTTTTCTGCGATAGACATTAAAAAGGTGTCCAGACACGATCAACTTAAAGTGTACTTGTTCTTTTATATAATTTTTGGACGTTCAATGTTATGATGGAAATTTCCACCATTATGTAAAGAGGGGTTAATTCGATGTATATATAGATAAGCACTGATTTGTTAAGATTTTTTTTTATATATATAAATAAAATATTATAATTATGTAAATAATTAAATTCAAAATGTAAATAATTTAATTCAATGTAAAGAAAGAAGAAATAATGTTAAATGGGATATTATTATGTTAATAAATTGTATATTTTTTAATTAATTCGTCTCATTTATTCCAGTGTCCACAATAATTACTTACCGGAGGAAAGGGATTGTTAGTGATGGAGATTCAGAATCCCATTGCTAGCAATATATCCAACCAGGTCGATCTCCTCGCCGTTCCCCCTGGAAACTATCATGGTTATTTCCTGATGAATTCATCATGATGGGCTAACTGGCCTGTTTTCATTCTCATCTGTCACCCTTCACTGGTGCTCCGCCAGCGTATCCCGTTAGCGCGGACCGGATTACCATACCATTGTCACCCATCGAAAAAAAAAATTACTTACCCGACTTCAAAAAAGAGATAGTCAATTCGTTTGTATTTTTTTCCATGTTTGTTATTTCATAACTCCGTCAGCTGTAAACCGATTTGGAAGATTATTTCCTTTTCTAAACGGATATACTTTCAGATTGGTTCTGTTTTTTTTTTTTTTTTCTAAATCTGTTCTGTAGTTTAGTTTTTAAATGTAAATAACTAGTTTTGTCATAGAAGGGGTTTGTTAGGGCTTAGTTTTTTACCCGTTTTTATGTCGGGTTTTTTTTTTTGTGGGTTACAATTTCTAATAATTTAATGAATAATAATGTATATCATGGACTTTAAAAAGATGGTAATGGAACGGTAACCCCGCCTGCGCTAACGGTATACGCTGGCGGGACACCAGGGAGGGATGGAAGCAGGTCAGATAGCCCATCGTGAGTTATTCATAAAAACTAACTATGGTGAATTCCAATGGCGACCGCGTGGAGGTTTACCTGTTAGATTTTATTGCTAGAAATGAGGTTGTTAGACACTTTCTAACAATCCCTTCCCCCCCGCAATAGAGCTATTTTTTAATGGATTTATTATATATTCTTTATTGCACTAAAACATACAGTAACAACAATAAGTTAATAACAATGTTAGCAAACGCGAACTTACCTCTAAAAGAGATCTCTTCCAGTCAACCAAGTTAATGGTGGAAAGGGATTATTAGTAATGGGGTCTAACTAATCCATTGCTAACAATACACCCTATCAAGTCGATCTCCACGCGGTTCTCCCTGGAAACCATCGCGGTTAATTCTAGTGGAATTCATTACGATGGGCTAACTGACCTGTCTTTTCATTGTCACCTATCATCCTTCACTTGTGCCCCGCCAGCGTATACCGTTAGCGCAGGCGGGGTTACCATTCCATTATAATCCATGAAAAAAGCCCCATAGATCAGGGGTCGGCAACTTTTTACGTCGAATTAAAAGTACAGTTCACAAAATTTTAAATTTTTTTTTTTTATTTTTAAACAGCGACAATAAAATTTTTGCCGACAATAAATTGTACTTGCATAAATACAGTTTGATGTCTAATCCTCGTTAATCGATTAATTTAAATCTTTTTTTTTTTTAATTTTTATTTTTTTATTTTATACAATATATAATTATAATAAGATTACATTCAAATGTGATTAATAGTACTAGCAACAACGTTCACTACAGATTGCTATATAAAGAGAGAAAGTATATAAACGTGCAAATATTGACGAGATGTGGAGCTATTTTATCTATTTATTAAGTTAAATTTATAAATAACATCGACACAACCACAGCACCGGTACAAATTATACAAAGCAAACAAAAAAAAAAAAAGATATTTAAATATACACATGTATTTTATAATTTACTAATTATGTACACGCTTTACTAAATTCGTGAAAGAGGGAGGTGAATTTCACCTACAAAAAGCCGTATGTAGCTCGCAAGCCGCAGGTTGCCGACCCCTGCTACACACTTAGTATACACATAATATACTTTATAATCGAAGGTTAATCCGGGTCTGTTAGTATAAATACGTACCCCAGACCTGGACGCCCACCACTTTATATGATATATAAAGGTGACCGCGAGATGTCGCAGCTTCAGTCGACCGAGATGAGTTACAGAGCGCTGCTCGCTGTAGCGCTGTGCGGAGCGGCGTGGGCCGCCAGCGTCCCACACGCGTAAGTCCTGTTATATACCTCACTAGTCACAACATACCGCTTTGCCTGCATGTTTAGGATAAAAATACTATCCTGGTGGCCTCTTTCGTGATACACACTTACCAAGATATTAATAAGTGGCCATGGCCACACAAGGCAAACCCATTCAATACATTGGAAAGGGGGGAAAGGGATTGTTAGTAATGGAGACTGAGAATCCCATTGCTAGCAATATAACCAACCAGGTCGACCTCCTCGCGGTTCTCCCTGGAAACTATCATGGTTAATTCCTGATGAATTCATCATGATGGGCTAACTGGCCTGTTTTCATTCTCATCTATCACCCTTCACTGGTGCTCCGCCGGCGTATCCCGTTAGCGCAGGCGGGGTCACCATACCATTTTTACCCATCAAAAAAAAATACATTGAAATGAATAGGGTCTTTTTATTATCATAGGAGGGCTAAGGAATTGTTAATAATTAGGAATAACACCTGAGTCTTCAGGAATGGCAACGCATGGGGGGTATCATGGGCGAAACAGTATACTCTGTTATGTCCACGGTACTGCTCATGTCTATAGGCGACGGTTACCACTTTCCATCAGGTGGGCCGTCAGCTCGTTTGCCATTCTAAGTTGCATAAAGAAAAAATGTTTATTTAGATAAAATCTTATAGTGAAATTACACCATATTTATTTATGTATTTATCCAAAGCACAAAATACATTGTATAGAATAGAAACTACATAATAACATTACATAAATTATAAATTACATTTCATTTACAGTCAGTACAATTCAAATTGTTTTTCTTTTTTAATTATATATTAATGAGTACTTTAAAAACATAGAACATTGTTTTTCATTATTGACGGTAGACGCAGTGGATTATATGATCATTCATGCACTCTAAAGCGTTTAACTTAATAATTAATAAGAGATAAAATTTAAACAACATTATTTTCTATGTCTCAAAATCAACAAGGACAGTAGTGATGGAAACTAGAATTAAATTTACCAAGATAAGTTACATCACTAACGTAGACCAAGTAATAGTACCTATAATCTCAGAATACCTATCTATTACAATTATAAGCAACTATTTAGTCAGTGTGCGCAAGGTAAGCGAATTTTATACAATTTTTCTTCCGACTTGCTCGACGTAAATGGTCACAGTTCGGTAAATATAACATATAGACATAATATATAGCCTATGGCACTCACAAAGGATGTAGCTATCGATTGGTGAAAGAATTTTTTAAATCGGTCCAGTAGTTTCTGAGCCTATTGGTTACAAAAAAAAAAAAAAAACAAATATTTCCTCTTTATAATATTAGTGTAGATAATAAATATACATACAATTAATACACACTTTTTTTTTTTTGGATACCTATTAAAATGAGTCTTAGATAAGTAAATAGTTGCCTATCTGAGACGGTCATGACCTACAGCTTGTTTACGTTGCACGAAAGGTTACTTGCTAAGCAATTAATTTAAATTAACGATAATGCAATAATCTACATTTATGAATTATTATTATTTATCTGTGGACACACATTGTGAATGAACGCCAATTATTGAAAGCATTCAAAACAATGTTTGGCGATCTTTGGGTCGTTTCATAAATTTATTTATTTATTTATTACATCAACTGGGTGAGCTTTACTGTCTCCCAATACGCTCACCCAGGAAAGCATCAGTACAATAACATATATAAAAAAGAAATAAAAGGATATAAATAAAAGAAATAATATAAAAAAGATTTAATTAGAAATAACATTAGAGCCTAAATCTCTGAACACAAACACTCTGTGGTCATCCGACGATACTCCAGCAAGTTGATAATTAGAGAGAATATTGCTTATTATTATGCCTCATTTACTAATGACTTAACCTATAATCATTGTGCAAAAAAACATATACGAACTATGTATGGCATGGTACCTCATTCATCTAGCTGAGCGGTATTTAAAAAAAATAACTACCATTACTGTTGAGGTTTTATTTATGTTACTTTTAAAAATAGAACTTATTTTTTTTCTTTTTCTCTCATTTTTAAATATCACTATTGTTGTACTAGGGAAAAAATATAATATATCTTTATTCAGTATTTTCTATTTTATTGTTCTATCCAACGAACCCTTCACAAATTTTTTTTTCTTTTTTTGTGGCGTTCACAACCCTTCACAATTACCATCTCTTTATGTTTTCGATTTTTGTAAAACGCAACTATATGGACACACGGCAGCGTATTCAGCCAAGTTCAAAGAAAAAGGAACTGACAACGTAGCAATCAAATGTAATATTTCACACGACGTAAACCATTTCGAGCTATTTTTGACCCCCACACAACTCGAAACTTATTTAACCTACATACTTACATGAAATTTGGCACAGTTATTAAAGGATTGTCTAGCTTTTATCTATAAACCAAATGTTAAAAAAGCTATGTAGCTTTTATAGCAATATAAACAGAATGTACTCTAACTTGCGTGTAAAGAAAAAAAGTTAATTGGACAAATTGTAATAAATCCTATACATGAAAATTAGCGCCGTATGATCCGACATAAAATAGGCTACCCCTTCCTTTTTTTTATACAACTAAGAATGGCAAACAAGCTGGCGGCCCACCTAATGAAAAGTGGCAACCGTCGCCTATAGACATGAGCAGTACCATGGACATAACAGAATATACTGTTTCGTACATGCGTTTTCATTCCTGAGGACTCAGTTGTTATTTCTCTGTACCCTGTAAATTCACACCATAACCCACCCTTCAAACCGAAACACAGCCATGCAAACACAACTGCTTTACGGTTGAAACACGAATAGACCAGAGGTACCCAAGCAAACGACTTTTGTACAAAGTCTTCCTCTGGTCATCCCTTCCTTTTCCGTTTCATTGTCGTAAGAAACGATAAAAGTAGAGCGAGGGCTAGGCAGCAGTGTCCCTCTCAAAACATCTCTAAAGCCTGACTGCGGTTGCCAATCCGCCTGCTCAGCGTAGCAATTATTGGCGAAACCCACTTAAGAGGGATGCCTAAGTTCATCAGTAGACTGTTGTAGACTGATATGATGGCGATGATAAAAACTAGAAAAGTCAAATCTTCAGTTTCATTACATCCCAAGTAAAATAAATCTATTATGTAAATAATTATTATGTTATGAAACCTCTTTATATTTCGTTATTTTTATTTTCCTGTCAATGACAATAATTTGAATATTTTTCTTGATGTTCTTTCTTATGGAATTGAATTGACGTTTTAAATTTTTCTGAACTCATCATTTATTATTTTTCTTCACCTGCTTCCGTTGTAACCTAATTTTATTTTATTTATATTATTCGGATTACTCACAATCAGTTAAAATTTAAGAATTTATAATACCTATTAAGTACCAAACATGGTAGTAACGTCAAGAAACGAGAAATCGTTATACAAGTTCATTTTATAATGCTGTGTGTTCTTGTAACTTGTAAGTTTTAAGATTTTCTACCTAAAACTTAGCACCCATATAAATCTCAATTCTTTCTTCGGCGGAGTCGAAACGACGCCTATGTGTAATATTAAACTTGGTTCTCATTTTACATTTATGTTTTTGGTTATGTGATAATTTAAGCTTACTCGGTCTAAGTTACACACCACCCCTAAATGTTAAATATTTCATAAACTTAATTTAAATATTTAGTCTTTTTTTGACGCTAAAATCCCAATTTGAAAGAAAGTAATAATACCTAAATTTATTGCGATAAATGTGGTAAACAGAGATAATATACATTTTTGGGTAGCCTCTACAATCAGCTAGTTTGACACAACATTTTCATATTGATAAGGGGACAAAATTTGAAGATTGATATGAAGTATACATAAGTAATTATTGTTAAATTATTCCCTTCGTTCTAAATTAACTATCTACCTACGGGATTCGAATAATTATGTATAAAACACAGCTTTATCCTCTTTTTAAATTGAATCTTTTTAAATTTTAAATATATGTAACCTTTTTTATTTTTAAACGAACAAGGAAACGTCATAAACACATGTTTTTGACATTTCGCTACTATAATTGCAAAAACATAACGTGGAACCTATTTTATTATTTTTGGGTTATAATTTTGTAACATTTTTTTTTATATAATCCGCTTATAAGTATATAATAACAAAGACTAAAAGTAGCTTTAATAGTCGAACAACTATAAGTAAGTATAAAGTAATATTATGTAAAGGAAAAAGATTTGATTTTATGTTTGTAATGAAAAAACTCGAAAAGTACTTAACCGATTTAAAAAATTCTTGTACCTATAGAAAGCTACATTATCAGCCAGTAACATAGACAGTATTTTGTTTATTTGCCTACTAATTAACGTTTACAAAGCCGAGACGTCGCTTATATAACTACGGCAAAAATATTACGAATTCTTTGTGAAATTATTTTATTTGTGAAACACAATTTCTTATCACACTTATTATATACATATAAATAACATACAAGTCAACAAAGTTTTCACAAGTAAACAGAACATATTTAATATTAAATAGACAGAAATACCAAATGCCTTCTCAATAGTAAAATATAAATATTTATTTATTTATTTAAACTTTAATGAATAGTGAAACTATGTACATATGGCGGACTTAACACCGGACGGTGTTCTCTACCAGTCAACCGTGGGGCAAACAGAGAAATAAATAGGTGGTACATTATTAAATTTAAGAAATATAAAAATATATTCACATATTTTTTTAATGGGTGATAATGAAATAGTAACCCCACCCGCGCTTTCAGTATACACGGGCGGGGCGCCAGTAAAGGATGATAGGTGAGGATGAAGCAGGTCAGTTAGCCCATCGTGACGAATTCAACAAGAATTGTTCACGATGGTTTCCAGGCGGAACCATGTGGAGGTAGACCTATTAGGGCATATTGCTAGCAATAGGGCAATCAAACTCCGTTGCTAACAATCCCTTTCCCCCTATATTCATATACTATGTGGTCTTCCTCTTCTCCTTTTTTTGTCTTTTGTGTACCAAAACATCATTTTACTCCATTTATCTCTCTCTCTAATTGCATCCCATTTCCATTTAAGTTTTTTAACTGTGACTGTAACATCTTTAGTTTTTATATGTTTTTTAATTGTGTGTTTTTTAATTCTGCCTGATAATCTTATCCCTATCATACCTTTTTCCATGGCATTCTGGCATATATATATAATGGATATTTTGATTATATTGATCTTATTAAGTACCATCTTATTGATTTTTCTTAAATATCTCCCATGTACAGACATCATCTACTTACAATTAATAATAATATATAATATTATATCATCATCTTCGATCATCAGATCGTCCATTAACTGTCCACTGCTGAACATAGGCCTCTCCCATAAAGGGGGACTTTTACGAGTAACTACTAGTCTACTGGCAAAATTTCCCTTATGGTAGAAGCTTAACTTCAGCAGTGAACATTTGACAGCTGATATGATGCTGATGATGATATTAACACAATTTAATTCATTTGAAATAAATAGATAATTTCCCTTTAGCTCCAAAATGCAGTCCTACGATACGATAGTCATCGGGCTGGGGTCAGCCGGCGCCACTGCGGCGTCGACCCTGGCGCGCGCCGGCCGCAGGGTGCTGGCGCTGGAGGCGCAGGACCGAGTGGGGGGCAGGGTGCACACTGTGCTGTTTGGAGACGGCGTCGTGGAACTTGGCGCTGAGTGGTGAGCCTGTTATATGAATTGTAATAAAGAGATGGAGGTCCACCTGATAGAAAGATAAAGCAAATAAGCATGTCCTTAGACTGTGACCAGGTGACCATTGCTTATAGACATGCACACCTCACTATGTGGGAGGCGAAGGGGGGGGGCAGGAAGGACTAGTAGTTATGGGGTCTAATAGCCTCATTGCTAAAAATATATCCTAAGTTCAGGTCGACCTCCATACTCTTCTCAGTTCTCACTGGAAATCATCGTGGTTGATGCTTTTGGAATCCATCACGACAACTCAACTGACCTGCTTTCATCCTCACCTATCATTCCTCATTGGTGCCCCGCCAACGTCTACCGATAGCACACGCGGGGTTACCATTCCATTATCAAACATTAAAAAATACCTCACTAAGGACATCTGCCACTGCATTGACACTGCCCACCTCACCTGCTGGATTGCTAGATGCTTAGTTTCTTAATATCTACTCTTCACCATATGTCCAGGCATAGAATATACCACCTCTTCCTTTCCCGTGGGTGTCGTAAGAGACGACTAAAGGAGGGCGAGGGATGGACAGCAGCGTCCCTCTTAAAACATCTCCAAAGCCTAACCTCGGTTGCCAATTCGCCTTCCAAACGTGGCAACAACTAGCAAAACCCCCCAAGGGGAGACTTATGTTAGCAGTGGACAGTTAAAGGCATCTATCATCATTATCATATCATGATAATTGTTCAGTAAACAAAAAAAATTGTTCACTATTGACCACATAGATGGCGTTAGGTAAATATTGCATCGCGATATATATTCTAATGTTCCATTAAAATATAGTGATTTATTTTTTTGTATTAAAATTATTAATAAATCTCAGAATACTCGGTGCAGTGTTTTCATTTAACAGTGTAGTGAACAAGTGTGGTCCTTCGAGCCGGATAATGTTCAGTAAACACAAAATTAGTTCACTATTGACAACATAGATGGCGATGGTAAATATTGCATCGCGATATATATTCTAATGTTTCATTACAGTATAGTGATTTGTTTTTTTTTTGTATTATAATGATTAATAAAGCTCAAAATACTCGGTGCAGTGTATTCATTTAACAGTGTAGTGAACAATAATGATGATGATGATGCATATCTACCTTATCGGAGCGGTACCGATGTTAGAAATTAACCACAATGGTTTCCAGGGGCATTGTATTGAGGGTACAACATTGCTAGCTATTGCATATATATGGATCACCAACGCGATGGACTGACCTCATCAAAACGGCCACACGGCAGTCTATTGTGGAATACTCTCGCTCGGTTGCGAGCAGAAGTAGATGGAGGCGCATTGCGAGGACCTCAATCGCGAAGGAGGGCCTCATCGACGATCCACTATAAAGAGTGTATGACTGAAAAAACATTGCTAGTGTGATGTCAAGTAGCTCAACTTATTGATGGGTCTTAAAAAGGTACCTCTAGTGGTTTTTATCAAGGCTGACCTCACGAGATCATCATCCCGGTTAGGGTATGTCTTGATTACTCTTCCCAACGACCAAACACTGGGAGGAGTTTCCTCATGGCTCGAAGGACCACTTTTATGTTTATAAAATATGCTGGTTCTTGTTATACATTTTTGTTTATTAATTCTATTAATTGTAAGAGAAAATGCTGTCTGTTGACATGATGTATTATATATATATATATATTCTACAATTGTCAACATATTTAAAAATGTTCATTTTGAATAGCTAGCAATAGGAAGTAACCTCCCCTTTACTAACAATCCCTTCCCTCCTTGACTGTTAACATATCCCGGTCAGCTTTGAATGTTACTTTTCATCTCCAGGATCCACGGCACGAAGCCCAGCAGGGTGTATGACGCGGCCGTCCAGAACAATGTCACAGTACTGTCCCAACAGCTGGACATGATGCTGTTCAGGTCAGATGGGGAGCAGCCCAACAGTGCTTTGATAAATGAACTACTTGTTTTTACATTACAGGTATACTTTTTGTATTTAAATAAAGATGGCTATCTACCTTTTATTCAGCCCTTGAATAGGCTTCTACAGGATAGGGTGGGGTACTTTTTAATGGGTGAAAATGGAATAGTAACCCCACCTGCGCTATCGGTATACACTGGCGGGGCACCAGTGATAGGTGATAGATGAGGATGAAAGCAGGTCAGTTAGCCCATCGTGGTCGAATTCCACGTGAATTATCCACGATGGTTTCCAAGGGGAACTGCGTGGAGGTTGATCTGATGGGGTGCATTGCTAGCAAAGGAGCTGTTAAACCCCATTACTAACAATCCCTTTCCCCCCGGATCTATATCCTTGTTAATTATTTTTTCTTATACAGTCCCCCTTGGGTAGGGTATAGCCAGAATCGTCCCCGCTTCAAAATTAGCAATAGAGCTTTCATTTATAATTGAATACATTTCTGAGAATACATATACATCTTTTTAAAAAGGCAGGCTTACCCTGTTTTTTTTTTTTTTATTTTTATAAACAGATAATTTAGGGGGGAAAGGGATTGTTAGTAATGGAGACTGAGAATCCCATTGCTAGCAATATATCCAACCAGGTCGAGCTCCTCGCGGTTCCCCCTGGAAACTATCATGGTTAATTCCTGATGAATTCATCATGATGTGCTAACTGGCCTGTTTTCATTCTCATCTATCACTCTTCACTGGTGCTCCGCCAGCGTATCCCGTTAGCGCAGGTTGGGTCACCATACCATTTTCACCTATCAAAAAAAGACAGATAATTTATTTGCATTACTTACAGCACACAAATAACAATACAAACATACACATAATACAGACATAAACACTAAAAGTGATAAAAGAATGAAAAACAAAAAAGTTATAGTTAGAAAGGCAAACGCGCAGACGGTCCAACTAATGGAAAACGGCTACCGTCACCCATGAACACTGGCAATACGAGAGGATGTGATTATGTGTTGCCGGCCTCTTAAAAGGTTATAAGGCACGTTTTTTGTAATGCCCCATAATTTAAGCTGATGCTCCATAGACAAATGTAAGACAAATCTATCAAAATTTTTACAAATTGTTTAACTTGCAATGTTTTTTTATTTTGTTTAGGTAAAAAATTTACAAGCTGATTCAGAAAGAGCTTCTGCCAAACGATTTCACAAAAATGTTTCATGTATCTTCAGTTCTGGTGGTTATAATACAATATGGAATTTGTAAATATGATATTTTCAAAATGGCCGCCACCACAAAATGGCGGTTGGTTTATATTTGGTCAACCTTTTTAATCTAGGTATCAAATAAAAGGGCTTAAAGGCAACGATAATGTGAATAGCATCTTTTAAAATGGCCACAGCCACAAGTTGGCGGATTATTTTATTAAAGCCTGTTTTTGAAAATATTTTTAATGACTCTAATTATCCTCTTCACGTGGCCCCCTCCTGATAACCATTTATTTATATTTTTTACACTAAAAACATAAAAATATACAATGATATTTAGAGAATTCAACTAAAATGCAGTAACACAGAGGTCAAAATATACGTAAGGGTCCAAAAAGCGGCCTCATTACTAGGGCAATCTTTTGCGGACAACCTTTAGTTAAAAGAGAACAAAATGAAAGTGGATATGTGGCGCAAAATATGGTTATTTAATATTTGTTAATATGGTCAATTTCTGGTGAATTCATGACGATAAGCCAACTGATCTGTCTTCGTCCTCACCTATCATCCCTCACTGGTGCCCCGTCAGTGTATACCGATAGCACAGGCGGGGTTACTATACCATTATCATCTCATAAGAGAACTACATATGCTGCAGGTAGTGGATGAACCACCCTCCACAGCGCAACCTCTTGGCCAATATATAACTCAAAGGTAAGGCCAATTTTGTATACTTTTTTTTTAAATATTTTTATCTGCTTACTTTTCTGTATGAATTTCAATAATTATTTATTTTTGGTTAATTTTTTTTTATACAACTTAGAATGGCAAACAAACTGACGGCCCACCTGATGGAAAGTGGTAACCGTCGCCTATACACATGAGCAGTGCCATGGACATAACAGAGTATACTGTTTCGCCCATGATACCTCCCATGCGTTGCCATTCCTGAGGACTCAGGTGTTATTCCTCTGTACCGTGTAAATTCACTGCCATATCGCACCCTTCAAACCGAAACACAGCCGTGCAAATACAACTGCTTCACTGTAGAAACACGAATGGGACAGAGGTGGCCAAGCAAACTACTTTTGTACAAAGTCTCCCTCTGGTGTTCTAGGATTGAAGTTTATAAGTGTCACTGGACTCTCTAAAATGTTATCCAATATGGCTAGTTGGCCCACATTGCTGTGTCTTCCCTCCATCTTCCTATCCCATCCCTCCCCACCCCATCAAGCTCATCTAATTAGCTAATATCCTCTTGAAATTTGGAACATTTTGACCTGATACGACACTATTGTGATTGCAATGAAATAAAATTATTATCCCTACTAATTGACTTGGTACACGTTGTTTTGCATCCTACTGCCACCTACCGGGGATTGTTAGCAATGGAGTTTGACAGCTCCATTGCTAGCAATATGCCCTATTAGGTCGACCTCCACGTGGTTCCACCTGGAAACCATCGTGAACAATTCTTGTTGAATTCGTCACGATGGGCTAACTGACCTTCTTCATCCTCATCTATCATCCTTTACTGGTGCCGCGCGGGTGGAGTTGTCATTCCATTGTCATCCATTAAAAAAAAAAACTACCACCAACCGGATTTATTTTTTCCCGATATAAAAACTATCCTCGTGTTATCTCTCGAGTTAAAGCAAGCAACACACATTTGCAAAAGTTCATTAAAATCGATTGAGCGGTTTCGGAGATCAACGCGAACGGACATCGTGACACGGGGTTTTATGTGTATTTTCAGGGTGTATGACTATGTAAAAGAGAAGCATCCATCGGTCCTTTCAGACCAAGACTTCATAGACGAGTTCCTGCACTTTGTAGACCTGTACATAGACAATTACGAAGCGAGCACCAGCTGGAACGACGTCACCACCAGCAGCAAATACCAGGAACTGGAAGGCGACCAGCACATGAGCTGGCACAGGCATGGATATAAGACATTCTTTGATATTTTATTGGTAAATAATTTGATATAATTTACAATGGTAACGGAGTTGTATAATGACAAGGTCGTAAGATTAGAGGTGAGGGAATGACAAGGTCGTAAGATTAGAGGTGGAGGCATGACAAGGTCATAAGATTAGAGGTGGCGGAATAACAAGATCGTAAGATTAGAGGTGACGGAATGACAAGGTCGTAAGATTAGAGGTGGGGGAATGACAAGGTCATAAGATTAGAGGTGACGGAATGACAAAGTCGTAAGATTAGAGGTGGCGGAATGACAAGATCGTAAGATTAGAGGTGGCGGAATGACAAGGTCGTAAGATTAGAGGTGGCGGAATGACAAGGTCGTAAGATTAGAGGTGGCGGAATGACAAGGTCGTAAGATTAGAGGCGGCGGAATGACAAGGTCGTAAGATTAGAGGCGGCGGAATGATAAGGTCATAAGATTAGAAGTGGGGAAATGACAAGATCGTAAGATTAGAGGTGGGGAAATGACAAAGTCATAAGATTAGAGATGAGGGAATGACAAGGTCGTAAGATTAGAGATGAAGGAATGACAACGTCGTATGAGATAGAATGACAATAATTTTGTTTCCAGAACAAGTACAACAACGGGCCAGGGCTGCCGACACTGGACATAAAGTTGAGCACGGAGGTGACGAGGGTGGCGTGGTCGCGGGCGGCGGACGGCAACGTGACGGTGACCACCGCCGACGGCGCCACCTACACGGCCGACAACGTCATAGTCACCGTGTCGCTCGGAGTACTGAAGGAGAGGTATATATTAACTATCGTGAGTCATACTGTATTGAAGTTATTTACGTCTACTTTACGTGTTCGTTAACGATCGGGCAAATAGCGCATTTTTTTTTTATTTTTTAATGTATGATAACGTAATGGTAACCCCGCCTGCGCTATCGGTATACACTGGCGGGGCACCAGTGAGGGATAATAGGTTAGAGCGAAAAGCCATGAAAGTTAACCAATCATGATCAATACACCTGGAATTCACCACGATGGTTTCCAAGGGGGACCACGTGGAGGGGGACCTGATAGGGTATATTGCTGGCAATGGGATTGGTAGTACGTATCAGTTAGCGCTAGTCGCGCAGTGCTGCTCGCGACACAGCCGTGAACCGCGCTCATTAACAAGGGTTGCTGTTGAGTTTCGAAACTGGTCGAGCGTGCCCCCCATAATGAAAAGTATATAATTCTATCCTATAATATAAAGCGAAAGAATTTGTCTGTTTGGACGCGCTAATCTCTGAAACGAGCAGTCGGATTTGAAAACTTCTTCTTACATTTGATAGCTCATGTCTTGAAGAGGGTTATAGGTTTATTTACATCATGACACGACCACAGGCGAAGTCGGGGGATATAGCTAGTTATTCTTTATTCCTTATTGTACACAAAAGGTTATTGAAACGTGAAAACAGACATAATAGTGCACAAAGGCGAGCCTATCTCCAAAAGAGATTTAGATAGATAGATGATATGGGAAAACTGACAGTTCATTAGTAGTTTTTTTTCTAATGGGTGAAAATGGTATGGTAACCCCGCCTGCGCTATCGGTATACACTGGCGGAGCACCAGTGAACGATGATAGGTGTGGATGAAGCAGGTCAGTTAGCCCATCGTGACGAATTCGACAAGAATTAGACATGATGGTTTCCAGGCAAAACCGCGTGGAGGTCGACCTGAGAGGGTATATTGCTAGCAATGGGGGCTATTAGACCCCATTGCTAACAATCCCCTTCCCCCGTCATTAGTAGTTAGGATTTTATCTATGTTATATGTGAAATAATTTTTCGAATGAATGAGTAAAAATAAAGTGGTGTCTGCCGCGTGGTCCCGGCGTAGAATGAGCCACCCCTTTCCAGTGGGTGTCGTAAGAGGCGACTAAAGAATTTAGTGGTCGAGGGATGGGCAGCAGCATCCCTCTCAAAACATCACCAAAATCTAACTGTGCAGTTGCCAACTTGCCTGCCAAGCGTGGCAACTACTAGCAAAACCTCCTTTATGGGGGAGGCGTATGGACAGTGGAGCAGTGGACAGTTAAGCGCTGAAATGATGGATTCAACGGGAATTATTTATTTTGTTTATTTATTAATTAGTACATATATGTGTACATGGCGGACTTAATGCTAAAAGCATTCTCTCCCAGTCAACCATAGGGAAGTGGCAGAATACACGAATGCGGTACTAGTAATTATTGATATACATACATACTAAAATTACATATATAAAGGAATAAATATATATGAATAACAAATATACTTACACATATATGACATATACTATATTATACACGAAATTGAGAATAATATAAAGCACTTACTATTAGGAATTAATCATGATAGTTTATAGAACAGTGTAGAGGGTAGTTTACAGTTTAAATTTAACTTGATACCTGATTTATATTGTTATCTATACTTATAATAAATCTGTAGAGAGGTCAATTCTGTACATGAAATATATTTCCAAAATAACTATCAGCGGGTGATCAGTGATCGATACTGATGCCAAAAATGCATTCGGTAAAATTTTTGTCTATCTGTCTGTATGTTCGTTACAGAAACAAAAACCACTTGACGGATTTTAACGAAACTTGGTACAATTATTCTTCATACTCCTGGGCAGGTTATAGTATACTTTTCATCACGCTACGATCAATAGGAGCAGAGCAGTGAAGGGAAATGTTGGGGAAACGGGAGAAGTTACTCCATTTTTAAGCTTCCGTCGCGTGTGCAGTCTTAATGGGCACTTTTTAAAATGTGAAAATGTCCACCCGTGCGATGCCGGGACGGGCCGCTAGTATTATATATAAATTATGAAAAGATGTGTATTCATTTTTTGTTTGAAATTAATTACTCAAAACAATTGCTCTCTCTACGTAAAACAATTTTTAAATATTTAACCGCTTTTAAAAATTCTTTTACCAATAGAAAACTATATAAACTAAAATATATTAACTGTGGGTATTAAATTACCATAAAAAAAACCATGTGTGAAGTGGGATGGGGTTTTATTTATGCAACTTAGAATGGCAAACAAGCTGACGGCCCACCTAATAGAAAGTGGTAACCGTCGCCTATAGACACGAGCAGTACCATGGACATAACAGAGTATACTATTTCGCCCATGATACCCCCCCATGAGTTGCCATTCCTGAGGACTTAGGTGTTATTCCTCTGTACCCTGTAAATTCACGCCATATCGCACCCTTCAAACCGAAACACAGCCATGCAAACACAACTGCTTCACGGTTGAAACACGAATGCGACAGAGGTACCCAAGCAATCGACTTTTGTACAAAGTCTCCCCCTGGTAAAATAATAAATTACACCGGATCTGAAATTATCTGGTTTAAAATTGCATAGATATATTTATAAACTTTTAAATTTATATATCTCGACTCCTAGTTAAAGACAGTATGGTTACCATAATATTATTTTTTTACCAAAATGACTTTTTTTACCAAAAGAAAATATGGTACTAAAGCCGGACTCGATGCTAGTAGCATTCTCTACCAGCCAACCTTTGGGGTGAACAGTGGATCACGGACGCGGTACTACATTATTGGGATAGGTAAATAAAATAATTATTTTAAATGTATATTAAATTAAATATAATAAATCAAACATGCTGATCTTTCTATTTCCGATACTGGCCACTAAAGTATAAAATTTCTTTAAAAAAAAAAAACAACGCTAACGTTACCATAAACAATACTATAATTTTTATTATTAATATTTCTAGACACGAAACTCTATTCTCGCCACAGCTAAACGAAGAGAAAAAGACGGTCATAGACAAAATGTCTATGGGCTTGCTGGACAAAATAATTTTACACTTCCCACGAGTCTGGTGGCCGGAAAGCCAAGGATTCGGTTTCGTATGGAGTAAAGAGGACAGAAAAAGTTTAGCCGACGACGAAAAATGGTTGGATGATGTGTTGGGAATATCTACCCCTATGGGCACTTCTAAAGTGATCACACTTTGGCTCAGCGGAGAGCCGGCGATTTTGGTTAGTATATCCATGAGATAGGGTTCAAAATGGCGGTTGATAAACTACTGTTTTAGTTGAACAAAAAGACGAAAATAGTCTTGACCAATTTCAACACACCACTCTGAACTGGTAAAAACCGGTTTTTATAGTCCTTTATATAATTTTGATAGGAAAAAAAATTAAGAATACGGAAATATACATAATTTTAATAGAAAAAAATACATTTAATAGAAAAAAAAATGTAATTAAAAATAATTTGAGAAGTTTTACTTTGCCTTATTATTATACCAATAAAAAAAAGTGAACGCACGATCACAGTAAATGCAGTCTCATGCGCATATTTACACCCAAAAGCATGTTCATTGTTTGTCCAAATAAAATGTTTCAACGCAAAGGTGTTGCCATAAATTTATTATAAAGTTATTTTCAGTTACTACATTATATACATATATTCATCATCATCATCATTTCAGCCGTTAACTGTCCACTGCTGGACATAAGCCTCCCCCATAAAATCGGTGTTGCCAGTAGTTGCCACGCTTAGCAGGGTTGGCAACCGCAGTTAGGCTTTGGTGGCATTTCAAGAGGGGCGTTGCTGCCCATCCCTCGATCACTAAGTTCCCTCAGTCGCCTCTTACGACACTGTTACAGGTTACGGGTCAGATGAGACTTTTTTAAAAAATATATTTTAATACAATTTAATAATTAAAACAAATTTCTTTCACAGATAGGTATTATAAGATTATAGAAATAGTGTAACGTCTTGTCCGGTTGACGTTCAAATCCGGTCTGTCTTGTAATGTAGTGTAATGTAAAATGGACTCTCTTTTCCGCGTTAAGCCTCTCATTTGGGCCGTTGTGCGTATGAGTCGTGGCTAGTACAGCCAACCTAGCTCCGTCCAGAAGCGCAGAAGCTTCCTGGGATCTTACCAGAGGGAGACTTTGTACAAAAGTCGATTGCTTGGATACCTCTGTCGCATTCGTGTTTCTACCGTGAAGCAGTTGTGTTTGCATGGCTGTGTTTCGGTTTGAAGGGTGGGATATGACGTGAATTTACAGGGTACAGAGGAATAACATCTGAGTCCTCAGGAATGGCAACGCATGCGGGGTATCATGGGCGAAACAGTATACTCTGTTATGTCCATGGTACTGCTCATGTCTATAGTTTGCCATTCTAAGTTGTATAAAAAAAAAATATTCTATATTACTATTGCTAAAAGATTTTTTTTTAAATCCGCCAGAGTAGTTTTTAAGATTATCCATTATAAAAACACAAACATAAAATAAATCAAATCTCTCTTTCTAACATTCGTCAATATCAGCCTTCAACTGTCCACTGCTGTACATACCCCTTGAGGTGTTAAGCCAGTAGTTGCCAAACTTGGCCAGCGGATTGGCCACCGCAGTTAGGCTTTAGAGACGTTTTAAGAGGGACGCTGCTACCCATCTCTTGCCCTCCCTTAGTCGTCTCTTACGACACCCACGAGAAAGAAAGGGATGGCCTATTCTATGCCGGGACCACACGGAAACTTTATAACATTAGTAAAGACTTTTTGTTAAGAGAGGGACTGGCTGTAAATCAGCGCCGTGCAGCTGTTCACATTGCACTGGGACACTCGCAGCATCCGCTGAGCCAGTTCCTTTTGCCTGATATGAGACACTTTTTATATATTAGTGTATTTTTCTGGCAATCAATATTCTTCTTTTCTATTCTATTCTAAAGACCGTGGCTCCGTTCATGTGCTAGATCTCGACAACAACGCCACTTATCAAGATAAAGGATGCTATCCTTCATGTTAGAGCACAAGATACGTATTTGCAAAATCTCATTAAAATCGGTCGAGCGGTTTCGGAGATTAGCGTGAGCGAACATGGGATTTTTATATTTAATTTTTGCAAATGTACCCAAATCTAAAAAAAAAACTAATCGAGTAATTGCTATTCAACCGACTTCAAATAAAAGGAGGTTTTCAATTTGTTTTTTTTTTAATATTTGTTACCTCGTAACTCCGTCGGTTGTAAACCGATTTCAAAAATTCTTTTTTTATCTGAAAAAGATATACTTACACGTTGGTCCTATAGGAATTTTATCAAAATCGGTTCAGTTGCTTAATTTTTCGAGCAAAACAACTGGTTTTACCAATTAGGATCTTTTTTTTTTCAAGGGAGACAATCTTTAATTTGTTGGCATTACACTTCTAAACTTGCGTCTTCATAATCGAGGCCTAATTACAACAAAATTTACAGATATGCCACATTATTTTCACCACAACTGCCAATAGACAAAATTATCGCCATAAACAAAATATCTATGGGTGTCATGGACAAAATCATTCTATCATTCGACAAACCGTGGTGGCCTATGGACACATCATTCTTCGCGTTCATATGGAGGGGGGACGAGAGGCGGAAAGTGAGCAAGGACGATTACTGGACCACTAGAATATTCGGGGCCAGCCGTCCCATGGGCACCGGGTACGCTTTGACATTGTGGACGAGTGGAGAAACCGGCATACTGGTTAGTCATTATCATCATCATTACCATATTCTCATCATCAATCCATCAAGTCCCTTACGGGGTAGGCAGAGAGAATTGAGTGTCAGAGTCCTCTGTCCTTACATCTCTAACTTCATGCACTTAAACGCCTACCCCGTAAAATTCCTCCCTCAGCACATGGTCTACCCCTGGTCACTACAGTTTAGTCCTCTCCTCCCCCCCCCCTGCTCTCGGCCCCCTAGCATTACTCTTACACTTCTTCATGGTATATTTGTTTCATCATGGACTCATTTTTAAACCAATTCACTTTCGTCATTCTTCATAAATACCTTTATGCCCTTTGCCAATTATTTGGTGTCGACATAATTTGTTTTTTATTTTAAATAATATGTTACTCAAAATTTTGGCTTTGGTTTTACGACAAGAATAAGAAGCCTGACGTCAGCCCTCCTTGGGAATGCATTTATTGGTGATATCCACCATTTATGGTATGGGGGAAAAGATCGAAGGAAAAAGGGACGTTGGAGTCAGTAAAGTAATTTGGTAAAAAAGAATGAAGGAATTATGGGGGTAAGGGAAAGAGGAACACTGTAGTTGCGGAGGGGTTACTGGTAGAAGATGCAGTGGCTTAGAAGGGAGGCTGGGGTCGCATATCCGTATATCTTTACACGAGAACTGGATAGATCATATAAGGATTTTTAAATTGTACAGTTTTCCTTCTCCTCTTCTCACATTGGCATATTTGTGCTTTGTTCCTTTTTCTGGGAAGAAAAAGGAGTGCCGCATTGCATTATCATTCCATCATCACTTGGATGCGTGACATGACAAAGGATTGTGATAATCACATCTTTTAAATAACACTCCCATAAGTCTCCTCGTTTGAAAGCTGAGATATGGTAGTTAAATTACTGATTAATCGAGATCTTCATGTCTTAAAGTATTTAATTTGTATCTCGATATTTGATATACTTGATAGATTTTGGTATCTCATAAGCATTAATATGCATCAGGCAGGCCGTTAAAATACTAACCCAGTCATTTCTTACATCTTCCCAAATTTAAAAAAGCTATTGTTTTTTAGGTAGAGACATTGCCTGAAGATTTAGTAAAAAGGAAATGTATGGAGCTCCTGCGAAGGTTTATGGGACGTAACGTGACCATACCAGAACCCACGGCTATCTTGAGGTACTTTAAACACTGTCTAGATGAGTGTTATAGAAATATTATTGAACAATATTACCTCTCAGCGCTTTACGAACTGAAACAATCCCTATGAAATTGATGTACAATTACTATATGGAATAGACAGAAGTGCGCTACGTTTTTATCCTAGGCAGGTGGACGAAGTTGGGGGTAAAAGCTACTTATTCTAATATTTATATATTGAAAAAAAATTACAATTCATATTTAATTATTCTATTCTCTAACATTATTATTATGTATCCGTATTCTATACTCGTTTTCTATTATAAACCTTTAAAATATTACATATAATCATCTAATCTTAAACTAAGTAGGACTTTTACTAAACAGCACATGGGCATGCTTAAATAAATGTATTCTTAACACACACTTTTTCTCGTTTTAACAAACATTTTCACACTTTTTTTAATTTTACTTAAACATTTCCATCTTAAACTTATTTTACAATTTTTTTTGTTCTTGGCATCTTTACTCTTGGGAAAGAGGGTAAGTGCTAATCGATGAATCATTGTCGATGGCACATTTGTTGCTCATTTCAGATCAACCTGGCACTCGAACCCGTACACTCGAGGTAGCTACACGTACGACAATCTCATATCCCCGCAGTACCCCACAGCGAGGGAAGACCTGGCTGCACCCCTCACGGACTCCTCCGGTAGACCGAGGGTCCTCTTCGCTGGAGAGGCGACGAATCCAACCCACTTCTCGACGGTCCACGGCGCTAGCGAGACCGGCTATAGGGAAGCTATGAGGCTATTACCAAAAAGTAAAGTGTGATTTTGCCTTACGCATAGATATATTTAAATATTTTTATACCAAAAAATATAGTTATAAGATATTAAGAAAAAATGGTACTATTTTACACTAGCGAATTGACGTATTTTATTAAAATAATTATAAATACCTAAAATAACAGAAAAAAAAACGAAAAATTAATTGAAATCATGTGCATGTGACAACTTTGTAAATGACTAGCTCTTACATGCGACTTTGTCCGCGTGACCGAAGTATGTTGGCTTACCAAGACGAATGGCTATTGCCTATCTTTCCTCATACCATAAGTATAATATGCATATACCACATTTCAAAGCGATTCATTAAAACGTTATAAGTTAACAAACAAACAAAATCACTTTCACATTAGATAAATTGGTAAAGCTTCGTGCAAAAGTACGTTAGTATTTTTTTTTATTGGATGAAAATGGTATGGTAACCCCGCCTGCGCTAACGGGATACGCTGGCGGAGCACCAGTGAAGGGTGATAGGTGAGAATGAAAACAGGCCAGTTAGCCCATCATGATGCATTGATTAGGAATTAACCATGATAGTTTCCAGGGGGAACCGCGTTGGAGGTCGACCTGGTTGGGTATATTGCTAGCAATGGGATTCTCAGTCTCTATTACTAACAATCCCTTTTCCCCCCAAAAGTACATTAGTATTTAACAAGTAGACTTTATTCAACCTTGAAAAGTGTAACACTTGCTGTAACACTTATTATTTTACTATTTTTTTTTTATTATTTTTTTTTTTCTCCATCAATTCACAATGTTTATCAAACACTCAGAGGTTGACTGGAAGAGATCCCTTCTGTGTGATAAGTCCGCCATTGTATTTATTGTTTCCCTAACAACTCTGTATCATCTAACTTAAGACTTTACTGTATAATAGTCACTAACAAACAAACAAACAAACAAGCAGCATTCCCTATTTATATATTACTAGCTGACTCAGCAAACGTTGTTTTACCATATACATTATTTCGAGAACTATACATGAAAATATATCGTACTATAATTATTATATTGGATTGTCATCTTGCAACCATATTGCGGCATATAAAACTCGCGATTAAAAAACAGGGGTTGATCGTAAAACGGTGAGAATTTGAATTTGTATGTATTTTTCAATGCTAAATCATATTTAAATAAAAATTAAAAACTTTGTCAAAAAATAAAAAATATTTTTTTTTGGGGTGAGTCACCCTTATCATTGAGGGGTATGAAAAATAGATGTTGGCCGATTCTCAGACCTACCAAATATGCACACAAAATTTCATAAAAATCGGTAAAGTCGTTTCGGAGGAGTTTGGTAACAAACACCGCGACACGAGAATTTTATATATTAGATAGATTAATAGAATTCAAACAGAATTACTTTACATTTAGTTTAAGAGCTTAGTCGTTTTTGCATTTAAATGCAGAAAAAAACACCTCAAAACATCACCTTCTCATTTTGCGCAATCGGGTAGTTTTTTTTTTTTTAATTTTATACGCTATTTTGTGTACAAGTAATTACCAATTGTACGTTATTTTTATCTAAATGACTTCATATATTTTTAACTGTCTAAAAATGTATTGATGAATGAAATAAAAAAAAAAAATGTTAATGTTGTTACAATATATTGTATGTACAAAGCATTTGTTAATCAAATTTGTATATTTTGTACAGATCTTGCAAGAAAAAGAAAGTTATAAAAAAAAATTTGGTGGTATTATTTAGAAATTATACCAATTATACTAAAGTATACCAGAGGGAGACTTTGTACAAAAGTCGATTGCTTGGGTACCTCTGTCGCATTCGTGTTTCTACCGTGAAGCAGTTATGTTTGCATGGCTGTGTTACGGTGTGAAGGATGGGATATGGCGTGAATTTACAGGGTACAGAGGAATAACACCTGAGTCCGCAGGAATGGCAACGCATGAGGGGTATCATGGGCGAAACAGTATACTCTGTTATGTCCACGGTACTGTTCATGTCTATAGGCGACGGTTACCACTTTCCATCAGGTGGACCGTCAGCTTGTTTGCCATTCTAAGTTTCATAAAAAAAAAATTAAAAAACTCCCTCGAACACACAATTTATGGAATGAGCTCCCTGCCGAGGTTTTCCCAAGAGACTACAGCATGGGGTTCTTCAAAAGGGGGTAAAGAGGTTACTTCAGGGTCGGCAAGGTGTGCGTAATACCCCTGGTATTGCAGGCGTTCATAGGCTACGGTAACCACTTACTATCAGGTGCCCCGTATGCTTGATTACCACTTCAGTGGTATAAAAAAATCAATCCAAAGATGTCTACATATGACTAGCGTTTCTTTAAAAAACTGGATGACGCCTTCAAGGCGGAACTACCTTAATGCCTGGAAACCAAGTTATTTAACCATGTCTCCTGCACATACTCATTTATAGCACAGAAATATGGATGCTTCATCAAAATATACCCATTCCGTTGGGCGATCACGCATAAATGTCTAAATTCAACGTAGAATATGATATCGACATCTTTAGTAATTCTTTAGCACAGTTTACTAGGCTTATTAATAATATGGATTGGTAGTTAGGTCTTCTCTAATTGTATGTTACTTAGTATACATTGACGCTTGTCTGTGAGAGCTGTATACACCTTTAATTGATGTGTTCATATGGCCTTAAGCTTGGTAGTGAAGAGTGAGATGTTTTCGTTCAAGTAAACTTAGATTTAAGCATTTTTTAATAGTAGTTTTTCTCTTTCACTTACTAATAACATTGTATATTGTCTGCTTAATTGTTGTGAGCATATTGTTAGTGTGTCTTTTACAAATAAATAAATAAATAAGAACGAAAACCGTCCAGTGGTGGAAGTTTTTTTGATGGATGATAATGGAATGGTAACTCCGCCTACTCTATCGGTATACACTGGCGGGGCACCGGTGAGAGATGATTGGTGAGGATGAAAAGGCAGGTCATTTAGCCCATCGTGACGAATTTAACGATATATCCTTTCAACTGTGTCATGCAAAATGGTGGAAAATCCACATCTGTGGCGGCCCGTGAGCGGACTTTACACAGACTAGGTATTTTTAGCGTATAGGTTTAAAAAACCTGATTTTCTCGAAATCTAATTGGAATTATACTAAATTCAGATTAGATTTATATTCCAACTAGATTCCTTATGTAATTTTTTACACTACACTCGAATTGCATTGCAACTTTTTGAGAGCAAAAGATGAGAGGATATCATGGACGAAACAGTATATATATATTATGTCCATGGTACTGCCCATATCTATAGGCGACGGTTACCACTTTCCATCAGGTGGGCCGTCAGCTTGTTTGCCATTCTAAGTTGTATATAAAAAAAAAAGCTGCAGAAGTTTTATTACGTTTAATATGGAAAGACAAGAAGTACAGGTAAACAGACGTTGCTGTCTGTACCTCGATTATTAAGTTCCCTTAGTCGCGTCTTACGACACCCACGGGAAAGGAACGAGCACAGATGTTATTCTCAATCTATACTGAACATTAAATCTTAAAATACTAAGTAACTATACCTCCGTATCCAATTTCACTCGTAAATAATTAGCCATTTTATAACCTATAATTATTTTTTATTTTATAATGTACGCCATTTTATAAGCTGTAATTATTTTTTTTAATGAGTAGCAATAAAATTGTGAATTATACAGGCAATAAGACATGGCTTCATTAATAAATCATAATTAAAAACACCGAAACAATGTCACCTGTTTACATTGTTTGTGGTTTATTTTTTTTTTTAATAACAAAATCTTGCAGCACAAGCATTTATGTGGAAATACCAAAAAATGACACATTGAAAGAGTTACATGTAAAATATTTAAACGAGATATGCAGTAGACAGAATGTTATATGCAAAAAGAACGATACATATATATGTGCAATGAAAAAAGTTAATGAAGTTTCAAAATATAAGGATTTTAAGAACTCTTGCTATTTATTTATGAGCAATATATGCGAAAATGCTGGTAATGGTACGTTTAAATTGCAATATATAAAAATCCCATGTCATTAGGTTCGTACACGCTAATCTGCGAAACCGAGGGGGAAAGGGATTGTTAGTAATGGAGTCTAACTGGCCCATTGCCAGCATTACCACCCTATCAGGTCGACTGGAAACCATCGTGGTTAATTCTAGAGGAATTCGTCACAATATGCTAACTGACCTGCTTCATTCTCACCTATCATCCCTCACTGGTGCCCCGCCAGCGTATACCGTTAACACTGGCGAGGCTATAATTCCATTATCACCCATTAAAAAAAATCTCCGAAACCGCTCGACTGATTTTCAGACGTTTGCTCTAAACAAAATTGGACAGGAAATACTAGATGGCGTTAGAATCGAGATTTGTGGTTTTTGTTGACTGTTTGGTAATTAAAGATAATTTGAGTCATATTTTCTAAATTATGAAGTGGCATATTTGCCGCCAATATGCTATTAAAACTGTGAAGCTCCTACCCTTACCGTCCTCTACAATGCGGTATAGATTGTCAACGTTAACATGGCACGCCCTTAGAACAAGGAATGATAAAATAAAAACTGTAAATCATATGGTCGTCTCCTTTCTTCTTACACAAACATAATTAGTAAAAAGAGGACGCAAGATGCACCGTCAGTTGTCATTTTTCCCAATTCATGACAGGCTAGTGTTTAAAAAAATGTTTGACATGTCAATTATTTGTCAATGACAAATTTGACATTACTAGATTATATATTCGACACAGTTTATGTTGAAAGTATGCGAGCGGGTTGTATCTGAATTTGCAACTCCTCGACACTATATGTCCAACTATTATCGTTATGTCACAGTAACCACTTTTTAAAATGTTGTAAAAATGTCCACCCGTGCGAAGCCGGGACGGGACGCTAGTAATAATATTAGAATGAATAAATTATTAAATTTTTTTATATATTTTATTTATTTATACATATATTCCATATTTTATTATTATATTATTATTATATTATTACCATATTATATTATTACCAGAGGGAGACTTTGTACAAAAGTCGATTGCTTGGGTACCTCTGTCCCATTCGTGTTTCAACCGTGAAGCAGCTGTGTTTGTATGGCTGTGTTTCGGTTTGAAGGGTGGGATATGGCGTGAATTTACTGGGTACAGAGGAATAACACCTGAGTCCTCAGGAATGGCAACGCATGGAGGGTATCATAAGCGAGACAGTATACTCTGTTATGTCCATGGTACTGCTCATGTGTATAGGCGACGGTTACCACTTTCCACCAGGTGGACCGTCAGCTTGTTTGCCATTCTAAGTTGTATAAAAAAAAAAAAATTCTTTATTGCACATGTAAATTACATTATAAATATCGTGAGCATGGGTGGAGTTATCTGTGACAGAGATCTCCTCCGGCTAACCCGATATATTTTTTATTTTTGCAGAATATTTTATTGTAAGAAGCGGAACCTGTAAGGAGTACTTGAATTCACGTAGAAATGTAATACAAAAGGGACATAACACGTTAACAGGTTCAACAATACTTATACTGTTTTTTATGCATCTTGTGATAGGTTATTTTAAAATATGGCGTGAATTTACTGGGTGCAGAGGAATAACACCTGAGTCCTGAGGAATGGCAACGCATGGGGGGTATCATGGGCGAAACAGTATACTCTGTTATGTCCATGGTACTGCTCATGTGTATAGGCGACGGTTACCACTTTCCATCAGGTGGGCCGTCAGCTTGTTTGCCATTCTAAGTTGTATATTGACTTGACCTATTGATAGTATTGGAATCGCTATTTTGTATAACAATCCCTTCACCAATCTATTATGTTTAAATAAAAGTCAATAAATAAATCACCGCGCGTGGTCCCGGCATAGAATAGGCCGCCCCTTCTTTTCCCGTGGGTGTCCTAAGAGACGACTAAGGGGGCGCAAGGGATTAGCAGCAGCGTACCTCTTAAAACATCTCCAAAGCCTGACTGCGGTTTTTTTTTATGGGTGCAAATAGAACCGACCTCCACGCGGTTCCCCCTGGAAACCATCGTGGCTAATTCTAATTGAATTCACCGTGATGGACTAACTGGCCTGTTTTCATTCTCATCTATCACCCTTCACTGGTGCTCCGCCAGCGTATACCGTTAGCGCAGGCGGGATTACCATACCATTTTCACCCATCAAAAAAAAACAATTACCTTACTTTTCCAGCAAATAATACAAACACAAAAGCATATACCAGAGCGGGAAATCAGACGGCAAAGCCAACCACTATATATGAGATTGACACGGCGTATGACCACCACATCTGTCCACTGACCTGCCCGGACACCTACTCGCCAATATGTCTAAGCGTGAACCGCGGCTTTGGGAAATATTTCAAATTCTTCACATTCATGAACCATTGCTACGGAGATGTGTATTATTGCAAGAATTGGGAAGGTAATTAACATATCTATGGTATTTTAATGGAGAATAATAAAATGGTAACCCCGCCTGCGCAGGGGGGAAAGGGATCGTCAGTAATGGAGACTAAGAATCCCATTGCTAGCAATATACCCAACCAGGTCGACCACCTCGCGGTTCCCCCTGGAAACTATCATGGTTAATTCCTGATGAATTCATCATGATGGGCTAACTGGCCTGTTTTCATTCTCATCTATCACCCTTCACTGGTGCTCCGCCAGCGTATCCCGTTAGCGCAGGCGGGGTTACCATACCACTTTCACACATCAAAAAAAAACCCGCCTGCGCTATCGGTATACGTTGGCGGGGCACCAGTGAGAGGTGGTAGGTCAGGATGAAAATGCAGGTCTTTTTTTAATGGATGATAATGGAATGGTAACCCCGTCTGCGCTATCAGTATACGCTGACGGGGCACCAGTGAGGGGTGGTAGGTGAGGATGAAAAGACAGGCCAGTTAGTCCAGCGTGAATACACCTGGAGTTTAACACGATGGTTTCCAGGGGGGACCACGTGGAGTTCGACCTGATAGGGTATATTGCTTACAATATCTATATATATATATATATATTTTTTATTATTTTTTTTTTAGTGGAAATCGCGGCTCACTCTTGTTCACAACAGAATATCAGTGTTTTGCTCTTTTGAGGGCAAAGCAATAAACTGAGTTGTGACCATTTTGTGTTACTATGGCACACGCATGAAGGGAAAAAATTGTTACTAATGTTATGCATTTTTTGTTTTTTTTTTTTTGTACATGTATCTTTTTCTCAATCAGTGTACTGTAAGTAAAGCAAATAAATTATTTATCTATCTATCTGTCTATCTATATATATAAATGGAGAACTACCGGGCATTTTGATTTTTGGCTTGGTATTTTGCAGATTTTTCTCCGCCGCCCGACGAAGATGCTGAGATGGTTAACAGTTCCCCACTCGGATGGTCATACTGCGGCTCCTCGCGGTAACAACATATTTATAACTAGCGGCCCGCCCCGGCGTCGCACGGGTGGACATTTTTACATTTTAAAAAGTGGCCATTAAGGCTGCACACGCGACGGAAGCTTAAAAAATGGAGTAACTTCTCCTGTTTTCCCAACATTTCCCTTCACTGCTCTGCTCCTATTGATCGTAGCGTGATGAAAAGTATACTATAACCTGCCCGGGAGTATGAAGAATAATTGTACCAAGTTTCGTTAAAATACGTCGAGTAGTTTTTGTTTCTATAACGAACATACCGACAGACACAAAAATTTTACTGATTGCATTTTTGGCATCAGTATCGATCACTAATATATATATTCTTTATTGCACTTGTAAGTTACATATAAAATAATCTATTTATAAATGTTGTGAGCAAGGGTGGACTTATCTCTGACAGAGATCTCTTCCAGTCAACCCAGTACAGTAAGAAAGCATTTCGTTAGCGGACAGCTGAAGTGCTACAACTATTAATACATAAACAAATATACAGTTAAATAAAATATTAAAATATATAATAAAATATTACATAAATACATACACTATAAATATATACAATACCTACCTACTTATATAGTATATGTTAAAATAAATTAATATACTACATACATTAGAAATTTCGTTTAATGATTTTAAGATTTGAGAGTTCAATTAGAAAAATACAAAAAAAAAAAATATATTACTCAAGGGAAAGAAAATGTGATTTTAACCTCTTCTTGAAAGAGGTAATAGAGGGACTCTCTTGTATGTGGGAAGGGAGTTTGTTCCATAACTGGACAGCTCGATACGAGAAAGAGTTGCCCATAAAGTGTGTCCTACACACAGGAAGTTCAAGCATCCTGGATTGCAGTTGACAGGAGCGTTTAGGACGGACTGGTGGTGGTAATAATTTAAACCGGGAGCGGAGGTACGATGGAGAATTGGGGTTATTGAGTATGTTATAAAGGAAAGAAAGGATGTGCATATCACGTCGAAGTCGGATAGGGAGCCACTTTAACTGGTTGCGAAAGGCAGACACGTGATCGTATTTACGAAGACCAAAGATGAACCTAATAGCTAGGTTTTGTAAACGTTCCAGCTTGTTTAGAAGCTCCTCAGTCACATCCAAAAAACAGACGTCGGCATAGTCAAGTATTGGGAGTAGTAGAGATTGTGCGAGCATAATTTTTGTGTTTACCGGGAGAAAGTATTGGAGTCGCTTGAGAGAGTGAAATGAAAAGTACATGCGTTTGCTGAGTTCATTTATATGACATGCCCAAGACAAAGTGCCGTCCATTATGAGACCAAGGTTCTTAACTTTCTCGGCATAAGCCACTGGAACTCCATCATAATAAAGTGCCGGTATCTCGGACCAATTCAACTTGCATCTCATCCTGCTGCTGCCAATAATGATGGCTTGTGATTTAATAGGATTTATGAGAAGTCCAAATGTATCAGCCCACGATTGTATTGCACATAAATCAGTATTTAAGGCAGCAATGGCATCAGACAATCCAGGCAATGCGAAGTGTCTGTAGAGTTGTAGATCATCCGCATACAGATGGTAGGGAGAATTAATATAACGAGAGATATTGTTTATAAAAATTGAAAAAAGTAAAGGAGAAAGCACGCCACCTTGAGGTACACCGGCAGTGAGCGAAGACCAATCCGATGAAGCATCATTGGCTCTTACACACTGCCGGCGACCGAAAAGATAGGAAGAAAACCATTCAATAGCAGAAGAGGATACGTTTATTGCTCGGAGCACGGCAAGCAAAATGTCAAAATCTACTGAGTTAAAGGCACTAGTAAAGTCAAGAAGAACAATAGCTGTGAGATTGGTGTCCTCCATGGCTCGCCGAATGTCCTCAGTGATATTAAGTAGTGCTCCAGTAGTGCTATGGGAAGGACGGAAACCTGATTGGAAAGGGCATAACAGGTGATTGACCGTGAGATACTGATGTAATTGATTGTGAACTACTGATTCAAGGACCTTAGAGAGAATGGGGAGAATGGATATGGGGCGGAATTGGGAGAAGCTGGTCGGATTCGGAGTTTTGGGAATTGGAATAATAAAAGCCTTTTTCCACTGTATTGGGAAAACATTGCATTTCAGCGAGTAATTTATAATGTGTGTAATTACGGGCAATATCTCATCCAACACAGGCAGAATCATATCGAGGCTTAAGTTGTCACTGCCAATGGCTTTGGTAGATATGGAACAGATAATCTTTCTGACAGCGTCTGTGGACACCATACGGAAAGTAAAAGGAGAGCAATCAGGCACTTCGGCATTAGAAAGATATAAAAGAGAGTTGACCTTAACAGAATTACTTAAAGAAGAGGGAGGAGTGGAAAAGTGAGTATTCAAACCATTAAGGTCCAAGTTGTTAAGAGATTGATTAGAGGATTTGCCTATGCCTAAAGATTGCAGAAATTTCCAGACTTGTGGCTGGGAAAGGTTTTGAATGGTAGAATGGATATAGCGACGTTTGGCATCCCTACACATTCTGTTGCAGATGTTACGTAGTTTCTTATAAGCTCCGAAATTAACCTGAGATTTATCGTGCTTATACCGGGCCTTAGCTCTATCCCGCTTAGCCATAGTTCTTCTAATTACTGGGGATAGCCACGGAGCCGGTGCATGCCTAATACGAACAGGACGAACTGGAGCATGAGCATCATACAGTTTCAGTAATTCCAGATTTAAGATCTCTACCATCATGTCTACGCTATCAGCCGAGAGCAAACTCGACCAATCCATGCGTCTCACATCCTCTCTCAAACGACTCAAATCCATATGCTGAAAGTCACGAAGCAGACGAACCTTGCCTTTAGTCTTAGGAGGGCGTACCCTATAAGAAAGATATACTAGATCGTGAAAAGAGAAAGGAGAGCACATTTGCCCATGATAAATGGCCATATAGGGATCAGAAACAATCATGAGATCAATAAAGGAAGGGTTACTGTTAGGGAAATAATGTGTCGGATTTGGCAATGTCAGTATTTGAAGATTTAGCGCAGTAGTTAATCTCTTAAGTTTACTCGCTCTGTTGTCATCCCTCAACAAGCAGGTATTTAAATCTCCCATAAGAATGACATGATCATACTGAGTCACTAAATTTTCTAGTAGATGCTCTAAGGTGTCAAAGTAATCAATCATGTTGGAAGGACAATACAAAACACCAAGTAAGATCTTTTTATGGTGAATTTCCAAAGAAAGAAACAAGTATTCGAGAGAACCACTATATTCTGACTGAGATGCGCAAACCACATTCGCAGCAATGTGATTGCGAAGGTAGATCCCTACTCCACCTCCACCTGTAGGTGTCCGATCATTGCGAAAGAATTTGTATCCCGGAATGGCACAACTGACAGATGGTAGTGAGGGTTTTAGCCATGTTTCGGATACAAGTATACAATCAACTATGCCAGCGCTGAAGGATGTGAGAATATCAGTGTAATGAGCTATAATACTCTGAGCGTTAATATGCACTAGGGAAAGGAATTTGGAATGGTCATTAAAGGCAATACGCAATTTATTTTCAAGAGGGTCACTATCACATAACGAAGAGTCATGACTAGATACAGTATCAAAATCATCAGAGGAAGAACAAGAAAAGTAATCGTCATGTATATTCATAAATACTTGCTAAATGTATAAAAACAACAATATATTAATAAATAAATATTAGTAAATATATATTATTTTACTAAATATATCTGCAATAATAAATAAAAAAAAAAAATTGCTTAATTACTGCATAGGTTGACGCAACGAGTCAAGTTCATACTTACTACAAAAAAAAAATCACACAAAAAAAAAGATATTAAAAAAGAAAGAAACGTATTACATTTACAGCATATACGAAATAAATATAGTATATATGAAAATTTACAGCATAAATTGAAAATAGTGGGTACGCAATCCAGAATAGCAATAACGAAACGCAACACTATATTTGATAGCCACTGACAATTGGCAGTTCAGACGAGTAACATTACAAACAAAAAAACGGTTTACAATATTTTTTATATCATATAAAATTTGTAACTAACCTCAAGCAAATTATTAAAGTGAGAAAGGAATTGCGAATGTGATAAATAAATAACATTTTCAGTGTTATTACGCTTACAAAGATACTACCAAAGAAATGCAGTACCCACAGTTTTTCTAATGTTTTTTTTTTTTTTACATTCTAAAAAGTACCTCACACAATGTTTAAAAAAAAAGTATTTTATGTAAGGATGTAAAATTGTACAGAGTTTAGCAAAAGAGTTATACAGAATCAGCCGCGGGGTTTTGGGATACAGAGAGATCATATGCTGTAACTCAGCCATTGAAGCAATTTTCCTACGATTTTTATTAGGAAGAAGGATCACTACAATACCGTCTGAAGACCAGCACTTCTTCATCCCAAAGTGATTTCGAGCTGCGACGAAGACTTCTTGCCGTAGTTTAGTTAGGAATTCCGATACGCTTGCTTTGGAACCTTTCAATGTGGTTTTTGCCTTCCATACTGTAGATCGGAGGTGCACTGAAGAAAATCGGACGAGAATAGGTCGGGCTGTCTCCTTCTTGAGACCCAATCTATGACAGGTTTCTATAGCTTCGGAATTCACACCACTCAACTTCATGCGATCTGATAAGAGTGTTAAAAGCTTATTACGGGTATTCTCATCATCCTCCTCCTTGATTCCATGGAAGAGCAAGACTTTCCTACGTGAATGAGTCTCCAATCTATCCAAGCCCAACAAAAGTAGTTCAACCTGCGACTTGATCATTCCCAATGACTTCCATATAAAACCTTTAAATGATGCGTAATCTGCAGCTAAAGTTTTCACTGTAGTTCCCGAAGAAACTGATCCTGGCTGCTGGCACCCTTTCTCATACTCCTCCATCCTACCCTTGAACATAGAGGCCAGATCGTTAATGCTCTTCATAAGCTGCTCTGCTGTAGTATCCATGGTGACGTAAGTTTTGTGAAAGTTTGTGAAAAAGTGTGTTATGAGCCAACCAAGTGCAGATTAGTTTAATTTTAACACATGTATATTTTTTCTATTTTATTTAACAAAATTTTGGGAGCACGTAAAATTTACAACCACTTCTTACTGCGCCTACCCGCAAATATCAAATAATTACCGCCTGATAGTTATTTTGGAAATATATTTCATGTACAGAATTGACCTCTCTACAGATTTATTATAAGTATAGAATAGATAGATAGATTTATTTGCATTACTTACAGCACACAAATTACAACATACATACACAAAAAGAAAAGCGAGATAACATAAATGGCAAAAAAATACACAAAGCTAAATATAATTTTCGTTTGTGAGTGTGCCATAGCAATACTTATATAGAATAAATAGATAGATGAATGACTAGTATACCAGTAGGAGACAAACCCTGAACTAGCTGTTATCTTGGGGAAGTCTGTATCACTGGTTCTATATAACAACCCTTAACTGTCCACCATTTTATATATTTGATATTTTTGTGCATTACATGTTTTTGTATTTTATGCACGAAAAATTATTAATCCACTCTCGCGCCACCTGCCCACTTCTATCTGTTCTCCTTTAACTAAAGCTTGTCTGTAAGAGATCGCCCTAGCGATAACACCGCCTCTTGTACCTTTATGTGTATATTTCAATCTGTATTTATGTTACTGTATTTCATTTGAATTGTTCACTTGTCATTGTATATTTTTATTTATGGTGCAATAAAGAGTTAAATAGATAAGCCTCCCCCATAAAGGAAGGGGTTTCCCAGTAGTTATCACGCTTGGCATGCGGGTTGCCAGCCACAGCTAGCCTTTGGTGATATTTTACAAGGGACGCTGCTGCCCTTCCCGAGGACGAGCTTTAAGTTCCCCTAGTCGCCTCTCACGACACCCACGGGACCTAAGTATGGTAATTTAAAATAAAAAAAAAACGTAAATTTTTAAATTAAATTCTATTTAATAAAACAATTGACTTCAATTGTAGCTAAACCAGTTATTTTAAAGTAAAAACTAAACTACTGTGCCGATTTTGATAAAATTTCTATGAGACCACTCCGAAAGTGGTCCTTTCAGATAGAAAGAAATATTTTCCAAATCGGTTTATAAATGGCGAAGTTACGAGGTTATAAACATTACAACCGAAATGAGCTCACCTCACTTTTTTTTTATACGACTTAGAATGTCAAACAAGCTGACGGCCCACCTGATGGAAAGTGGTAACCGTCGCCTATAAACATGAGCAGTACCGTGGACATAACAGAGTATACTGTTTCGCCCATGATACCGCCCATGCGTTGCCATTCCTGAGGACTCAGGTGTTATTACTCTGTACCCTGTAAATTCACGCCATATCCCACCCTTCAAACCGAAACACAGCCATGCAAACACAACTGCTTCACGGTAGAAACACGAATGAGTATGACTTTTTTACAAAGTCTTCCTCTGGTGAAAGTCTCCCTTTTCTGAAGTCGGTTAAAAACTGACCCGGTAGATGGCGGTACGGGGCAAACAGTTTGCTGGATACACTAAAAAATAAATGTTGACAGGTACCTTCAATTCGCTCGGTTCTCGGAGGTGGCGTCATCTATGGGCCACTACGGTTGGCTGGCCGGAGACCAACGGTACTCACACATCATGGAACCCCAAGAAAGAATGCCTGGATACGGGTAGAAACATAAACATAATAGCTGTATAGACAAGTCTTTTGCCTTTCCTATTTAACGGAAAAATAAAAATATATTAAAAACTTGTGTTGTGTTTTTTTTTAATTTTTTATGTTCGTTCCATTTTTAAAAGTCCTCCGTTATTTTATTTTGTTTCCTTGTTTACAGTTTTATCGTCTGTCTATGCATATTCAGCGATATTATGTTATTTTTATAACATATATCAGACAAAGGAATCATTTCTATTTATTTCATTTCATTTCCTTTATTTCTCACTAGCGGCCCGTCCCGGCATCGCACGGGTGGACGTTTTTACATTTTAAAAAGTGCCCATTAAGGCTGCACACGCGACGGAAGCTTAAAAATGGAGTAACTTCTCCTGTTTCCCCAACATTTCCCTTCACTGCTCTGCTCCTATTGATCGTAGCGTGATGAAAAGTATACTATAACCTGCCCAGGAGTATGAAGAATAATTGTACCAAGTTTCGTTAGAATCCGTCGAGTAATTTTTGTTTCTATAACGAACATACAGACAGATAGACAAAAATGTTACTGATTGCATTTTTGGCATCAGTATGGATCACTAATCACCCGCTGATAGTTATTTTGGAAATATATTTCATGTACAGAATTGACCTCTCTACAGATTTATTATAAGTATGGATAATATATAACATCACTGTAACTTACATTAATACCAAATAAAACCTTACCTTTCCTTTTTAATATCCCATTTTTAATAGCCAGGAAAAGCCTTAAAACAACAAACATACACAATAGCAGTCACAGACAGCCCTCTATGTCGAAGCTGTTTCGACGCCGAACAAACGGCTGCTCACGTAATCCTGGAATGTGAGGCTGTGGCCCATCAACGTTTAGAAATCCTCGGAACGGTGAGATCACTCCGTGAGGCCTGTGAAGAAACCAGGAAGCTTCTGCGCTTCTGGGCGGAGCTAGGTTGGCTGTAGTAGCCACGACTCATACGCACAACGGCCCAAATGAGTGGCTTAACGCGGAAAAGAGAGTCAATTTTATATTACATTACATTCTTGTTTGTTCGTGGTATAATGGACACCATTAGAGCTATCGCCAATTAAAAAGAAACTATCGCAAATTAAAGTCTGAGATACTTTGCTTTCCCCCATAGATTTGTATAACAAAAAATATGAAATAAATTGTTTTTTTTAAATTATTTTCAAAAATCTACATTAAATGAATTTAAAAATTTGTCTATTTTAGTGTTACTATTAAGCTGCCTTAATACAATATAAAATTCTCTGTATAACGCCCTCTAGAGATAAACAATCGTATTATAGATAGATGGCGCTGCATATAAAAAATAAACATGACACTAAGACAATTTACAATTGCGATAAAACCATTTAAATAAATAAAAAAAAAAACAGTGGCTTTATTAAAATTATACTTTATTTACATGTAAATTCTTAAAACAAAGTTTAAAAGCTAATGCAGCACGCGTAGTGCTATCGAACGAAGATATATATGTTAAATATATACACATATATAGGTAAAACTAGTTTTTCTCGGCGACTTCATTCGTGTGTGCTTCGGATAATGGATAAGATGCATTAGGATCTTGGCTTCGGAAGTACTCACAACTGCTTTATCACAAATCCAGATAATCTTATATTGCTCTGAATCTATCCAATGCTTTGGACAATGTATCCATCCCCAAATTTGCAGCTAAGGAAAGTCTGAGGCGGAATAATGAATTGATTCCAGTCATTTGACAAATAATGTCGATGTAGGTGTATCTCAGGGTAGTATTCTTGGACTTCTCTTTTCATTTAAGAGTTTCCTCTTGACGGTGCAAGTAATTCATGGTTTTTTTCCAGCCAGTTCTGTCCCAAGCCATATATTTGACCTTGCTACACGATATGACACCGAGTGTTTCCTTTATCTGCCCCATGTAGTTATTCCTCAGTTTGCCCCTTAATCTTTTGCTCTTAATTTTAATATAATTTAACACTGAACCAATTTAACCAGTTCATTGCATGATCCCCAACTTCCTCAATATACTAACATCAACAATAGACTCGTCGACAGTTTGTTTAGGATGGTGGATTAGATGCAACAGGATCCTGGCTTTGGAATTACCCGCCCATTTGCAAATACTACATACAAATGTTGGCTCCTTGCTTTCCTGCAGGTTCATGTCATGTTCGAGCAGCATATGTCTCTTCAGACGGTACTTTGTGCACAGTTGGGCTTTACATTCCTTGCACTTCGCTCTGTGACGCTTGTGTGTTTGTAGCGCCTTTTGATTGGGATACCTGGGGAGACGGAGGAAATAATAAATTTATGTGTAGAAGGACTAGGTCCTAGTAGCTGATCCGCAAATGTCGTTTTGTCCCCTACGCCAACTATTGGGTCAATTTTATCTTATTGGGACAAAAACTATTATCGAAAGACCGCTTGAAAGATCGAAGGTCAGTGTGTCTAGAGTCAAAATTTGACCTAAAAAGGCAAATTTCTAATTTTAAAATTACGTCCGTCTTTTTTTCATCGGTCTCGTCTTAGTTATTTGTTTCGTCAAAGGCCCTTAGTTTTGTCTGTAACACGTCTTAGTTGCCAACGAGAAAACCGTATAAAAAGGCCGCAACAACCATCCTGTGCAACTTTGCAAAAATTTGCTCACCTATGATCAGGTCCCTCGAGTTTCTACCATGAAATAGGTGTGCTCGCATAGCTGTGTTTCGGTTTGAAGGGTAGGGATACGACAGTAAAATTACAGCGTATAGAGAAATAACACGCTTATCCTCAGGAATGACAACTCATTAGTGGTATCATGGGCATCACAGTGTGCTCTATGATTTCCATAGAGCTGTTCTTATCTATAGGCGATGGTTACCATTTCCCATCAGGTGGGCCGTCAGCTCGTTTATTATTCTAAGTATCATAAAACGAATTGTTAGTTTGTTCAGGTCAAAACTTGAAAGTTGAATTAAAACTAGTTCCTCTTTAATCGATTTTGCTGGCATGCTTTATACCTGATGACAATATATTATCATCATTATCATCATCATCATCATCATATCAGCCTGAACCATATATCAATAACACTGCTGAACATAAATCTCCTTAATGGGGGGTTTGCCATAAATTTGACTATGCTTGGCAGGCGGATTGGCAATAGCAGTTAGGCTTTGGTTAGATGTTTTAAGAGGGACGCTGCTGCCCATGATTCGCCCTCCTTAACCGCCCCTTACGACATCCACGGGAAAGAGTACCCCTTATGGGGTAGGCTTATGTCCAGCAGTGGACAGTCAATGGTTGATATAATAAAACTTAAAAAAATACAATCGAATTGAAAACTACCTTCGTTTTGGAGTCAATTCATCATCATACATTCATATTAGTCGATAACTGTCCACTGCCAATAATGAGAATTTTACCCGTAGTTGCCATGTTTGGCAAACGGGTTAACAACCGCAGTTTTGAAGTTGGTACATTAAACTAAACTATTTTAAACTCACCTAGTATCGCATTGATTGCAGATAAACAAACTGTCACCATTGTGCAAGCTGGCGTGATCTTCCAGATCCTTCTCGTCCTTCCCTATGTACGAGCACTCAGTACACTTGTTGCCATGGTTCAGCTTCTCCCTGTGGCAGACCAGGGAGCGGTGGTGGCGAGCTATGAAGGGGCACTGGGCGCATTTCAACGGGTTGTCGGGTCGATGGCGCTGCTCGTGCTTCTTGGTGTTCTTCTTGGACGCGCTCCGGTATGGACAGTAGGTGCATTTGAATGGTTTTATGCCTGCAAAATATATTGTTGACAGTGTACCGTACATATACATACGAATCAGCCTTTAACTGTCCACTGCAGGCTTCGATGATGTTTTAACGCTGCTGCCAATCCCTCGCCGTCCCTTAATCGCCTCTTAACCAATTAAACATCTCGAACGAGACCCTCTCGCGCATCAAATGTGTACCGATTTGCGCTATCTCGAGTACCTCTCGCCACTTATAAATATTAGGTTTATATTTTCACCTGGAGCGATACCTTCTCGCCCGTTTGTATTTCATAGAGCTTAGTGTATATTTACTGTAAGCTCGTTCGAATTTAGTGCGTGCGCCAGTGCGCCAGTTGACCTCGTTTTACAGAAAAACCCTCGTATTAAGTGGTTAAGACACCCACGGGAGAGGAAGGGACGGTCTGTTCTATGCTGGAACCACACTGGAATGAGAATATTCTATATTAAACAATCCAATCATTTGCCTCAAGATGTATCTTTTAGAAAAACGCGTGCAAAACATACACAAAATGGCAGACGGCGATTGATGTCTAATATGGAAGGTTGGGGGGAAAGGGATTATTAGTAATGGGGTTTAATCGACCCATTGCTAGCAATACACCTTATCAGGTCGATCTCCACGCTCCCCTGGAAACCATCATGGTTAATTCTAGTAGAATTCATCACGATGGGCTAACCCGCTTTCATCCTCGCCTATCACCCCTCACTGGTGCCCCGTCAACGTATACCGATAGTGCAGGCGAGGTTACCATTCCATTATCATGCTATAAAAAAAAACTGCGGGTTGCCAAGTCGCCTGGCAAGCGTAGCAACTATTGGCAAAACCCCCAAAAGAGAGACCTACGTTTAACAGTGAACAGTAATAGGCTAATATGGTGATTATGACGGTCCTTTATCACCTATTAAAACATTAAAAAACACAATACCCTGGTGTCGGGGGGAAAGGGATTGCTAGGAATGGAGATTGACACCCCCTATTGTTAGCAATATACCCTATCAGGTCGACCTCCACGTGGTTCCCCCTGGAAACCATCGTGAACAATACTTGTTGAATTTGTCACGATGGGCTAACTGACTTGCTTCATCCTCACCTATCATCCCTCACTGGTGCCCCGCCGGTGTATACCGATAGCGCGGGTGGGGTTACCATTCCATTATCACCCATTAAAAAAAAATACCCTGGTGTATGCGGACGTGTTCCTCGAACACCGCCTTGTTGTACGTGGAGTAGTCGCACATGTAGCACTGGAACGGGTTCTCGCCGCGGTGCACCTTCCTTATGTGGCGCATCATCTTCTCCTCGTTGTCCGCTGTGTATCTGATGGAATAGAGTCATCATCAGCAACGTCATAGCAAACATTAACTTTTTTTTTTATGGGTGAAAATGGTACGGTAACCCCGCCTGCGCTAACGGGATACGCTGGCGGAGCACCAGTGAAGGGTGATAGATGAGAATGAAAACAGGCCAGTTAGCCCATCATGATGAATTCATCAGGAGTTAACCATGATAGTTTCCAGGGGACACCGCGAGGAGGTCGACCTGGTTGGGTATATTGCTAGCAATGGGATTCTCAGTCTCCATCACTAACAATCTGTTTCCCCCCAGCAAACATTAACTGTCCACTGCTCAACATAGACCTCTCCCTGTTGGTGGTGTTACCAGGTTGCCTGTAGTTACCACGTTTGATAAGTGGATTGGTAACCACAGTTAGATATATATATATATATATATATATATATATATATATATATATATATATATATATATATATATATATATATATATATATTTATATCACTTACAGCACACACATAACATTAGCTACTGGTACATATTTTAAGAAAATCCGTCTAATTACAAGTTAAAAGTAGTTATTACATTAAAAAATAAAATACATTTACAAATCATTTAAAAATAATTCTTATCAACTATAATCAGTAAAATATCACTGCGTATGAAAATTCATTGTTTGCACAAACTTATTTTTTATACCACATACTGGTAAGCAAGCATACAGCCTAATGGTAAACAGCCACTGTAGCCTATGGACGCCTGCAACACACGGGTTGTCACGTGCATATTGCTGACCCTGAGGAAACCTTAATATAGCCTTTTTGAAGAGTCTAATTGTACTGTCAAACAATAAAATGAAAGTGGAGTTCCTCTGTCCATCTGGAAAGAACTTGGCGTGAAGATAGAGCTACTGACCTCAAGCATTCCGGGCATCGGATCCGATCAGTTGCGCGTTGTACTCCACCATTCTCAGCATCATTCATACTGAATGCCTTACGATCTCTGTTAACAAATTCAAACAAGATGAACTAAATTTTGGTCACTGTTTTTGTATCGATGAATTTCAAAAGTTATCTATTTTTTTTTGCAACTTAGAATGGCAAACAAGCTGACGGCCCACCTGATGGAAAGTGGTAATCGTCACCTATTGACATGAGCAGTACCATGGACATAACAGAGTATACTATTTCGCCCATGATACCCCCCAAGCATTGCCATTTCTGAGGACTCAGGTGTTATTCCTCTGTACCCTGTAAATTCACTGCCATATCCCACCCTTCAAACCGAAACACAGCCATGCAATTTTACCAGAGGGAGACTTTGTACAAAAGTCGATTGCTTGGGTATCTCTGTCACAATCGTGTTTCAACCGTGAAGCAGTTGTGTTTGCATGGCTGTGTTTCGGGTATCATGGGTGAAACAGTATACTCTGTTATGTCCATGGTACTGTTCATGTCTATAGGTGACGGTTACCACTTTCCATCAGGTGGGCCGTCAGCTTGTTTGCCATTCTAAGTTGTATAAAAAAATAAAAAGAAATTTTTCCTAAATATCTTCATAATAAATAAAACAGACTCTATTTATCATAAAGATATGCATAACCGGTATATATTGATTGAAAAATATTTCTATATACCGGTTATGTAGACAAAATCATGGATAAAGACTAGTTTTGTTATTTTTGTAACTTACTGCTCCTCTTCCACCTTTTCGGCATTGTTCTCAGTGACTGGTGTCTGTGTGGAATCAAGTAGGGGGAGGGATTCCGTCCCTGGATACTGCTCCGAGCCCTGGACGTCTACAAACACGGGGAGATCCGATGTCTGCCCCATGTTACCTGCAGCATGTCATGTCAAATATTTTTTCTTTTTAACCGATTTCATAAAAGAAGAAATATTTTTTACACATTTTATATGTCTTTTATATTTATTTATAAAAACTACAAGGCGCAATCAAATTCACTTGAATAGGTACTAAAAATTCTATAAATGATAATTTTGATTTTAGAATTTACCTTCCATTATATTTAATTCCATTTTTTTTTTTTACTCTACTATCACTTTAAAACTAAATTTTATAGAAAATATAAAACAGTTGTCTAAATGATAAAAGCTTATTTCTTGTTTACAAATAAATACAAAAAAAATATATACAAAGAGTCAAAAACTAAAAGAAAGCAGATAAAGTAATACTCCATAAATGTCACTCATTGCTACAGCTGACAGCAAAGCGTCACTTGAATCACCATAAACGGTCATGAAGTGAGAAATTTATTAAGAACTAAACATCATAGCCGATTGTCAAGTGACAAATAAAGTAGCTTTCTTGTTAGATATTTATATACCTATTGGTTTATTTTCATAGAACTATAAACTACTGGCTGGTAAGTTGACATTCATTTAAAACAATTGTTGCTTTTCTGTATTTGTTCTTGTATTAAATTTTCTCGTACTTTTATATTATGTTTATTGCTTCCTCCCTCCCTTCCCTTAGTTAAATTCCCTTAGTCGCCTCTACAACACCTACAGGATAGAGACGGTTCTATGCAGGGATCATACTGCAACCATAGTCCTCAGGAATAACGATACATAAGTGTTATAATATACTTATGATATTGATGGTACTGTTCATGTCTATAGATTACGGTAGCCACTTTCCATCAGGTGGACCGTCAACTTTTTTGTTATTCTAAATTACATAAAATAACATTAAATTAGCTTCATCTTGTATAGAACCTAATGTAATGGGACTATAAAAGAAAAAAGAAGGAAAAGAATTTTACAAGTGTATGCAAGTTCGTGAGGATGTATGGATATTATATTTGTTACTTTTTCGCATAAAAATGGATTTGAATGAAATTTGGAATACAGTTAGGATATATCCTAACGTAGCGTACAGAATACTGTATGTAAGGATTCACGCAGAAGAAGCTTCAGGATATAGCTAGTATAATATAAATTGAATTAAACCAATAGTCATAAATTTCTATAGGTTCCACATCAATGTATTATTACACATTTTCTCAAGATTCGACGTTTTGATCCTGAATTTTAGCTAATTCTTGGTGATATTCTTCATAATCTGATGAAGTTTCAAATGTAAACAATTTATTTCCCTCTCTACGAATAATGTGCAATTTAGCATCTGCAGTTATTGCAATTTAATTTCTTATATTAGTTTTAACTTTTTTAGAATCATTATTTTTTAACACTTTGTTGACATTAGATTCTGCATCATTAGTTTTTGCTGATATTTCATTTGACTCATCTGAGTGTGATTTTTTAATTTTTACAAAATCACCTGCGTCATTGACGTTACTATTATTATCAAGAATTATTCCTGTATCTTTCTTTCTGTCATTTCTATTATGGAAATTGCTATGATCCAAGTTGGGACCATTGGAATGTTCAGTAGTTATATTAATTACTTCGCTTGACTTTTGTTTCACAGATGAAGAACGTTCAAAAATAGAATTATGTGATTTTTTTTATTAATTGATTGAGATTGACCGTTCTTTCCTTTATTCATTTTTCCATTTGTATTTCCTAATACATAATTAAAATCATTAATAGTTACGCCATTTTCTTCTGAAATCTTGGTGGCAGATACTATTTTATCCTCGGATACTATGTTATCTTTATCTAAATTTGATGATTTATCATATATTTCTCCTGCGTCTGACGATTTTTCTTTATTAAATTTTATGTAGTTTTTGAAAGGCCTAGCAACATTATTTAAATCCGGTTTGTCATTTGGCGGAGTACTTTTAGTGATATCTTTGAACCTTAAACTTAACTCTTTTAAAGGTCCTAGGTGAGGGTTTTTCATAAGAAGCTGTGTATTTATTGATTTACTTATGTGATTATTTTTAAGATTTTTCTCGGATTTTTTATTTATTTCATAAGTTTCTAATTCCGTATTTCTAAATTTAGGCAAATAACTATCTTCATTGGCGTATTTTCCATTTTGAGATAAGGCTGCGTTATTTTGAATATTGTAAATTTTCTCTACAGCTTTGTCAGCAATCTTCTCAGCCAATTCATTAATCTTATTGGAGGATAATAATCTTTTAATGAATTCGTCTACGTCGTATCCTACGATTGAAGGTGGAGCGAGTGCTGCTTCTCGTATACAGTAGGCTATTGTTATAATAGCTTAAATAAACAAAAAATTCTTAAGATCTCTGTAACTTAAAAACTAAAATTAACTCAAACGTATAGGTACAGGCCACTGTAAAAAAAATCGACAAAAAAATAAATATTTACTTACATACCATATTAACCGTGAATTGTCCACTGTTGAACATAGGCCTTCCTCTTTTTTTTGCCAGTAGTTGTCACGCTTGGCAAGTGGTTTGGCACCTGCAGATTGACCTTAGAGAGACCTTTTTTAAAAGGGACGCTGCTGCTCCCTCAGCTATTAAGTTCCTTTAGTCGCCTCTTACGATACAGGAAAGAAAGGAGGGGCCTGTTCTATGCCGGGATCATACCACGAAATTACTTATTGTTTACTTAATATGTAATTACTTACATGATTATCATTTCAGCCACTATCCGTCCACTGCTTGACATATGCCTCCCCCATAGACTATCATAAAGAACTGTCCTGAGCTACCTCTATTTTTTTTATACAAGTCAGAATGGCAAACAAGCTGACGGCCCACCTGATGGAAAGTGGTAACTGTCGCCTATAGACATGAGCAGTACCATGGACATAACAGAGTACACTGTTTCGCCCATAATAGCCCCCATGCGTTGCCATTTCTGAGCACTCAGATGTTATTCCTTTGTACCCAGTAAATTCACGCCATATCCCACCCTTCAAACCGAAACACAGCCATGCAAACACAACTGCTTCACGGTAGAAACGCGAATGGGACAGAGGTACTCAAGCAATCGACTTTTGTACAAAGTCTCCCACTGACTCCCTGCAATGCATGGTCGTCACTCCATCTAGTGGAGGATCGGTCTACACTGCATTTGCCCGTATGCTGTCGCCACTCAAGAACCTCTCGAAGAAGAAGAAATTTTATTTTTGGTCAATATGTAAGTAATACATATTGACCAAAAATAAAATTTCTTTTTAATATCTTTCATAACATTGAAATATTATTGTATTATTACTTTTTAAAATCACATAAATCCGGATGACTTAGGTAGTTGTGTAATACATATAGCATACAATAAAAATTTATACGAGTAATAACGTATAAAAACTTTATGGATTTTATCATAAAATTGTGTAACAAATGCACAAATGTCGATTTTATATAAGACTAGTGTGTGTTTTCAGCAGAGGGAGACTTTGTACAAAAATCGATTGCTTGGCTACCTCTGTCCCATTCGTGTTTCAACCGTGAAGCAATTGTGTTTGCATGGCTGCGTTTTGATTTGAAGGATGGGATGTGGCGTGAATTTACTGGGTACAGAGTAATAACACCTGAGTCCTCAGAAATGGCAACGCATAAGGGTTATAATGGACGAAACAGTATACTCTGTTATGTGCATGGTACTGCTCATGTCTATAGGCGACGGTTACCACTTTCTATCAGGTGGGCCGTCAGCTTGTTTGCCAATCTAAGTTGTATAAACAAAAACCTGTGACTTCATCCCATGACCAGGATGTATAAATTAGGATGAAAAGTACCCTTTTCCATTATTACGTGTAGTGTATATGAAATTTTATGACAGTTGATTGATCCGTTAAAGTGCCAATAAGTAATATAGTTTTTTTTTTTTTTATTTCTATTTTGTTACTTATTGTTACATCACTAATCACTTATTTTGCTTAAACTGAAACCTTTTTCACGTTCCTTTATAAATTAGTAATAGATCAGTATTTAGCGGCACCGAAAAGTATTTTCAGATAGAAATAAAAAGAACTGTTGGCCATAGATAAAGAATTTTTGCCGTCAAATTTAATTTAAAAATAATATAGATAGGTACCTACCCACATATGTATATGATTTGAATTTTTAATTAAAATAAATACCCACCTACGTACTTCTCAATTCCATTTCATTGCAATATTACAAAAATAAAGTTTCAATTATTTAAAAAATCGAAATGGCAGTCCCGGTATTACGCCAACCAAAGTTGAAACAGGAGAAATCTAAAATTGTAATGGATATTCCTAACGTAATAATTACTTTGAAAGACAAAACACGGCTTGTAGTGTCGTCTGACGCATACCACGGAATATTAATGGCCAGTAACATGTACAAATGTGTGTTTTGTAGAACAGATATGGATCTCGATATGGTATATAAAGAGCAGCACAAAAATACTAATACGCATAAGGAGAACCTAAAAAACTACCCTCACATTGATGGGTACGACGAAAATTTAGTGCGAAAGGTATTATACTTATATTTTTTTTATAACATAATTAGAAAAAGAACATGCGGCTCACTTCATGTTTTTTTTTTTTTTTTTTTTATTGTATGAAAATGGAGTGGTAACCCCGCCTGCGCTAATGGGATACGCTGGCGGGGCACCAGTGAAGGGTGATCGATGAGGATGAAAACAGGCCAGTTAGCCCATCATGATGAATTCATCAGGAATTAACCATGATAGTTTCCAGGGGGAACCGCGAGGAGGTCGACCTGGTTGGGTATATTGCTAGCAATGGGATTTTTAGTCTCCATTACTAACAATCCCTTTCCCCCCTGCTCACTTCATGTTAAGTGATTACCGTTGTTGGTAGGCATCCGTAACATCAGAGACATAAAAAAAAATTACATAATACTCTTTTTTTTTCTATGTCAATGGAATGGAATGGCAAACGAGTTGTGAAGTGTGGCGTAGCTGTAAAGTAAGAGGTTCTGGTACCTCTGTAAAAAATTAATATGTACTAATTGAGACCCTGGGAGCATGTGAATGTGAATAGGACTCTATTTTCCGCGCTTAGCCTCTAATTTGGACCGTTGTGCGTATGAGTCGTGGCTAGTATAGCCAACCTAGCTCCGCCCAGAAGCACAGAAGCTTCCTGGGTTCTTCACAGGCCTCATGCAGCGACCTCACCGTTTCAAGGATTTCTAAAAGTTGATCGACCACAGCTTCACATTCCAGGATTACGTGAGCTGCCGTCTCTTCGGCGTCGAAACAGCCTCAACATGGAGGACTGTCTGTGGCTCCTATTCTGTTTAAATGTTTGTTTAATGGACAATGGCCTGTTATTGTCCCTATCATTATTTTGAGATTTTTCCTGTCTAGGACCCTGGGAGCATTAATAACGAATTCTCTGCACTGGGGACTGTCAACTATGCCCCTAGCTGTCGGCCCACTTGATTTAAAACCTTGAGTAATAACCCTCACCTGTAGACAAGAACAATACCATAGACAATTGCAGACTACATGGTGGCTTGCTGGCAATCTAAGGACTAAATCATTATTTATTGCCATATCTCAACCTTTAAACTGTTGTCTGAGCACAACATAGAATACACATCTGGAGGAAAAGGGATTATTAGTAATGGGATCTAACTGCCCCATTGCTAACAATAAGTCTTGTTAGGTTGACCTCCACACAGTTTCACCTGGAAACCATAGTAGTTGATGCTTGAATTGTTGCAATGGGCTAACTGACTTGCTTTTATTCTCACCTATCATCTCATATAGGTGAACTTCCAAAGCACACTGATAGAGTAGGCAGGGCTACCATTTTATATACGTCCATTAAGGTACACACAGCTAAATATAGATAGATAAAAATAATTTGTAGTCTTCCTATGATATTATTGATATATTTATTTTCAGTTAAACAAAGACATGTGGTACTGTACGATATGTCAAATAACGGTCGCAACCTCCTGCTTATCACGTCACATCAACACCAGTTCTCATTGTGAAGAATTGAGGAAGGCCATCGTGAAAGCTACAGCGTATAAGTCCACTTAGAGAGCAATTTTTTATTAATATGCATTATACAACATTAACAATTTTCAATAACCAAATATTGCATGATATTTTCTGTCAGTTTTCAATTTTTGATGTTTGATTTTTTTACTAGCTCTTGCCTGCAGCTTTGCTTTATGTATCACCGTCGCCATAAAAGCTTCTAACTGTCCACTGCTGAATATCCCTTCTTTGCATAATGGTGGAAATTTCCATCATAATATTGAATGCCCAAAAATTATATAAAAGAACAAATACACTTTAAGTTGATCGTGTCTGGATACCTTTTTAATGTACGTTTCAGAAAAAAAAACATAGCTGTCAAATTTATTTTTTTAAGCTTTTTTCTTTTAATTTTAAACATGAATTATATCACCTTGATTTATTTCACTAATAAAAAAAAAATTATGCAAAGAAGGGATATAGGCTTCCCCTATAAGGGGGGTTTTGCCAGTAGATGAATCTAGTTAGTATATTCATTAAAGAACAAAACCAATTGGGGAGTGTTTCTGAAGAATGATTTAGTAGCATGAGGATTAATATTATGAATATTTCCTTTTTTTAACACTTTACTATAAATGACACTGTTTGTCAGGGAAAAGTGCATTTTTTGCACTAATTAAGCAGTTAAGAAACTAAATACATACATACATATCTGTCACGCCCGTCTCCCATTAGGGTAGGCAGAAACAATGGAACGCCAAATGCTTCGATTCAAACAAACCTCTTTCGCTTCTTCCACATTCATCAATCTTGTCATACACGCTTGCCGGTTACGGGTACTTTTAATTTGGCCCTTCTTCAGCACGTCGCCTATTTGGTCGACAGACATCTGTAGAGCGGCCCCTACCGACATCTCCGTTCATTCAAGAAACTAAATGTGTTATGTAAATAAAACTTTTCCAACAAGTGTACATACAGCATTGTTATATCACCAGTATAGTTTTCTATTAATTTTTGTAAATAACTCCATTATCCCAATGCTGGCCAATGGGAACTATTAAAAGAGTCTATTATGGTGATGATCAGGCTGTTTTACATAGTTTTTTTTTTATTTCTCTTTCTTGTACAAAAAGTTATAAAAGAAAAGGAAATGGAATGCTCTATCACTATAAGAACTTTTTTTATACAATTAAAAATGGCAAACAAGCTAATTATTTAATGTTTTATAAAACTAAGCTAATAATTTTTTTAGATGCTATTTGTTCTTCAAATAATATTTGAATTTCTTGCCCATTCTTATCAGTTGAAATAGTATTTTTGATTGTCATTGAATCATAAAAAAAAAAATATTTACAAATGTTTAAAATTGTTTAGATATATAGAAAACATTTCTACTCAATTTTTTTTATGCAACTTAGAATGGCAGACAAGCTGACGGCCCACCTGATGGAAAGTGGTAACCGTCGCCTATAGACATGAGCAAGTACCATGGACATAACAGAGTATACTGTTTCGCCCATGATGCCCCCCATGCAATGTCATTCCAGAGGATAAAAAAATTTTGAGTTAGCTGTGTTAGTGATGTTCTTGTGACAAAGTATATTATTTATTTCATAGAGTTGTATTACAATTTATATAACAATATCTACAGGTATCACAAAATACATAGCACACACCTTGTTGAGGTACCAACCTGAGGGAAGAGGAAAACATCAAGTTATTGTTTAATAACTCATCAATAGACAGCTTAGGCATGATTACCATTCCATTTCCTTCTTCCAAAAGACTGTAAAATGTATTTTGATATTGTAGTGTTAAATGTTATTCAATAAAAAATAATGTTATTAAAATAAAAAACGAGTTATTATTTTATATTTATTCTATCATCGCCTACGCTTTTTTGACTTCTTTTTCAAATTTTTCTTGTTCACTTTGTTAATTTTCGCAATTTTCCTCTTGTGCAACCAAACTGGGTACTGTCCATTTTGGTCCTTCAATGTCTTTGAACTGAATATTCTTTTCTTCCCATTTTCACCGTCGACTTCGATTTTCTCTTCATCTGAACTCATTTCCACATCTTCAGGGTCCTCTTCTATCACCTTTTTGTTTTTTTTCTTCTTGTTAATTTCACCAGCGTCCAAGAAAATCACTTGATCAGATTCCATAACCTCACTTTCTGTAACTTTTTCTTCTTCTTTTATCCCGAGCATCTTCTTTAATCTGGCCAATTCTTTTACTGCATATCTTTCCCGTTTCACGGCTCGGCATTTTCGCTTCCATCTGCTTCGTAATGACTTCGCCATTGCTTATTAAAATAAACAAATTAAAATATACGTGCCTGATATCGTAAACAGCACGTTTAAAAAGAAACGTCACTGTCAAAACCTTCGAATGTCACGTAATATAGTTTTTTTTTTTTTTTAGTACGTTTGTTCCGTTTGGAACAGGCTAAGGTCGGAGACCATGCTGCCTAGTCTTCAAAAAGATAATTTGTCTGGAATCGTAATATAGTATGTCAATGTCACACGAGGTCGAAAAAAATTTACTACGACGTTACCATTCATGGACACTGTACATAGTTAAGTAGTTGAATTTATTGTTTTGAGTTCTAGTCAAAATTTATATCGAATCGAATAATACTTCCTGCGCGCACTTAATTCAACAGATTTGCGGTTTGATTATGACTATGTCTAATATGTCTAAAAAATAATAACATGAGTATGAATTTAAATTATATCTCAATATTAACCTATTCTTTATTAATGACTGTTTGTACCAAAATAAAATCTATTTAATATAATATGATATTATCTACCGCGAGTGCACAATCATAAATGGCATGGCATTATGGATATAGTGCTTTAGCTTAAATAGATAAAATAACAAAAATTGTTTTTGTTTATTTTTCTGACAGATGAGTTGACAGTTCTTGCGCTTGTCCGTCTTATTTTGGAATCTGAGTTTTCTAATCCTTGCTCGTCCTTGCTGTTTGTTATTATTTACCAAATGAAATCACGGGAAATACTTTTTGGAACAATTCCAATGAGTATTTGTTTATATCAACCGGCGTATTAAACTTTTTCCGTGGCTTCTTTGTCTGAGGTTTATTTTTGGTTCTCACGCGGTGTCAGAGTGGAAATTTGGTGTATTTTAGTGATTATTTCTGAAAATGGGCTCATTGTCTGCCGATGCTGATGTTAACATTGATATGAACGACAGTGGTTACGTCCAAGATGGTAAGTTGTATTAGTTCTATAATTTGTTTTATATACGTAGAGGGTCATTTTATTCCGTTTATTAAATTTCTTTTTTTCATAGATTTATATTTTTTTAAAGTAATATCAAAAAAGATTGTTTTAAATTGAACGATATTTTTTAAATACTATGTTATATATACATATATATGTGTGTGTAATAGAAAATTTTATGAATTTACTTTGTTGTTTCGACTTACTCGGAAGTCTTCTTCAGGGAACGTACGACGCTTTAAAGATAAATTTAATTGCTTATCGTCACAGTGCTTTGTTTCGCACTGCAGGCTGCAGAGCCTGTGAAGACATTGGTGTGGGTGGAGGTGGGGGTGGAGATACTTGTGGCAAGAGACATCTTCTTCACAGTCTCCAGGCCTATGACAAAGTTAATCTTGTGAGGAGTGAACACTTCCTCTCTTGCTAAGACTATAACTGCACTGAATGCAGCCACTTATCTCAGACAGCACCATTGTCTCTTGCCACTTTTATTCTACTATCTCTGCAGAATCTCTGAAGATGTTGGTGTGAGTAGAAGTGAGAACAGTAAATGAACGACATAGTGCAACAGCCACCAGATACAAGTAGATTCGGGCTCTGAAGGAAAGATTACTGGATGTATATGAAGAAAGTGCTGAGTTGTAATTCTAGCAGCTAGTAAGCAAGATGGATCTCAGAACTAAAAATCATCACAACTTTTAAGAAGGATGTAAGAACTAGCTGGAAACTGTGGCATCATAGAAGAATTATTGAGAAAATTATGGGTTAATAGATTGCTGGCCAGCAGTAGATCAGTGCTAGTGGTGAATGGTGATACTAAGCTGGAAAATTTTGCAGAAATAGAGAATCTAGTAGCTGTATCTGAATAGAGCAAAGACGGCAGTAGATTAAGAAAAGCAATTCAGTCATCAATTGAAGTTACACAGTTGAGAAGTGAAATTAATAAATTAAAATCATGAGAGTGTACTTATGACAAAGCTCAGGGATTCGGATTAGGTAATTGGTATAGAAGAAGATTGAAAAGTAGACCTAGATCATAGTGCACGCTAGTCAGCCCAGATTGGTTATATACATATACAGTTACTGTTTTACTAATTAAGCAATTGAATGTATAGAACTGTGTAGTTGAAGAAGCAAACAAATCAAGGAAATTAGGTATTATCTTACTTAGGTTAGCAGCAGTGGGTGACTGTACAGCAAGGAATAACTGACTCCTGGAGAAAGACCTGTAAATTATCTAATTAGTGGGCACTGGGGATAATGTATGTTTTTCTGGTGAGTACTGTTAAAAGTGTTAAAAAGAGAGGTGAGTGTATGTACAAGCCATATGCCGATAATAATATGTTTAGATACAAGATGGTGAACTTAGAACTTAATTTAAGATTGCATAGAAGTTTTATATGGCCATTTTTAGGCATATTTCTCCAAGGTCGACATTATTTATTTAATTATTTAGTTATTATTATTCTTTATTGTATACAAAAGGTTATTAAAAATGTAAAATATAAAAATGTAAAAACAAACATAATAGTGCACAAAGGCGAGCTTATCTCCAATAGAGATTTCTGTGGAAAAAACAAAAAATCAGTGCATGATTAAAAGGTATAATCTGTGAATCCCAGTTGTACTGGCCATGTCTATAATTAAGAATTACCAGTTACCTTGTACTCCATTGTAAGTATCCTAAAAAAATTTTTAAAAGGGCTTTAAATTTCACCTGCTTGTTGACAGAAGCAACCCCACAGAAGAGCTCCAGCTGTCAAACAAGTCTCCTCGACCTCTCTGATGATGTACTACTCTACATCCTCTGGTACTGTTCACCCATGGACCTGAAGGCTCTTGGATTGTGAGTATTTTTTTTTATACAACTTAGAATAGCAAACAAGCTGACGATCCACCTGATGGAAAGTGGTAACTGTCGTCTATAGACATGAGCAGTACCGTGGACATAACAAAGTATACTGTTTCGCCCATGATACCTCCCATGCGTTGCCATTCCTGAGGACTCAGGTGTTATTCCTCTGTACCTTGTAAATTCATGCCATATCCCACTAGTGGGACAGAGGTACCCAAGCAATCGACTTTTTTACAAAGTCTCTCTCTGGTATTATATGTCCCTGGTTAGTGGATTAGAATTATTTAGCTAGGCTCCGAGCTGCAATCTAATAATTTTCCCAAACATGTCTCGTTTAGAGGTGAAAGAGGTGTTGCAAGGGCTGATATGGTGATGATGATGAAATGGGATTTATTTATTTATTTATAGCAAGGCAACAGATTACAAATTAATATATTAATAAAATAAATATTACATAAAACAGCATTAAATTTGCACCCCAATAACTGCTCTGCATAATAAAATCTTTACATAGTTTCTTCCATACACATCTCATACACATATACATTTACAAATTGATGTATAAGTACATATTTACATATAAACATAACATTTATAATATTGGTAAGGATTTCTTTTGTACGCCCACAGCACATGCAATCGTTTGGGGCTCTTAGTCCGGGACCGCACGCTGTGGACGCGCGTGGACGCGCGCGCGCAGCCCTGCGGCGCGGACAGACTGCGCTGGCTGCTCAGCTACGCACTCAACGCCTCCACCACTGAACTCCTGCTGTCGGGCTTTGCCAGAGAAACTAATAGGTAACAAATACATCTTCCGTACGACATGAGCAGTACCATGGACATAACAAAGTATACTGTTTCGCCCATGATACCTCCCATGCGTTGCCATTCCTGAGGACTTAAATGTTATTCCTCTGTACCCTATAAATTTACGCCATATCCCGCCCTTCAAACCGAAACACAGCCATGCAAACACAACTGCTTCACGGTAGAAACATGAATGGGATCTCTTAAAGCAGTGAAACAATCAAGCTTCCAAATCGTAAAAGATACGGCCGTTTATGTTCCGTTTATATCGCGTATTTTGGACATACGCAAAGGGAATCAAAACCTATAGGGTACTTACTGTTGACCAGGAGTCATGAAATGTGGCAAGAAGCAATGTCATGTAGCACAAGTACAGGGAAAACTCCGAAAACTAAATAAAATAAATTTGTAAATAAATATTTAAAATAAATAAAAAACTATCGTGATCAATATATAGAATGTGAGGATGTGTTCCCTGACGATGGTGATGGTATTGGTGGAAGAAAAGATCTTTAAAAAAAAAAAGAAAAGATTAAAGTTTTGTTTGTAATGGATAATTAAAAAAATTTAAGGGATCAAAATAAGGACCACTTTGGGAACTAGGGGTCTAGAGTTAATATTAATTTCATTTCATTTTATCAATTTTATTTAAATTTTGCACCGCATGTTATGGAGCGGGCGTTAATAGCTGCGACACAGTCTCTTTGTGACTAATGCAGTTATTATCGAACCTACAAAAAACTGTAAATTAAGCTAAGGATCCCAAATAAACATTTTTGTTTTTTATATTATTTCGTTTTCAGATAACAGAAATCCTGTTGTTAGTAACATGACATAAAATTGTATTCTTTTATGCAACTTAGAATGGTAAACAAGCTAACGGCCCACCTTATGGAATGAACATAACAGAGTATACTGTTTCGCCAATGATATCCCCACATGTGTTACCCCCCATGTGTTGCCATTCCTGAGGATTCAGGTGTTATTCCTCTGTACCCTGTAAACTCACGGCCATATACTGCCCGTCAAACCGAAACACAGCCATGCAAACACAACTGTTTCATGGTAGAAATACGAATAGGACAGAGATATTATTATGTTACGTCCATGGTACTGCTCATGTCTATAGGCGACGGTTACCACTTTCCATCAGGTGGGTCGTCAGCTTGATTGTCATTCTAAGTTGTATAAAAAAAAGATGCCCAAGCAAATGACTTTTGTACAAAGTCTCCCTCTGCTGTATTGTTATTGATGTTTTTTTTTCAATTAACAGTTCCCAAGGACTTACTGGCGCCACGCTGGGCTGGCAGGAGTGGCAGAGCACCAGATGTCCACAGCCAGATTACAGCCTGAGCCGCACCCAGTCAATGGGTATTGACTCTATTTATTTTAAAGTTTGTTCAAATGAAGGACCTTCAGTTCAAGGTGAAAAGCCATCATCATTTCAGCCTTTAACTGTCCACTGCTGGACGTAAGCCTTCCCCATAGAGGAGTTTTGCCACTAGTTAGCGTTTGGCAGGTAAATTAGCATTCGCATTTAAGCTTTTAGAGATGTTTCTTTTAATGGGTGAAAATGGCATGGGTAACCCCACCTGCGCTATCGGTATACACTGGCGGTGCACCAGTGAGAGGTGATAGGTGAGGATGAAAAGGCAGGTCGGTTAGCCCGTTATGACTAATTCAATTATAAATTTGTCATGATAGTTTTCAGAGAGGACCGCGTGGAGGTCGACCTGATAGCGTATATTGATAGCAATGGCGACTAATCTCCCCATTACTAACAATCCTTTCCCCCCAATTTAGAAATGTTTTAAGAGGGATGCTGCTTCCCATCCGTCGACCATGAAGTTCTTTTAGTAGCCTCTTACGACACTCACGGGAATGGAAGGGCTGGCCTATTCTATGCCGGGACCATACGGCTATACACAATTTTCACAATACGTAAATGGTTACTTAGCAAAAGCTTTTATTCTGTTGACGAATTTTTCAAAAAAAAAAAAAAATAGATAAATTTCTAATATAGTTGTCGATGCATAAATTAATCAGTACCTATTAAAATGGGACATTTGCATGCTATTCTGTAATGGCTAAATAGACTCGAAACTTTATGTAATGTAAGACCACCGATACCTACCCTATTTAATGTAAATAAATTTATTATTATTATTAATATATTTATGTATTTATTTTATAAATTTTTAGGTACAATTGTTAGGGGGCGTTCAAGTTTACGTAACGCATTTTAGGGTAGGGCAGGTTTTGTGTAACGTTACGATGCGTTACAGGGGCGAGAAAGGGAGTTCGAACCACGCCCTACGTAACATTGGTTTTTTATTCAAATAAAAAAAAAAAACTAGGGAAATAAAATCTCGCAATGTGGCAACCCTTTTTGTTATTTTTTATGGGGAATCCCTCTACTGTATTGTACGTATTTTTTCATGGGGGGTATCATGGGCGAAACAGTATACTCTGTTATGTCCATGGTACTGCTTATGTCTATAGGCGACGGTTACCACTTACCATCAGGTGGGACGTCAGCTTGTTTGCCATTCTAAGTTGTATAAAAAAAAAACGTAATTTTTATTGTGTTCATTGTCAGTATTCGTTAATTTTGTGATTTTAAGATGAAAATGGTCACTTGGGTGTTACGTAACGTTTAGGGAGGGAAGGAGGGAGGGGGGAGGGCGTGTTAAATGTTACTACGCGTGGCAAGAGGAGGAGGGAAGGTAAAAAATTGCATTGTCATCATCTTGGTCAACTCCTAACAAGGCCTAGTGGTGAGGGCGGGCGAGGTAGGGGCCTGAAGGCGAACCCCATTTTCCCGCATCTTCTGCGGAGGCCATTGCCTCCGAATCGCTGGGTTTTAAGCCGACATACATTGATTGTTTGTATGTCAGCGTGGCGTCTATAAGTTGTTTTACATAATACTTGAACGTCTCCTTGTCACTAGATGGCGTTGCATGGAAAACATAAACAAAAATATCTAGAAATGTCATTGTTTAATTTCTCTTGTTCACAGCATGCCAACGGAGATGCCACATGTCTTATATACCAAGGTAATTATTTATATTTGATATTATCAAGAGGAAATATTCGATTGTTTATACAACTTAGAATGGCAAACAAGCTGACGGCCCACCCGATGGTAAGTGGTAACCGTCGCCTATAGACATGAGCAGTACCGTGGACATAACAGAGTATACTGTTTCGTCCATGATACCCACCATGCGTTGCCATTCCTAAGGACTCGGGTGTTATTCCTCTGTACCCAGTAAATTCATGTCATATCCCACCCTTCAAACCGAAACACAGCCATGCAAACAACTGCTTCACGGTAGAAACACAAATGGGACAGAGGTCTGCCTTTCCAGATTGTATAAACATCTGTTTTTTTTTTTTACAGTTGGACACCATGGACAAAGGACGAGTCGATGCAGGACGAGTCGCCGCCGAACGCGGACGACTCGAACCAAGAAGTCAAGCCGGTCTTCACGATCACTTCCATAGAAATGGACCATTTGAAACAAACATGCAACCTCACCTCGCTCGCATTGGAATATTGTAACATCGATTGCAACAGAGTAAGTATCATTATCAATTGTATCAGCGTTTAATTTTCCACTGCTGAACATAAACCTCCCCTTGGGGGGTTCTGCCAGTAGTTGCCACGTTTGGTAAGCGGAATTGGCAACCACAGTCAGCCTGACTGATATATTAGAAATGTTTTAAGAGGGATTTCTAGGATGGGCATAGTCCACACGTATCCTCTCCAAATAGGCTTATGGATCTTATATTTGCATATGGGATCAGTTAAGCTGTTTCATGTCGACCCATCAGGATCTTTTGTGCTTCCCCCTGTCTTATACCATCATTTCATAGATCCTATATGTTACCTTAACGATATCCCGCGGTTTAAGATATCTGTAGTCCTCTGGCTCCGGATAAGCCGTTCCCAGTTGACTCATACGCATGCTCGCCAACGAATCGCAGTTGCACATCAAGTGTTCCATGGATTCCGATTTCTCCTCGCACAGTCCGTACAGTGTGTCCGAAGATAGACCCATCTTGTGTAGTATATGCCTTATTGGCATATGTCCAGTTAAGGCACCCATAACGAGTCTTGTCTGTTGTCTGCCACTACGCTTATGGACAATTACAGTGGAATTAGTAAAGTATGTTCATTTTTTGGTGTAACTTCCATATATTCCATATTCCATATATATTTGATAATAAAACAGTGCCCCGTGTGGGTACAAATTGAATATCAGCGCTGAACGCACACGAGTCCAGCAGAAGCTGAGTGTGTACGTATTGCTATTTATACGGGTACTTGACAATGTGTTTATTTAGTCATATATGTACATTGTAATTTTTGTATCGTATTTTTAAAAATGGCAATATATGTTATGTGCAGCTCGGCCTGAGCCATTTTCCGTCGACGCTCAAGAAGCTGTCGCTTCGTGGAACCAAATGTTTCAACCAACGCGTGGACAAGACATTCCTGTTTAGGATATCGGACTTCCTGCCGCACTTGGAGGTTAGTGGACTTAGTTTTAAATATTCTAAAACATTCATTCATTGGCCTTATATATTATGTACTTAATGTAAGGCGAGTACAGTATAGTATGAAACAGAAGTGGAGATGGGCAGGTCATATAGCGAGGTACAAAGATGAAAGGTAGACTCTCCAAACAACAAAATGGCGAGGTCCAGCAGGAAAAAGAAATGTTGGAAGGCAAAGAAAGAGATGGGCTGATGACATAATAAAGACAGCAGGAGAAAACTGGACAAATATTGCTACAGATAAGGAGAAGTGGAAAAAGATGGAGGAGGCTTTTACCCTTGGTGATCACTGAAGTGGATAAAAAGCTATAATAATGACATCATCACGCTCTACTGGGACCGATCCATCATCACGAACAGTTCGGACGGACAGTTCGGAACAGAACGGACAGTTCTTGCAAACAAACCTGATATCGTGGTGATGGATCGGGCACTCTCGAGGGTGTTTTTGGTGGATGTCACCATACCTCATGACGAGAACCGATTTGGGTAATTCTTTTTTTTTATCTCAAAGGATAATAAAGGTCCCATCGAAATTTTACCAAGATGACTACATTAGTTTAGTTTTTAAATCGAAATAACTGGGTTTGTCACAATTTAATTTGATTCGATACGACATCATAACCTTCAAGAAAAGAGTATATATTCCTTTTTAAAAGGCCGGCAGCACACCTGCAATGCCGCTGGTGTTGTGAGTGACCATGGGCGGCGGTAGTCACTTACCATCAGGTGAGCTGTATGCTCGCTTGCTGTTGTAAAAAAATTGTATTATTGTGGGACGCATATATATATATATATATATATATATATATTCTTTATTGCACTTGTAAGTTACATATAAAATAATGCATTTATAAATGTTGTGAGCAAGCGTGGAGTTACCTCTGACATGTGTGTGTGTGTGTGTGTGTGTGTGTGTGTGTGTGTGTGTGTGTGTGTGTGTGTGTGTGTGTGTGTGTGTGTGTGGTTGTGTCGTGTGTGTGTGTGTGTGTGTGTACGGCAGCACCTGGACGTGTCGGAGTGCCAGTGGATGGAGCCGGTGTCGCTGATGACGCTGAGCAAGATGGCGCGGCTCGAGAGCCTGCACATGCGCGACTGCCGCCGCCTCAGCGAGTTCGTCGCCTACGCCTCGCTGTCCATGCGCTACGGCTTCCGGAAACTGAAGGTAATATACTCTATGCTCATTTTTTTATATTTAAATTTTTTTAAATCTATAATCAAGAACTAGTTCGATTGTGTTTTAATAAAATTAAATAAATTTCAAATATTTATTATTCTTACTAGAGGGAGACTTTGTACAAAAGTCGATTGCTTGGCCACCTCTGTCCTATTCGTATTTCTACCGTGAAGCAGTTGTGTTTGCATGGCTGTGTTTCGGTTTGAAGGGTGCGATATGGCGTGAATTTACAGAGTACAGAGGAATAACACCTGAGTCCTCAGGTATGGCAACGCATGGAGGGTATCATGGGCGAAACAGTATACTCTGTTATGTCCACGGTACTGCTCATGTCTATAGGCGACGGTTATCACTTTCCATCAGGTGGGCTGTCAACTTTTATGCCATTACAATTTCTATGAAAAAAATGCAAAAGTTTTAAATAGCTCAGTTATTGAGAGGAATATGCTCGGAGACTCTTTGCGTAACAGCTTCTGAAAAGAGGATATCTGTAAAAAAAACAAACTGGCCGATATAGCCTGAAGGTTAAGCAAGCTGAAGTGGTAATGGGCTGGTCACATTATTGAAAGAATCGACAATCGATGGAGAAGAAAGAGTCTTGAGTGGCTAAATTTGAAAAGCCGTTTTTGTCAAAATGTAATCAGCCAGACGTCACTTTAGCTGAACTCAACTTTCTTTCCATATAATTTAAGAAAGCAAACAGTGCGTTGTTGTGCGCAGTCGCTGGACGTGCGCGGCTCGCCGCTCGGCAACTCGGAGGTGACGGCGCTCGGCTGGCTGCCCGCGCTGCAGCAGCTGCGCCTCGCCGCGCCCGCGGCCGCAGCAGCCTCGCCACCGGCCACCTCGTCGCCAGCGCCGCCGCTGCAGCCCTGGGAGAGACACGTGAGCGCACGCACGCACAGATGCACACATGCACGCACATTACACACGCACACACGCACGCACGCACGCACGCACGCACGCACGCACGCACGAAAATACCTACTAACATTAAATCACAGTATAAGTTCACCTTATAAGAAGGGGGGAAGGGTCTCACTCACCCATTGCCAGTAATTACCATCACATCAAGTCAACCTCCACGTGGTTCCGCCTGGAAACCGTCGTGGGTAATTCTAGTGGTCGTCACGACGGGCTAACTGACCTGCTTTCGTCCTCACCTATCACGCCTCACTGGTGCCCCACCGGTGTATACCGATAGCACAGGCGGGGTTACTATTCCATTATCACCCATTAAAAAAAAAACTTTATAAAAAGATATTGTATTTAATTTACTCATTAAATCTAATGTAAAATACTATTTTATCCTTATATCTCACTTATTTATTTATTTCCAAACCGATACGACATCGCAACCTTCAATAAGTGTATATTTTTTTGCTCGTTCGCCCCCTGTGCTATAAAAAAAAATATTCTTTCATTCTTTCTTTATACTTTATTGTACACAAAAGGCATTGTACACAAGGGCGAGCTTATCTCCAATAGAGATCTCTTCCAGCAAACCCAATATGAGAAAACTGACAGTTCATTAGTGGTTACAGTCGTACATGTGTACCGATCGACTTAAATGTCATAGTTAAAAATAAACAAATAAAATATCTTTACAATTGAAAAGACCGATAGGTATAAATATCTGTCTGCTTGAGCGAAACTGGGACGGATTGCTAGTATAATATAAGCTTTTTAATTGTTATTTATTTAATAACATTAGTTTCTATGTTTTCTTTAAGGTACCTGAGTATTTCAAGACTGGTATGAAACTGTCAGATTCGGAGACGGTGTCTGCACAAACGAATGTTAGCACTATGACAGAAAATAATATGTAAGTGAAATATAATAATGTAAGTAGCCTTTAACCGTCCACTGCTGGATATAAGCCTCCCCTTAGGATGGGTTTACCAGTAGTTGCCACGCTTGGCTGGCGGATTGCCAACCGTAGGCTTTAGAAGTGTTATAAGAGGGACGCTGTTGCCCATCCCTCGCCCTCCTTATGTTGGCGCTTACGACACCCACGGGAAAAGAAGGGATAGCTTATTCTATGCCGGGACCACACGGCTATGCATCATGTGTATCATGTTTACCAGAGGGAGACTTTGTACAAAAGTCGATTGCTTGGCTACCTCTGTCCCTTTCGTGTTTCAACCGTGAAGCAGTTGTGTTTGCATGGCTGTGTTTCGGTTTGAAGGGTGAGATATGGCGTGAATTGACTGGGTACAGAGGAATAACACCTGAGTCCTCAGGAATGGCAACGCATGGGGGGGTATCATGGGCGAAACAGTACACTCTGTTATGTCCATGGTACTGTTCATGTCTATAGGCCATTCTAAGTTGTATAAAAAAAAAAAAGAAAAAAACAAAAAAGTATAATAGTAAAAATTACACTTATTTCCATTTATTTTGTCAAAATTATATATATATATATATATATATATATATATATATATATATATATATATATATATATATATATATAAAATGACAATCTATTCCACATATTAAACAAAATGATATCTAGGATTTTCTGTATGTTTGATATCTCCTCACATTATAAGGTCCGATTACAAGAATCCGACTATTTCTTTGCCAACATTTAGCTATGAAGAAGCACTTATGGTTACATATATAAACTGCCTTGCACATTTATTATAATATAAAAAAAAAACATAAAAATATTTCAAATTTCAGAAATGAGGATTCTCAAAACAAATCTGATCATTCAGACGAAGAGCGAGACAGACAGAATAAAACAGAACGAGAAGCTTCCAAACGTAAGAACGAGAAAGGAGATACTCAAGACCGGCCTGAGTCGTCCAAACGCCAAAAACGAGATCCCAACACTAGTTCGTCGTCTAAATATACAAACTCGTCCGACTCTGATTCAGACAATGATGACAATGATCAAAGTAATTGTGTTCTTATAAAGAAATTCAAGCTAAATGGAGTCAATTTCAGCAAAGCCACCACGATTAAACACAATACAGATTCGGAAAACGGCGAACAGCCATCGACATCAAACTGCCAGAATGCATCTACCGATTCCAAGCCAAAGCTCGAAAGTTACGTACGTTTCCGTCAAAACGAAGCGCCTGTATTTATTAATTGTCAACTATTTAATAATGAAAATAGAAATGGAAATGCAAATTCTAACGTTAACAATGATATTAGCAATAATGGAAATAGTAATGCAAACAGCAATAGCAACAGTCATGGAAACAACTCCAATAATGAAATTAACAACGCTAGTAATGAAAATAGTGACAATAATAATGAAAATATAAACGGTGATAATGAAAATGCAAATAATGAATATAGAGATTTTGAAAATAGAATCAACGATGGCCCCCCGTATAGGATAGTGCAATACAATCCCCAAGATCCATTACACCGTATACCAAGAGCCCATATAGTCTATGTCAATGTTAGAGAGCAACGCCACAATGTATGCCGTTTGACGATACCAAACGAAGCGCCAAACGCCCACGAGCCTAGATATTGTGTGACCAGGTTACCTCCGACCAGGGAATCTGATCCGTCAACGTTAGTCACAGACATTGCGGTGCAGCATTTCGGGAGAGCTGAAGGGGAGGATGTAAGTTACTTCAGGATCGGACCGCCCGGTCCTGAACTAATGGGGAGGCCCAATGTGTCCAACCTTAGGGAACTAACAATAAACGGATACAGGAACATAACGGATCGGAGTTTGGTACATCTAGCGACGGCGGCGCCGCATTTGAGACGGATAGATTTCCGTGGTACAAGGGTAACGCAGAGAGGCGTGGACGATTTTAAGAGCCTGCGTCCAGATGTAGAAATCGTGTTTAGTGAATTTGTAGAGAAAGAATAGGGAGCTCACGCAGTATTTCGTGAAGGCAATATACTATGTAGCAACGTAAACAGCAAATAGTGATTTGGAAGTCTACAGTAAGCACGGCTAATATCGGTACTGCTCTGATATCTATATACTGGGTTTCTGTGAACATCGATGTCGGAAAGGTCAGCACCCATTACGATATCGCCCAAATCAGTCGGATATCTCTATTTATTTCCATCGGCTTTTTAATTTTAAATAATTGAATAACGGATATTTAATATATCCGTTATTCGGCTAATACATAGATATAGTACCTACAATATACACATATTGACTTTGATGGCGGGAAATAGTTTTTTTATTATTTTGCCATCTATCAATATGAACTATGTTTCAGTTTAGTGCTGTATCGTTTACGTTGTAACACAATAGCGTCTTTATCGATTTATATGCCAGTGAGCCTCCTTACGAATTAGTCGCAATACGGATTTAGCATAATGTGCGTATCAAGCGTATATAGCATGTATCAAGCTTAGATAAAATACATTTAGATAGAGTTGTCGAGTGTCAAGTGCACACAGAAAATGGTTTACGTGTTTTTTTTTTTTTTTTTAAATAACATTGCGCGCCATTTCTGTGTTGCCAGCAATGTTTCGCTTATTTATTGTTTTTAATGTTATTCTAATATATGTATATGCAATACAGGGTGATATCAAAATCGTAAGCATCCATTTTAAGGAGTGTTCTGTATAGGGGGAGGGGGGCTGTCTTTTTACCCACGGTTGCAAATAAGCTTAGCAAAGATGTGTCTAAGAGTAAATATGCCCCATTTTCGTAATGCCCAGTTCCCGACTCCCTGCTCCTGGAAAATAAACTTAAATACATGGTGTTCTACCGGCGAAACTCAACATTTTCACCAAAGGAACATGGGCGAGAATCAATTTTTTAATTGCCTCCCATATTGACGGCGCATCCAGCAGTCCAGTTAGTATTATTAAATTTTTTTTTATAGTTGAGCGATATTGAATTTTTTATCTACGTTTCTGTCTTAATATATACTAGCTGTATCCCACGGTCTCGCCCGTGCTTGTATCGTGATATTGTAATTGCCCATACCTTACTCAAGTAATGAGTTATTAAATAAACCCAACCGATTGTTCCACAGATTGAGTGTTTAAATATATATATATATATATATATATATATATATATAATAGTATGAGTAGATTCTTATTTGTACGTACTTCGACCTCACCCTGTATATATAAAGAATGATACAAATCCATTTATTCACATAAGAATAAAAATATAAAAGCCGGTCTGTTTTACGCAAAGCATTTGTAGGGCGACACTCCATCTAGATGCCACTAACCTAGTGCATAATTTATGCGAATTTATTTTAAATATGAAATATCAAACATCGGACTGGAAAGATCTCAGATTAATGCTAATGTTAAGGTAGAACTAAACGCAAAATGGCGGACATAGACCGCCATTTTGTTTCAATAAATAAGATTGTACTATTATTATAATTGCAATTATTTTGAATTTAGAATGTAATAATTATATTATAAATTAATTGGTTTAAAGATATATGATTATAATAAAATTTTGATATAGTAATTTTTTATTGTTTTTTATTTTTCATCAATCCAGTCAATGTAAGTTTTCGCCAAAGCCACAGATAATATAATACTATTATATAATACTAGCCATAGAACAGTATAAGTACTACAGTATGGAAGGGGGGGGGGGATTGTTACTAATCAGGTCGAATGAATCAGATGAACCACCTCCTTGTAATGGATTTATTGTTCAACTCGTCACGATGGGCTAACTGAACTAATGCATCCTCACCTATCATCTCTATATATGTTTTTGTTATGTATAAATGTATGTGTGTATATATGTATATGTATGTGTATATATATATATATATATATGTATGTATGTGTATATATATATATATATATATGTATGGGTGTATGTATGTATATATATGTATTTATGTACGTAAGTTTTTATTCATTTATGTATTAATGTTATATTATTATTTATGTACTTTTATTATTTACATATGTAGGTATATAGAGCTGTTTTAATTGTATTATATATTCAATATTTTCACTGGGTATTATTTAGTTTCTCTTTAATTGTACGGTCATTACCCTTGTACATTCTACAGTTTTCTTTCAGCTTCTCAAAGGTCGACTGTAAGAGATCCCTCTATGGGATAAGTCCGCCATTGTGTATTAAATCATTCACCAGTGTTTAAACCGAGTTATGTACAATAAAGATTTTACAATACAATACAATCTCTTACTGGTGCCCCGCCAGAAGTGTATACCGTTAGTTCGGGGTTACTATTCCATTTTCACCCATTAAAAAAAAACAGTATGGACCTTACATTATGAACGTAGTACGTTATACTAAGTCTATGATCCCAATAAACTTGTGGCGTCACTTTCAAGGTCATTTGAGGCCTTAGATTATAAAGTATTAGCGGCCCGCCCCGGCTTCGTACGGGTGGACTTTTTTTTTTATTTATACAACTTAGAATGGCAAACAAGCTGACGGCCCACCTGATGGAAAGTGGTAACCGTCGCCTATAGACGTGAGCAGTACCATAGACAACAGAGTATACTGTCTCGCGTTGCCATACCTGAGGACTCAGGTGTTATTCCTCTGTACCCAGTAAATGTTAGGAACCATAACATATATTTTATGTATGAATTGACAAAGGAAATTATTACATTTAAACTAATTAATATTTTGAAGGTATTCCAATTAAAATAACATATATGTCAATATTATACCCAGTTTACAGTCTCGTGGAAGCCAATCCCGTGCTAACACTGGTCAAAGTTAGCACACAATCAAAGGCAAAGAGTACTTTTAACAGCATTGACGTGTCCGTTGGGACACTAGATTTCGTAATTGTAAATATATGTGAATATCTTTTAAACTTTTAACTTCAATTGTTTAGAGATTGCCAATAAGTGTCACATGACATCTAATCGATTAAATCGATTCAACAAATTGACAAAGACAACAGGCTGTTACAATATTCAGCTATAATAGTTAAATATAAATTTACTAGTTTTATACAATCATACAATTAAGCATAGATAATACTTAAGTTATGAACTCATGACGATATACTCGCTACCTTATATAAATTAAAACAATTAAAAATAATTTTTCGAAGACCACAGATGCAAAAAATAAAATTATATTATCGTGAATCAATTGTAATAAAAGATTTTAATCTTATTCTTGTATTATATCCATTATACGTAGCTGAGCAAACACTTCGTCTATATTACAACATAGAGTAACATTATGAATACAAGGGATTTTGACATTATTACTCTATATCGTCATACCTACACTAAAGATAAGTAATTTTTTGTCTTTCTCGATATAGCATATCATTTTCGATTAAATTAAGGATGTCAAGTTAGTATTTTAATATAGTTATTTTTTTATTTCGAAAGAATAAATCAAAAATATATTTTTTGTTTTCATAAAGTTTTTTCAATACGATTTTTTTTCATAAGAGGTAAACTTCTGTATTTATTGTATTATTTGTGTATCAGTTTCATGGATAGGCCTTTACATAAATTTTTTGAGTGCTCCGGCGAAGGGCCTCGGCTCGACTATCAAATATGGTTAAAGTGGACATATGAAATGGAAGGCTGAGTACAAGCAACACACACGACTTTTAATCTAATAATCTCATATTTATTCAGAGATGTCTTAATACATAGAATGGTTATTCAATCTGCACTGTAGGTGTTCCGCCTTACCAGTGAGGGATGATATGTGAGGATGAAAGCAGATCAGTTAATGTATCGTGACGAATTCAACAAGAATTAATACTATATACGTTTCTGGGGAAATACGTGGAGGTATATTCCTTATAGGTAATGTAACATTTAGCAAATAAAAATATTAATAGGTATTTATTCTATATATTTAATAAAAATATTTATATATGTAAAGGTTATTTCAATAATAAATTAAAATTATTTTGGCACACAACACATTTATTTTGGCTTCACAGATTATGGAGATTGTTTTTCTTTTATGTCCGTCATCATCTTTTGTTATGCAGACATTGACTGTATTTTAAATAATTAGCATTATTTGTGTATTTGTTGATTGATTATAATACAATATATATTTATAAAATAAATTGCGACGTCTGTCCGCATAATTACTATTTGCACGTATTTCGAACAGTTATCGTGTGACGCGAGCTATCTACCGCACATATTGGGTAAGTGTTAAATATAATTTTAAATTAAATATTAGGCAATAAATCTTGCATTTTTCTTGTAGATACTGTGTTATTATGATTTGCTAAATGTCATAATGTAATGTGGGCTGAAACTACATCTGAATTGAATGCTTAAACGGCAAATCAGTGGCGTGCCGTCACCTACCCACCTATTGGATATTATATTTGCATAATAACATTTTTCATATGAACATGTGTTAATTTCACTCGTTATTGTAGTTACTTGTATCTCTTCATAATATCTTCGCTTGTAACTCTGTTCTGACTTCATCACCATCACCTCGCAGACATTAATCCCACCACGTGTACCAAACGCGACAGTAATGGTGCTGTTTTTTTTAATATTTCCACTTCCCATTAGGAGTACCTTCAAATTATCATGCAAGTTGGATGTTTTTATTTTAAATTATATTTTGACCTTTTTTCCAGAGGATAAAATATCCAAAATGGCGTTTGAGAAGGTGGGGAGGAGTCGCGCATAGTCAGGATTCGTAAGTTTACTCATCATCATCACCTTTATGCCCTTATCCTAATTATTCATTTTCATCATCAAGAGGTAGCTGTTGATGGTGACAGATACAATATATAGCCCTGATTGTTTTCAATGTATACACTCTAGCGTTTACCTGCACCATACAAATCGAGCATTAACACTTGCTTAATGTCAACCCCCCTCTAGAGTCCATTTGTTGGTGGTGTCTGCTACCTATAGCTATATACATATACATAGGTATGGTGGAAAGGGTCAAAGAAAAAGGAGGGTGATGCTGGGAGTGCATAAAGGAAGTCTGGTAAAAAAGGAATGAAGGATTTATGGGGAATTGAGAGAAGAGGATATTGCTACAGCTACATATTTGTGTGATTTCAATAAATATTAGATATTAATGCAAGCAAAGTAGTGGGTAAAAGCTAGTAATGTATAACTAATAATGTCAGAATGAATCAAACAGAAATATATGTCTGTAATTTGTCTGAAAACTGAAAAAAAAAATTAAATACATTGATTATAAAAATAGCATATTGGGGCATCAGTTCAATAGAAAAGAACTATTTTCTCCTACATTCTTCACAACTGGGACGCGCTTCCTGATGCCATTAAAAGACTACCGACTAAACCGTCTTTAAAAAAAACTTTCACACTCACTTTTTTAATTTATCCGAGCAGTAAGTGCTTTATATTATTCTCAATTTCGTGTATAATATAGTATATATCATATATGTGTAAGTATATTTGTTATTTATATATATTTATTCGTTTATATATGTAATTTTAGTATGTATGTATATCAATAATTAGTAGTACCGCGTTCGAGTATTCTGACACTTCCCTATGGTTGACTGGGAGAGAATGATTTTAGCATTAAGTCTGCCATGTACACATATATGTACTAATGAATAAATAAATAAACTATTTTCAAGGACTTCAGAAAGAAGGGAGTTCTCAAATTCTGTTGTATTTTTAAATGTTTGTTACCTCATAACTCGGTCAGTTTTAAACCAGTTTGGAACACCACATACTCATACCATTTTGGGCTTAGGCGCTTTTCTTTGATGGGTGATAATGGTATGGTAACCCCGCCTGCGCTGTCCCAGATACGCTGGCGGAGCACCATTGCAGGGTGATAGATGAAAATGAAAACAGGTTAGTTAGCCCATCATGATAAATTCATCCGGAATTAACCATGATAGTTTCCAGGGAGAACCGCGAGGAGGTCGACTTGGTTGGGTATATTGCTAGCAATGGGATTCTCAGTCTCTATTACTAACAATCTATTTCCCCCGGACTCAGGTGTTATTCCTCTGTACCCTGTAAATTCACTACCATATTCCCTTCAAACTGAAACACAGCCATGCAAACAACTGCTTCACGGTTGAAACACGAATAGGACAGAGGTGTCTAAACAAACGACTTTTATACAAAGTCTCTCTCTGGTAGACTGGTGATTTTTTTCTTGTAACAAAAACTTGCATAACAATTTCTCTATTTGTTGTTTCAGGTAAAAAAAAAACTGACAGAATTGAAATTGACAAGAATTGTGTAAGAAGTGGACTTAATGTGAAGAAACCAGACTCGGAGAACGTTGATGAAAAGAGAAATGATTTTAACAGAGAAACCAAAGCGAGAACAGGTACAAGAGGTAAGCAAGAAAAAGGACAAGAGCTAAGGTTTTATGGTTCATAAGAGATGAGACTTAATAATTTAATAATGCATCTATATTTCAGAGAAATTACAAATATATAAAAATACATATAACTCATGTAATGATGTCACCGTCCATGATTATGATATGAGTGAAATAGATGATCATTTCATGGAAAAGTACTCCTACAGAATGATCCATGGGCGAGTTTAACCTCCAAAATTTCTTACCAGAGACTTTGTTCAAGTCGACTGCATGGCTACCTCTGTCCCACCCGTGTTCCCGCCGTGAAGCAGCTGCGCTCGCATGGCTCGAAGGCTGGAATATGGCAGCGAGATCACAAGACACGGAGGCACAACACCATAGTCCTCGAGGGGGGAAGGGATTGCTAGTAATGCGGACTATCAGCCCTATTGCTAGCAATATACCCGAACAGGTCGACCTCCACGCGGTTCCCCCTGGAAACCATCGTGACTAATCATTGTTCAATTGGTCACGATGGGCCAACTGGCCTGTGCCCATGGCGTCCCGCCGGCGTACATCGCTAGCGGAGGCGAGGCTGCCATGGACACCACCACGCCATTGTTCGTGGTGGATTAAAATAAAACTCTTAATAGTTTAGTTAAGAACCTTTTTTTTTTTGTTTATTGCTGATTTGTAAATATCGCTCGTGGTGTTGGTGGTGGAGCGTCGCTGTGTTAAGTACTATTTTGTAGCATGCTGTCTCGAAATCGTACCTGCCGACCGGTTCCCTTACCACCTCACCAATGTGTTTTTCTAGTAAGATCGTTTTTTCTATATACAATATTCATTATATTTAGTTTGCCTCAAGCATACAGCATGTGTCCAATATAACATGTGTCTAGTTAGAGTAGTGTAAGCATTTCATTTAATATAGGTTTTTTTTTCTATTACTCGCCATTGGCGTAATGTAGCGTAAACATTATAACTAGACTCGAGTACGTTCCCCACTCGGCTGCGGTGTTCGGGGGCTGATTGGGTGGTCTCCAACGAAGCGGCCGGGTGGATGGTGTGTCGAGGGACGTCCGCCATTAAAAAGTTTTATTTCTCGTTTCATTAATTCTTTAGCGTAAGGTATTGAAAACATAACATATATATATACAACTAAATATGTGAGTAGTTTAAGCATTTCATTTAATTCATATTATAGTTTTTTTTTTTCTTTTATATATAATGTATTTAGCGTAAGGAAGTGTGACGCCTAATTCGTGCAGCTTCCGCCTTGTCCCCGGAGGCTGCTGCTAATTGTCTGGACAAACAGACGGTCACCGTTTAGTATGTAGTTTTCTTATTATAATTAGGTTATTAAACGCGAGCAGTGAAATGGTTAATACACTGTAATATTAGCTTTTATATACAACTTTCTAATTCTTGTCAGAATAAACATTTGATAGTCTAAGCATTTGTTAGTTTAAGCGTTTGTTAGTTTAAGCATTGGTTAGTTTAAGCATTGGTTAGTGTAAGCGTATGTTTCCAGACCGTCGTTATTCTGTAGAAGCTGAGAGAGTTTCTCGGCGCATGCTTCCAACGCAGGTGGCAACGATAGGCTACTATGAAATTGGGATCATCTTTGTGGCTTTGGCAGGTTCCAGCCAGCAAGGGTGTACAGGCACCTCCTGTGGCGGGCATACGCTGACAAACTTTCAGCTTACTGGATAACGGAAGTCTATTAATTTTAAGTAACTTTCATTAGTAATTCCTTTTCTTAATTTCTCTAAATAAATAGTTTTCATTTATATTCCTTTGTTTTATTTTACAACTAGTGTTTACCCACGACTTTGTTCGCTTGACCGCGATACTCTGTAGGCTTGGAGTTCTTAATGGGTGATAATGGAATGGTAGCTCCTCCTGCACTATCGGTATACGCTGTCAGGGCACCAGTGAGGGATGGTAGACGAGGATGCAAGTAGGTCAGTTAGCCCACTGTGATGGATTCAACAAGATTTAATCACATTGGTTTCCAGGGGAACTGCGCGGGGACAGACCTTACAAGATATACTACTAACAATGGGGATTATCCTCCCATTACTAATAATCCCTCTCCCCCCTGTAGTCTCGGAGTATGTCGCAAGTAGCTGGTGAAACGTGTAGTATGAAAAATGATACACCTTACTCAGCTACGTCCCTTTATATAGGTGGATAGGCCAATAGCATTAAAAGCTCTCGTGACGCCTGCTTACCGAAGTGTATTATGCGTATATAAGTGCTCTGCTAGCGAACTGAAACGTTGATCACAGAATACGAGGGTGGATTTATGAGTCGTACAAAAGTCGGTTGCTTGGGTACCTCTGTCCCATTCGTGTTTCTACCGTGAATCAGTTGTGTTTGCATGGCTGTGTTTCGATTTGAAGGGTGGGATATGGCGTGAATTTACTGGGTACAGAGGAATAACATCTAAATCCTTAGGAATGGTAACGCATGGGGGGTATCATGGGCGAAACAGTATACTCTGTTATGTGCATGGTACTGCTCATGTCTATAGGCGACGGTTACCACTTTCCATCAGGTGGGCCGTCAGCTTGTTTGCCATTCTAAGTTGTATAAAAAAAATCTTGATAAGGGGAAGCCGTTCTTTTTTACTTCTTGGTTTAACTGGTCCAAGAGTGTAGTGTAATACTCTCTGTTTACTGTATTCCCTTTTTCGGAGGGAATCAATTAAAATTGTACCTAGTGCATCTTAGGAAACTGTAGCCTTAACTTTGCCTGCTGACGCGCCTGGCACTGTCTTGACCTTCTGAGTACTGCCACCGGCTTACACCCACTGCTTAATTTTAAGAGGGACGCTGCTGCCCATCCCTCGACCTCCCTTAATCGGCTCTTACGACACCCACAGGATAAGAAGGGGTGGCTTATCCTATGTCGGGACCACACAGCCAACAACCATCCATATTTGCCATAAATCTCCGACTGTCACTTCGTCCACACACGTCTTTCATCTCTAAACGTGGTGTTCTTTGGCAAATCAATATGTCTCTGCTCGGAGCCTAGTGTTAACCGTTCGGCAACATGTTCTTTCGTAGTTTCGATGCTGAACGGTTAACACTAGGCTTCAAGCAGCGATATAATATACCTGAAGATATTTCGTTTTTTTAATAAATGGTAAATTTTAATGAATGTAATGATATATATAATAATAAATGAATTTAACTTTAGTCACGTAGGTTTCCAGGGAGAACCGCGTGGAGGCCGACCTGATAGAGTATATTGATAGCAATGAGGAGTAACCTCCCCATTACTAACAATCCCTTTATCCCATATTCCTTGTTTTTTTTTGGGGGGTGAAAAAGGAATGGTAATCCCGCCCGCGCTATCGGTATACACCGGCAGGGCACCAGTGAAGGATGACAAGTGAGGATAAAGTAGGTCAGTTGACCCACCATGAAATAATTCGACAAGAATTGACCATATGGTTTCCAGGGGGAACCGCGTGGAGGTCGACCTGACCCCATTACTAAATTCTTCGTTTAGAAATGAGGTACCTCCACCTGCGCTATCGATATACGCTGGCGAGGCACCAGTGAGGGGTGATAGGTGATGGAAGCCGGTCAGTTAGCCCATCGTGATGAATTTTACAAGAATTAACTACTATGGTTTCCGGGGGGAGCCGCGTGGAGGTGTATTGCTTGTTTTAATGGATGATAATGGAATGATGACTCCGCCTACGCTATTTGTATACTGACGGGGCACCAGTGAGGGGTGAAAGGTGAAGATGAAGGGCAAGTCAGTTAGCCCATCGTGACGAATTCAACGATAGTCACAATAGTTTCCAGGGAAAACCGCGTGGAACCGATGTTTATTAGTAATGGGAACTAACCTCTTCATTACTAACAATCCCTTCCCCCGGTATATTGCCTGTAGGTAATGTAACGTAAAAGTTACATTTAGCAAATAATTTTATTATTTATGTAAATATTTATTTAAATTTCTGTCTTGCACTACTACTGCCCACTCACTACTTCCTATGCCACTGCGCTAAGTTGACTGGAAGAGATCTCTTTTAGAGATAAGTTCGCGTTTGCTAACATTGTTATTAACTTATTGTTGTTACTGTATGTTTTAGTGCAATAAAGAATATATATTAATAAGTATTTATTTCATATATATGATAAGTCATTTAAACTTTTTATTTTGCACAACCGCCTCCCTATAATGTGTGTACTGCTATAACGTTGTTACTCTAAGTTTAATTCCGTTGATTGTAAGTATTGGCGATGTCACGTGCATTAGTTAAATATTGTTTTTATTTGTGAAAATCTGTTATTGGCGTTTTGTTTTTACACCATTTTTTGTTATTATATTCTAAGCTGTTGGGTTTTCTTAAAAAAAAAATATTTAAGTGTATATATAAAGTTTATTTTTAATAATATATTAATTTTTTTTATGCAACTTAGAATGGCAAACAAGCTGACGGCCCACCTGATGGAAAGTGGTAACCGTCGCCTATAGACATGAGCAGTACCGTGGACATAACAGAGTATACTGTTTCGCCCATGATACCCCCCATGCGTTGCCATTCCTGAGGACTCAGGTGTTATTCCTCTGTACCCAGTAAATTCACGCCATATCCCACCCTTCAAACCGAAACAAAGCCATGCAAACACAGCCGCTTCACGGTTGAAACACGAATAGGACAGAACCACCCAAGCAATCGACTTTTGTACAAAGTCTCCCTCTGGTAAGAATAATAAATATTTGAAATTTATTTAATTTTATTAAAACACAATCGAACTAGTTCTTGATTATAGATTTAACACGACCGCACTAGTTCAATGCGATGTTTTAGCGATGCCGTTCACATCACTAGAGTGACTTCTGCGGCCGTCGTCGTTGATGGGCGGCGAGACATCGGTTACATTCTAAAGAACTAACGTTATTTGTGCTTGTTTATTGACAATAATATATTTATAAAGTAAACTGTGACCTCTATCTGCATAATTTAGAAAACCAATTATGCGGAAAGAGGTCGCAAATTACTGCTTTCACGTATTTCGAACAGTGATCGTGTGACGCGAGCTATCTACCCCACACACTGGGTAAGTGTTGAAACATAATTGTAAATTAAATATTAGGCAATAAATCTTGCATTTTTCTTGTAGATACTGTATTATTATGATTTGCTAAATGTCATAATGTAATGTGGGCTGAAACTATATCTGAATTGAATGTTTAAACGGAAAATCAGTGGCGTACCGTCACCTACCCACCTATTGGATATTATATTTGCATAATGACATTTTTCATATGAACATGTGTTAATTTCACTCGTTATTGTAGTTACTTGTATCTCTTCATAATACCTTCGCTTGTAACACTGTTCTGACTCCATCACGATCCTCGCCTGCGCTGTCGGTGTACCCTGGCGGGCCACCAGTGAGAGATGATACGTGAGGGTGGAAGCAAATCAGTTGGCCCACCATGACGAATTCGACAAATATTCACCAGGTTGTTTTCCAGACAGAATTATGTGGAGCTCGACCTTGTTGGATCTTAGTACTAACAACCCCCCCCCCCCCCCCTCCGTACCACATTCATCACAAATTGGGAAAGGGATTGGTGGTAATGCAGACTACCAGATCCATTGCTAGCAATTTAGCCTGTCAGATCGACCTCCACGTGGTCCCGTCCCAGCCCCGGACCGGCCACTGGAGGAAAGGGTCAAGCAAAAAGGCGAGGGATGCTAGAAGTGCATAAAGGAAGTTGGTAAAAAAAGGAATGAAGGATTTATGGGAAATAAAAGAAAGGGGGACATTGTAGTCACACCTAAACCGCTGATAAAGGGGGGAAAGGGATTGTTATTAATGAGGTCTAGTGAACCCATTGCTAGCAATAAACCCTATCAGGTCGACCTCCACACGGTTCTCCCTGGAAACCATCGTGGTTAATTCAAGTGGAATTCGTCACGATGTGCTAACTGACCTGCTTTCATCGTCACCTATCACCCCTCACTGGTTATTATTAATATTATATTATTATTATATTATTATTAGTATTATTATTATATTATAATAAACACAGTACTGGTGCCCCGCCAGCGTATACCGATAGCACAGACGGTGTTGCCATTCCATTGTCACCCATTAAAAAAGCCGCTTCTATAAGCGGCTTTTTTAATGGTTGTAGGCTATTATTTGTGTGGGACGAGAGGGAGGGGGTAATTTTTGTAGGATACTTTCTATTCCGTCGTCCGATTTGCTTCAAACTTTGCAGAGTTATTGTTCATAATGTATAATTAAAGTATACATATTTCTTGTCTCAAATTACTCCTTATTAAAGGGGGTGAGTTTATTTTTGTAACTATTTTATCTCTACCTGTACCAACAACCGGAATTGTTGAACAAAATCTCTATTAACGCAAGCGAATCCGCTGATAAAAGCTAGTAATATATGTAACTAATAATATCTAAATTATTTAAATGTAAAAATATGTCGGTAATATGTCGAAAGCTTAAAAATTAATTATAAACATCGAATATAAAAATAGCCTATTGGAGATTTTTTCTTATGAGTGAAAATGGTATGGTTACCCCGCCTGCGCTAACGGGATACGCTGGCGGAGCACCAGTGAAGGGTGATAGATGAAAATGAAAACAGGCTAGTTAGCCCATCATGATGATCATCAGGAATTAACCACGATAGTTTCCAGGGAGAACCGCGAGGTGGTCGACCTTGCAATGGAATTCTCAGTCTCTTTCACACATCACATTCACAATCCCTTTTCCCCCCTAGCCTATTGGAGTGTCAGGTCAATAAAAAAGAACTATTGTAGTGACTTCTTGGAGATTCTCGATTCGGTTGTATTTTTGTTGTCTGTCACCTCATAACTCCGTCAGTTGTGAACCGATTTGGCAAATTCCCATTGTACCCTAAGGAATATATTTACAGATTGTTTCCATAGAAATTGTATTAAAATTAGTTTAGTAGTTTAGTTTTTAGACAAAAGCAACTAGGTTTGTTACAATTGAAGTCTCAATTGTTCTAATGCCATTAAGTCATTTATATATTACAAAAAGTTTTTGGGATAAAAAGTTGTACAGCGCAGATATACATTTAGAAATTCGAAGCTTCTGTTCGACAGAGTGTGAATGTAAATATGTTCGTTTGTTACCTTATAGCGCGTTACGTAGCGAGCCACTATCGGGAACGCTGACGCCGCGCCGCGTCCATCGCTCGTGTGCATGACGTCAACGGCCAACTAGGCATTCGCTGACGGTGCACCACGAGGCCGGCACACGGGACCACTCGAAGACTCACTCTTTGTTCGCACATCGAACTGAGCACCCATTTTAATCATAATTAGACACTTTAGGGAATTTATATTGCAATTTTTATTATTAAATTTAGTAAAATTTCGCTTTCTTTGGAACGCTCCAGTTGTCCTCGTAATTGGCGCATGCAGCAGGACAGTTGGAGTCAGTGTTCGCCGCAGTCGGTATCCAGCTGCGACAGTCGCTGCTCCTATTCGTGGCCACTGATTGAGCTGTCAAGCTTTCAAGTGTCCTGACTTTGGGAGACGAAGCCAAAGATCCAAGCGTAGATACAACCCGAGAACAAACGAGATGCTGCTCATGTGAGTACTCTGAATTGACTAGTGATTGTTTACTTTTCCTTTCGTGTTAATTGATTGTGTTTAAGGAAATTTTCCATGAACTTCCACCGTGGCGAATCACGTGAATCTCGTAGTTTTAAAATACAGAACTGGCATACTCATTGGGAAGGATTTTTAGACAATAATAAGCAATCAAATATTAGTATTTATTTATTTATTTACACTTTATTGCACCAAGTAAAAAGAGAAATAACAAATACAGTAAATATTAATGAGAAGTGATACAAAAGGCGGCCTTATCGCTAAGCGATCTCTTCCAGACAACCTTTGGGTAGAGGACATTGAGAAAAAGACAAAGGGTAGGTGGCGCACTATTATATAAATATTATCACATACAAATATGTATACATACATACATATATACATACATACATACACATACATATATAATATATACACAATTAAATGTATACATAACATACACATACTTAACAGCACACGTACAACAGAAAAAAAATAACGAAGGAAAACGAAGAGAGAACACAGGAAAATAGTACTAAAGTGAGAGGTAGTAAGATTTAACAGAGGTTTTGAAGCTAGTAACAGTTTGAGCGCACCGAATAGAGGTAGGTAGTGAGTTCCACAGGCGAACTGCCTGAACAGTAAAGGATTTAGAATAAAAGAAAGGAGAATAATATGTAAAGAATAAAAAGTAATATGGCTGCTTTAGATAAAGTAATTAAAGCTCTTAGATTTACATCAGAATTTAATGGAAATTCTAACGCGTTAACTGGATTTATTAAATTGTGTGACCAAGTAGTCGTCGAGCGAGAATGCGACGGCAGTGAATGAGGCAAACTAGCATTAAAATAAATGGTATTTTCAACCGTTTTCAAATAGAAGGAAGCTCTCTATTTGATTGCATTTTTGTTCTATTGTTTGTTACCTCATTACTCCGTCAGTTCGAACCTAATTTGGAAAAGCCTTTTTTATCTGGAAGGATATATTTTTTAGAACTGTTATTAGAACGCTAGGCTCCGAGCAGCGATCTAGTAATTTGCCTGAAGATGCTTCGTTTAGAGACGAGACACGTGCGCGAACAAAATGGCCGTCGGAGATTGACGGCTAATATAGAAGGTTGTGGAACTTCTGGTAGTAACAGTGGTGGTCAGTCTTCGAGTGTTGGCAGTCGCACACGTGCTGTATAACAATGATGTCAATGTCTTACTTTTTTTTTTAATGGGTGATAATGGAATGGTGACCCCGCCTGCGCTATCGGTATACGCTGGCAGGGCACCAGTAAGGGATGATAGGTGACGATGTAAGCAGGTCAGTTAGCCCATTATGACGAATTACACTAGAATTAACCACGATGGTGTTTGAGGGGAAACAAATGGAGGTCGACCTGATAGGGTGTATTGCTGTCAATGGTTCAGTTAGACCCCATTACTAACAATCCCTTTCCCCCACTGGTAGTATCTCACTAGGTGTCTAACTCGAAGGCTCACTCTTTGTTCGCACATCGATCCGGGCAGTAATTTTAATTATAAATAGAATAGGTAACTATCTGTTCTCCTTTAACCAAAGGTTGTCTGTCTGGCGGTTTTATCGCTAGGGCGCCTTTTGTACCTTTATGTGTATATTTTGATCTGTACTCCATGCTACTGTATTTCACTTGAATTGTTTATATGTCATTGTTTATTTTTATGTTTTTAATGCAATAAAGAGTTAAATATTTTTTTTTTATACAACTTAGAATGGCAAACAAGTTAAAGGCCCACCTGATGGAAAGTGGTAACCGTCGCCTATAGACATGAGCAGTACCGTGGACATAACAGAGTATACTGTTTCGCCCATGATACCCCCCATGCGTTGCCATTCCTGAGTAAGTAATAGTAGTAAACAAATAAATAACTTTAGCTCCCGACTTCGTCTGCGATATGTTCACACCGCAATAAAAAGAAGCCTGTAACTTTGTCCGTCGCATACAGTAGGTACATATATATAAAGATTTCTTTAACTATTTTCCAGAATGGAACCTCAACACCGAGCTGGAACCAGATGACAGTATGAACTACTCAAACGCCGTACTCTCCGAGGATATAGCACGGAATATGACGGAGACGAAGCAGGCGGAGGATGCCGAACGCGTCATGGACACGCTGTTCATAGACAACTGCGATCACAAACGACTCAAAGGTACTCAGACTAGAGCAGTGTTTCCTAACATTTTTTGGGCCATGCCCCATTTGAACAGAATTGGGACTTTTACCAGAGGGAGACTTTGTACAAAAGTCGATTGCTTGGCCACCTCTGTTTCATTCGTGCTCAACCGTGAAGCAGTTGTGTTTGCATGGCTGTGTTTCGGTTTGACGGGTGGGATATGACGGTGAATTTACAAGGTACAGAGGAATAACACATGAGTCCTCAGGAATGTCAATGCATGGGGGTGTATCATGGGCGAAACAGTATACTCTGTTATGTGCATGGTACTGCTCGTGTCTATAGGCGACAGTTACCACTTTCCATCAGATGGGCCGTCAGCTTGTTTGCCGTTCTAAATTGTATAAAAAAAATTCAGTCGATTAATTTTTTTTTTATTTGTACTATAATACTAATTAGACATTAGCGTACTAGCGAATTATGCTTTGTGATAGGTACTCATAATGGTAAACAAACTGACGGCCCGCCTGATGGGAAGTGGTCACCGTCGCCTACACATACGGAATACACTGTGACGCCTATACTGCCCCTTATGCGTTAATAAGTTATTTGTTAACGTCAGTCCCATTACTAGCAATATTCTGTCAGGTCGACCTCCACGTGGTATCTCCAGCGGTAATTCTTTTATATATTTTTTCAGTTATTCGCAACGAAGCAGACGTTACTGGACCATTGCAAAGTACATTTCGACGTGTGCACTGAAACGACGCTCAAGAAATGCCCCCAAGGAACATCCATGGACGAGTTCGTTTGACCACCAATATTTCTCACGAGAGACTTTGTACAAGTCGTCTGCATGGGTACCTCTGTCTCACCCGTGTTCCCGCCGTGAAGCAGCTGTGCTCGCATGGCTGTGTTTCGACTCGAAGAATGGGATATGGCAGCGAGATCACAGGACTCAGAGGCACAACACCATAATCCTCGAGGGGGGAAGGGATTGCTAGTAATGCGGACTATCAGCCCCATTGCTAGCAATATACTCTAACAGGTCGACCTCCACGCGGTACCCCCTGGAAACCATCGTGATCAATCATTGTTCAATTGGTCACGATGGGCCAACTGGCCTGTGCCCATGGCGTCCCGCCGGCGTACACCGCTAGTGCGCGCTGGGCTGCCATGGACACCACCACGCCATTATTCGTGGTGGATATAAAATAATCTAATAGGAGTGGTTTAAGTATATCATTTTAATATAGTTTTTTTTTCTTTCATTTTATTTCGTTTTTAGCGTAAGGCATTAGTAAGTTTCCCACTTGCCCGCGGGGGCTGGTGGGCCGGTGGGCTGGTTTCCTATGCAGAGGATCCAGGTAGATGATATGTCGAGTAAAACTATCCATTTAAAATTTTTTTTTTCTTTTCTTTAGTTTAACTTTAGCGTAAGGAAGTGTGACGCCTAATTCGTGCAGCTTCCGACTTGTCCCCGGGGGCTGCTGCTAATTACGATGTCCGGAAATACATAATAGTGATATATTGTGATTTTTTATTATAAACATCATATGGAACGCGTGCAGTGACATTTTTGATACACTGTAATAGCTTTTATACAACTTTCTAATTCTTGTTAGAACAAACATTTGTTAGTTTAAGCACTTTTTTTTTTTAGTTTAATCGCATGTTAGATTAAGAATTAAGAATTATGCATGTTAGATAAAGATTAAGAATTTTTTAGCTTAAGAAGCCAATGTCTGCAAAACCTTTGTTATTTTATGCAACTTTCAGCTTAGTAGATAACGGAAGTCTATTAATTTTAAGTGACTTTCATTAGTAATTCCTTTTCTTTAATTTTTCTAAATAAATAGTTTTTATTTATATTCCTTTGTTTTATTTTATAACTAGAGTTTACCTACCTTCGGGCAGCTCGAATTATCGATAGTCAACGCCTTACTGTCCGACTTGACCCACTGAAACTGCGCAGAGATGTTGCATCTCTGTGCATCTTCTACCGAATTTATCATGGGGAGTGCTCTGAAGAATTGTTCGGATTGATACCTGCTGCTGATTGTCACCACCGTACAACCCGCCACAAACTAAAGTTTCATCCCAACAAATCTGGACGAGTATCGGTCTTCCACCGTGCGGTTTTCAAGGCACTTTCTTCCACGCACAACCACTCTTTGGAATCAACTTCCAGCAGCAGTAGTTCCGAACCGATACGACAACATAACCTTCAAGAAAAGAGTATATTCCTTTTTAAAAGGCCGGCAGCACACTTGCAATGCCGTAGGTGTTGTGGGTGATCATGGGCGGCGGTAGTCACTTACCATCAGGTGAGCCAAATGCTCGTTTGCCTCCTGTGTTGTAAAAAAAATCTTTGTTCGCTTGACCGCGATACATTGTAGGCTTGGAGTTCTTAATGGATAATAATGAAATGGTAACCCTACCTGCGCTACAGGTATACACCGGTGGGGTACCAGTGAAGGATGATAGGTGAGGATGAAGTAGGTCAGTTAGCCCATCGTGAAGAATTCAAAAGTACTGATTAAAAACCATCGTGAGATGGTTTCCAGGGGGAACCACGTGGAGGTCGACCTAATAGGGCATAATGTTTAATTTTTTTATACAACTTAGAATGGCAAACAAGCTGACGGCCCACCTGGCCCAGCTAGCAATGGGGCTGTCAAACTCCATTGCTAACAATCCCTTTCCCCCCGCAAGCAGGTCTGTTAGCCCACTGTGATGGATTCAACAAGATTTAATCACAGTGGTTTCCAGGGTACTGCGCGGAGGCTGATCTGACAGGATATATTACTAGAAGTTTTCACCAGAGGGAGACTTTGTACAAAAGTCGTTTACTTGAGCACCTCTGTCCCATTCGTGTTTCTACCGTGAAGCAGTTGTGTTTGCACGGCTGTGTTTCGGTTTCAAGGGTGGGATATGGCGTGAACTTACTGGGTACAGAGGAATAACACCTGAGTCCTCAGGAATGGCAACGCATGGGGGGTATCATGGGTAAAGAGGGTACTAATTGAGAAACCTTATCTTACACTACCCACATATTATATATATATATATATATATATATATATATATATATATATATATATATATATATATATATATATATATATTACCCTATTCCCTTTGGCCGCAACAGAATATCAGTGCTTTGCTCTTTCGAGGGCGAAGCAATAAACTGAGTTGTGGCCATTTTGTATTGTTATGTCACACTCGCAAACGAAAAATTTTATTGTCCCGAAAAGTATAACAAATACATAAATTTTTGTTATTTCAACATCAATTGCATATAAATTCTGATCTGTCACGTATATGACATGTTACAAAACATGCACACTAGTGTAATAAATTTCTTGACTCATATATATATATATATATATATATATATATATATATATATATATATAATACCATATTTAGCATATTTAGAACTAACAGAATGTATCATCGTACCTCCCATCAAATTGTTTATAATTACTCCTCTCCATCCAAAGGTTTTTTTTTGATGGGTGAAAATTGTATGGTAACCCCGCCTGCGCTAACGGGATACGCTGGCGGAGCACCAGTGAAGGGTGATCGGTGAAAATGAAAACAGTTAGCCCATCGTGATGAATTCATCGGGAATTAACCATCATAGTTTCCAGGGGGAACCGCGAGGAGGTCGACCTGGTTGGGTATATTGCTAGCAATGGGATTCTCAGTCTCCATTACTAACAATCCCTTTTCCCCCCCATCCAAAGGTTGCCTGCAAGAGATCGCTCTTAGCGATAAGGTCGACCATTGTTCTCTCATTGTGATAATTTCTTGTAATTGTTTATATTTATAATAAATTTACTGTTGTAATCTTTTGGAGGAAACAATAAAGAGTATCTATCTAACTATCTATTTATCACTCATTAAATATGACAAGGGCGGCCATGAGCGGTGGGGTACGAGCGAGACACATGAAGTATGTTCTAATATTCTCTCAGTAGGGGGAGAGAGGATTATTAATATTGGGAATTAGCAATCCCATTGCTAGCAATATACCCTGTCAGGTCGACCTCCACTCGGTGCCCCCTGGAAACCGTCGTTACTAATTTATCGTTCAATTCGTCACGATGGGCTAACTGTTCTGCTTCATCCTCGCCTGTCATCGTTTACTGGTGCCCCGCCGGTGTATACCGATAGCGCAGGCAGGGCACCATACCATTGTCATCCATTAAAAAATACTCTCGCATTTATTAGCAGTTGTCTCAATACATAGAATGGTAACCCCGCCCGCACTGACGGTATACGCTGGCGGGGCACCAGTAAGGGGTTACAGGTGAAGAGGTGAAGATGGGGCCAGTTCATAATAATTTATAATACATATATAAAAACAAAAATCGATTTTATTAAAACACAATCGAACTAGTTCTCGATTATAGATTTAACACGACCGCACTAGTTCAATGCGATGTTTTAGCGATGCCGTTCACGTCACTAGAGCGGGCTCTTCCATTTCTACGTGCGTCATCGTCCAGTACGGAGGGATCGGTTATATTTTTAAAGAATTAACATTATTTCTGTGTTTAATCATTTAAATTAATATATTTATTAAGTAAATCACGACCTATGCGGAGAGAGAGCTCGCAAATTGCTATTTGCTTGCACGTATTTCGAACAGTGATCGTGTGACGCGAGCTATCTACCCCACACACTGGGTAAGTGTTGAAACATAATTGTAAATTAAATATTAGCCAATAAATCTTGCATTTTTCTTGTAGATACTGTGTTATTATGATTTGCTAAATCTCATAATGCAATGTGGGCTGAAACTACATCTGAATTGAATGCTTAAACGGCAAATCAGTGGCGTGCCGTCACCTACCCACCTATTGGATATTATATTTGCATAATGACATTTTTCATATGAACATGTGTTAATTTCACTCGTTATTGTAGTTACTTGTATCTCTTCATAATACCTTCGCTTGTAACTCTGTTCTGACCTCATCACCATCACCTCGCAGACATTAATCACACCACGAGAACCAAACGCGACAGTAATGCGACAATTTTTTTTTTGGTGGGTAGAAATAGAATAGTAACTCCGCCTGCGCTATCTGTATACGCTGGCGGTGCACCACTGAGAGGTGATAGGTGAGGATGAAAAGGTAGGCCAGTTAGCCCATCGTGATGATTACACCAGGAATTCAGTACGATGGTTTCGAGAGGTGGGGTACCACGTGGAAGTCGACCTGGTAAGGTATATTGCTAGCAATGGGACTGGTAGTCCGCATTACTAACAATCCCTCCCCCCGTGAAGGTGCTCTTTTTTTTTCAATGGATGATAATGTAATGGTAACCCCACCCGCGCTATCGGTATACACCGGCGGGGCACCAGTGAAGGATGATAGGTGAGGATGAAAAGGCAGGTCGTGATGGATACACCTGGAATTCGTCACGATGGTTTCCAGGGGGGACCACATGGAGGTCGACCTGGTAAGGTATATTGCTTGCAATATGACTGGTATATAAATGGCCTATTACTAATAATCTCCCACCCCCATAATTCTAGCGCAGCGTTTTTCAATCGTATTCATGACGCGACCCCCTTAGCATGTAAAAATATCTTGCGACCCCACGGTTTCGAATGTGTATGAATTTTATTATAGTACAATTATGAAATCCATACAGTTATTTATATTCACAGTTAGGTGTCGATAAAATAAAATAAATAATACATAATAAAGTGTCTAAAACAGACGTGTAATCGATGTCTGTTACAAATACTTCTTTATTTATTATTAATTAATTGTGTTTACGGAACTGTTGGTTTGTCACCATTTCGACACCTTCTGCGACCCCCTTGTTGAGGCTCGAGGTCCGCCCAAGGGGCCACGACCCACACTTTGAAAAACACTAGTGTATCTGTCGAGCAGTTGCTTCGGTTTGAAGGGTAGGATGTGACAATGACTATACCAGAGGGATACTGTACAAAAGTCGATTGCTTGTGTACCTCTGTCCCATTCGTGTTTCCACCGCGAAGCAGTTGTTTGCATGGCTGTGTTTCGATTTGAAGGGTGGGATATGGCAGTGAATTTACTGGGTACAGAGGAATAATACTTGAGTCCTCAGGAATGGCAACGCATGGGGAGTATCATGGGCGAAACAGTATACTCTGTTATGTCCATGGTACTGCTCATGTCTATAGGCGACGGATGCCACTTTCCATCAGGTGGGCCGTCAGTTTGTTTGCCATTCTAAGTTGTATAAAAAAAATGAAGTTTTCACAGTATGAAGGTATTAAATCGTAGTCCTCAAGGACGGCAACGCGTGAGCGATACCATGATGCCCAAGGCGCTGTTCTTATCTATAGGTGACGGTTACTACTTACCATGAAGTGGGCCGTCAGTTTATTATAACCAAATGGGATATCTGCATTTTAAATTATATTTTATTTCATAATAGAATAGAAAAACACATTAGAATTTATTTATTGGACTCTATCAAATAATGGGAGGGGGGGAGTGGAATGTTAGTAACGGGATCCAACACTTCCATTGCCAGCAATGCAACCAGGTCGACCCCCACGCGGCTCCCCCGGAAACCATCGATGGGCCAACCAACCCGCTGTCATCCCCACCCGTCACCTCTCACCGGCGCCCCGCCAGTGCACACCGATAGCGCAGGCGCGGTCACCATTCCATTTTCACCCATTAAAAAAAATTTACTTTTTTTTTCAGAAGCAAAAATATCCAAAGCGGAGCTTGAGAAGGCGCCGAGGAGTTGCGCAAGATTCGTAAGTTCGCTCATCATCACCTTTTTTTTTTTATGCAACTTAGAATGGCAAACAAGCTGACGGCCCATCTAATGGAAAGTGGTAACCGTCGCTTATAGACGTGAGCAGTGCCATGGACATAACAGAGTATAGTGTTACGCCCACGATACCTCCCATGCGTCGCCATTCCTAAGGACTCGGGTGTTATTATATTTTTGTATAAAACTTTTTAATGTGCCAAAAAATTATTTTTAAAAATTTTGTCTGTCAGTACGTTTGTTCCGATATCACACAAAAACTACACGCATCAAATTGGACGTTAAAAAAGCTATCTTCAAGTAATTAATTTCTTTGGGTTTTCTATTTTTAAAATCCGCACCATAGCTTTCCAATTCGATTCTATTTTTATTATGTTTCTTCCCTGAAAACTCCGTGATTTATTAACGATTTTTTGTAACTGAACGATATACTTTCACATTAGTTCCTCCCCATGCGTTACCGTTCCTGAGGACTCTAGTGTCATTCCTCTGTACCCAGTAAAGTCACGCTATATCCCACCCTTCAAATCGAAACACAGCCATGCAAACACAACTGATTCACGGTAGAAACACGAATGGGACAGAGGTCAATCAATCGACTTTTGTACAAAGTCTCCCTCTATATAAGTGAGTCTCCCATGATATCTTCAATGATAATTCTTTTATATATTTTTTCAGTTGTTCGCAACGAAGCAGATGTTACTGGACCATTGCAAAGTACATTTCGACGTGTGCACCGAAACGACGCTCAGGAAATGTCCCCAAGGAACATCCATAGACGAGTTCGTTTCACCACCAATATTCACCATCAGAGGGATACTTTGTACAAGTCGTCTGCAGAGGTACCCACCTCTGTTCCACCCGTGTTCTCGCCGTGAAGCAGCTGCGCTCTCATGGCTGTTTCGACTCGAAGAAAGGGATATGGCAGGGAGATCACAGGACTCGGAGGCACAACACTATAGTCCTCGAGGGGGGAAGGGATTGTTAGTAATGCGGACTATCGGTCCCATTGCTAACAATATACCCTAACAGGTCGACCTCCACGCGGTTCCCCCTGGAAACCATCGTGACTAATCATTGTTCAATTGGTCACGATGGGCCAACTGGCCTGTGTCCATGGCGCCCCGCCGGCGTGCACCGCTAGCGCGCGCGGAACAGCCATGGACACCACCACGCCATTATTCGTGGTGGATTTACTAAACTATTAAGAGTGGTTTAAGTATTTCATTTAATATTTTTTTTTCTTTTAATTTATTCGTCTTTAGCGTAAGGTATTAAAAACTTGAGATACAAAGAAGGGCTGGTTTCCTATGCAGAATCCAGGTAGATGATATGTCGAGTAAGATTATCCATTTTAATATATTTTTTTTTTCTTCTGTCTTTAGCGTAAGGTATTAAAACCATATAACTAATGGGAGTAGTTTAAGCATTTCATTTAATATAGTTTTTTCTATTACTCGCCATTGGCATAATGTAGCGTAAACATTATAACTAGCCTTTTTTTTATTTTCTTTATCTTTGACATAATTGTAGCGTAAACTTGATAACTAGACTCGAGTACGTTCCCCACTCGGCTGCGAGGGCTGATTGGGTGGTCTCCAACGAAGTGGCCGGGTGGATGGTGTCAAGGGACATAAGCCATTACAAATTTTTCTTTCTTATTTTATTCTTTTTTAGCGTAAGGTATTAAAAACGTAACACATATAACTAAATGTGTGAGTAGTTTAAGCATTTCATTTCATTTTTTTTTATTTTCTTCGTCTTTGACATAATGTAGCGTAAACATAACTAGACTATTTTTTTTTTCTTTATCTTTGACATAAGTGTAGCGTAAACATTATAACTAGACTCGAGTACGTTCCCCACTCGGCTGCGGTGTTCGGGGGCTGATTGGGTGCTCTCCAACGAAGTGGCCGGGTGGATGGTGTGTCGAGGGACGTCCGCCATTACAAAGTTTTATTTCTCGTTACATTAATTCTCTAGCGTAAGGTATTGGAAACATAACATATATATATACAACTAAATATGTGAGTAGTTTAAGCATTTCATTTAGTATAGTTTTTTTTTCTTTATTTATATTTAGCGTAAGGAAGTGTGATAACTAATTCGTGTAGCTTCCGACGTGTTCCCGGAAGTTGCTCCTAATTGTCTGAACAGCAAAGAATTGTCACTTAATATGTAGTTTTATTTTATTTTATTTTAATTAGTTTATAAGACGCGTGCAAAAAAATTATTAATATATATATATATATATATATATATATATATATATATATATATATATATATATATATATATATATATATATATATATATATGTTAAATGGAGTAAACCAGGTCAACTGTGCTGGTGAGTGCGGCCGGGATGTGTCCACAGATCAGGATAAGCTGAGTGTCCCGCTCTGTGACATATACTCGGACACGCACAAACACACAGTCGGACACGAGTCACATTCATTATTATAGCTTTCATACAACTTTCTAATTCTTGTTACACTACAACATTTGATAGTCTAAGCTTTTGTTTGTTAGTTTAAAAGTTTATTAGCGTAAGCGTTTGTTAATTTAAGCATTTGTTAATCAAGCAAATGTCAGTTTTCGTTTTTTAGTAATAATGCAGCTTGCTAGAAAACGAAAGTCTGTTAATTTCAAGTAACTTTCTTTTGTGATTCCTTTTCTTAATTTCTCTAAATAAATAGTTTTCATTTATATTCCTTTGTTTTATTTTACAACTAGTGTTTAACCACGACTTTGTTCGCTTGACCGCGATACTCTGTAGGTTTGGAGTTCTTAATGGGTGATAATGGAATGGTAGCTCCACCTGCACTATCGGTATACGCCGGCAGGGCTCTAGTGAGGGATGGTAGACGGGGATGCAAATAGGTCTGTTTTTTTTTTGATGGGTGAAAATGGTACGGTAACCCCGCCTACTTCTAGGTGAGGATGAAACCAAGGGGTCTACCATGAAATCAGTAGGAGACAGGGAGAGTGTACAAAAGTCGATTGTTTGGGTACCTCTGTCCCATTCGTGTTTCAACCGTGAAGCAGTTGTGTTTGCATTGCTGTGTTTCGGTTTAAAGGGTGGGATATGGCGTGAATTTACTGGGTACAGAGGAATAACACCTTAGTCCTCAGGAATGGCAACGCATGGGGGTATCATGGGCGAAACAGTATACTCTGTTATGTCCACGGTACTGCTCATGTCTGAATTTTTGTTCTGACCGGAATCAACCCAGTAAATGGAGCTTAACATTTCGTTTGTTATAAATCCTACCATAAAAGTCCAAAGGAACGATACTTTAGAATTTTTTTAAATGGTATGTATCATGTAATTTTAACATCAAATTTGTGTTTCGTTCGGACCAGAAATTTCGGAAAACATTCCATTGTAGGCCGTCTGATCAGTTTTTTTTTACACAACTTAGAATGGCAAACAAGTTGACGGTCCACCTGATGGAAAGTGGTAACCGTCGCCTATAGACACGAGCAGTATCATGGACATAACAGAGTATACTGTTTCGCCCATGATACCTCCCATGCGTTGCCATTTCTGAGGACTCAGGTGCTATTCCTCTGTACCCTGTACTAATTGTGACGAATGTAACAAAAATTTTAATGTAGGGGGTAAATTTTTTATTTACCCCCTACATTAAAATGTTACAGTACGCCAACGTAGTTAAGGTATATTAGAAAGATATAAAAAAAAAAACCTTGAAAAATATAAAAAAAAAAACAGTTATAATTCATTAATAAATACTTGATTCGAGATAATCCAATTGACTTGACATAATAAAATCTTCCAAACGCCTATCAGTCTCCATGTACCTGAAATAAAATGTAAAAAAAAAAAAACATTTATTTATTGTATTGTATTGTAAAATCTTTATTGTACATAATTCAAGTTGAGCACTGATAAATGATTTAATATACAATGGCGGACTTGTCACATAGAGGGATCACTTACAGTCGACCTTTGAGAAGCTGTTAGTTACCACCTTCCACCAGGTGGGCCATCAGCTTGTTCACCATTCTAAGCTCGTAAAAGAATAGTTACTCACAGCTTCAGCAATGTCCACCCAGTCCAGTGCCTTCACCAGATTATCATTCTTCGACGGTTTCTTGTCCCAATTCCAGTACATCACCTGTTTAAATCCACCAGCGACCTGTAAATAAATTTACTTCAAATATAGCCTTATCAATAGTTGTGTGGTTCCAGCATAGAATGGGCCACCACTTTCTTTCCCGTGGGTGTCGTAAGAGGCGATTAAGGGAACTTAATAATCGAGCAATAAGCAGAAATGTCCCTTTTAAAACACCACCAAAGTCTAAATATAGTTGCCAACCCATCTGCTAAGTGTGACAACTACTGGCAAAACCCTCCAATATAGGGAGGCCTATGTTGTTTTTTTTAATAGGTGACAATGGAATTGTAACCCCACCAGCGCTATCGGTATACACCAGAGGGGGACTAGTGAAGGATAATAGGTGAGGATGAAGCAAATCGGTTAGCCCATTGTGATGAATTCAACAAGAATTGTTCACAATGGTTTCCAGGGGGGACCATGTGGAGGTCGACCTGACAGGGTATATTGCTAGTAATGGGGTCCCGGGAGGCCTATATTTAACAGTGGACAGTTGACAGCTGATGTGATGACGATGACAGCTCGATCAAAGTGGGTTACCATTCCATTATCACCCATTAAAAAAGACCCCATCAGGGAGAGGGGAAGGGATTGTTAGTGATGGGGTCTAACAGCCCCATCGCTAGCAATATACTTTATCAGGTCGATCACCATGTTCCCACTGGAAATTGCTGTGCTTATTTCTTGTTGAATTCACCACAGTGGATCAATTGACCTGCTTTCATCCTCACCTGTCATCTCTCACTGATGCCTCGCCAATTTATACTCATAATATAGTTGGATTTTTTTTTTTATTTATTTATTTTTTATTGACCACATTACAAAAAATGTCTGGTACAAAAGGCGGACTTAATACTATATAGCATTCTCTCCCAGTCAACCTTTGGCTAAACAGAAATTTTAATATGCGGTGAAAAAATCACAACACATACAATAGAGATTATATAAATATACAAATATGTAATAAAAATACATATATACAAATATAAATATACATATATAAATATACCTACTTATAGATTAAATACGATAACACAAATAAACAACGATAGAGATCAAAAGTGATGATGATGAAGGTGATGAACTGCTTTCACAGTTACCTTGGGTTTTTTAATGGGGGAAGATGGAATCAACTTCCCCCATTAAAAAACCCCCATAAGAGTATACTAATAGGGCAGGCAGGGCTAATATACTCTCAGGTAAACACATACCTGAAACCTTCTATCAGCATTTTCAGCAAGCGGCCTCTTGGCTTCTGTGACTACAATTGCTCGGTAACCATCAGGTAGCTGCATCCTGGTACCATTGAGAAGGTGTCCACGAAAGGTCGCTGATAACTCTGGAAACCACATCAAATTAGGAAGAATTTAATTTTAATAATAACACTAGATAATCGGGGGGAAAGGGATTGTTAGTAATGGAGACTAAAAATCCCATTGCTAGCAATATACCCAACCAGGTCAACCTCATTGTGGTTCCCCCTGGAAACTTTCATGGTTAATTCCTGATGAATTCATCATGATGGGCTAACTGGCCTGTTTTCATTCTCATCTATCACCCTTCACTGGTGCTCCGCCAGCGTATCCCATTAGCGCAGGCGGGGTTACCATACCATTTTCATCCACCAAAAAAAAAACACTACATAATCTGGTAAACATTGTTTTGCTGCCTACTGCCACCTACTTGATCCAGTTTATCACATAGAAACAATACTATCACGAAATTTGGAGCAAACAATACTCATTATTTGCTCCAAAAAGTACTTTGTACAAAAGTTGTTCGCTTGGGTACCTGTGTCCCATTTGTGTTTTTGTCATGGAGCTATTGTTTGCATGGCTATATTTCAGTTTGAAGAACCCCATGTTGTAGTCTCTTTATACAATAATTTATATAATTTTAATTTTATTTACAATAATTTATGTCTCTTATTATAATTTACAAATAAATTTGTCGATCACGCATTGAAGCTCCCGTGTTTTTATTAATAAACAATACCTCGTTACTTAGCAACCGTATCGTCAAGCGCGAATCGCTGAACACGTTACAGGTTCTTGTAAAACCTTAAATAAAGTAATGTGCAAGTAAATTAACACCTTTCTTTTACCTCCATTCTCGTCTTCACAAATATACGGTTCAAAAAATCTGCGAACGTTTGCCGGTCCATCTTCGTCCACCTTGCACGGTATAAAATGTGCGCGCTGCTCGAATATCTCTTTGTTTTCAGTATCTTTTAAATTGTTTTCCACTTGGATTGACATTTTTATAAACAATAAATATTACTTGTTACTATATCCAATCATTTATTATATAAAATTAAAAAAATATATTAGCTAATTAAAAGTAAAATGAATAAAAGTTTTTTAAATTCAGGATTGCCAACTTAGATTGCAAGGTTTCAAGCTAAAACAGATTAAAAAAAATGAACAACTGGATTCACCAATATTTACACTTAAAGTAAAATGTTCTAAAATATTTTAATACTGATTATTAACCTGTCGATTAATCTAGTTATTAAATAAATACTGAATTCTGAATATATGTATACTTGATCCCCAAGGCAAGGATAACATGCTTAGAATAAAATTGGCAACACATAAGCTACGCACAGTGATATTTGTTGTTAAACTGTCAATGTCATTTTGGTTGTCAACTGTCAATGTCATTAAATGAATTTAAATTTGTCTTTTGCCTCCTTAAATTATTCTAATTGTATAGTGAAAGTACTATGTACTTGCCTATCTTCTCTGCATTTTGAAATAATCTTAAAATAGTTTGTAACCGTTACAAAACAATTTTCTTATCAGAAATACATAATATATGTCAGCATAATTGTAATATATAATTTGCGTAAACTGAAACACTGTGTCCCCGTCATACTATACTGACTTTGGTTGTACAATTATGTTGTTTATACAGTTGTTTATTACACCATTATCGGATTATTTACGTCATTGTAAATAACTTGGCAGTGTTCCCTTGTTTGTGTACGGTTTTGTTGACTCACAAACGTTTTGAACGCCTCGTTGGTGACAGCGAGCTTGTTTTAATTTGACCTTGAACCTACAACAGCTGTTTGTAAGTATATCCTTTATCTAATCTTAAATAAAAAAAAATAATCTATATTACAATTAGATTCTTTTGCTTTAAATTAAAAGTATAGCATCAGAATAATTGGCGCCAAAATTTCGCATCGCATTTTACTTTCCCTTTGTTGATTTGATTTCGTAATGATTCTTTGTAAGTACTCACTTGCGATGTAGAACTATACAATTGATACATATTTTAATCAGTAGATACCTTTAGAATTTTTGATATAATATAAATAGTTATACTAAATATAAAAAAAAATCATATTTTATTTATTTTATTGTTACATAAAAGTGTTTATTAGGAGTAGAAATATATATTGTAAATAAAAGTGATGCAATTTCATGCTCTAATAAATTATTTTGTGTAATTCCTTTATTTCATAACTATTTGTTAATTTACTTTTAATGGCTAAATTTGTTTTCTATGTCTTATATTTTAAATTAACAATTTCAAATGTCATATCAGGACAATTTGTTGAAAGTACTTATACTTAAATTTTATTACATGACAGTGTAATGTTCATTCATTTTCAGAAACAAGCCATTTTTAATATTTTATATGATTAAAAAAAATAATTTTATAGTAAATTAAAAATTAATCATGCAATAAGATTCTTATTAGACTGGTGTTGAAATTTATGTTTCCAAATACTTAATTTGTGTTATCATCAAAGTGTTATTATGTGTGAATCATCAAAAGAAAAATAAATGTAATGCACCTAGTTTTAATATTTTCATTTTATTTATTTATTTATTTATTGTTAAGTCCTTAATTGTTTGTGGTGAGAAATATAATAATAATAAATAATAATAAATTTAAATTACATTTATTGATGAATATAAAATATGGTACAAAAAGCTGACTTAACACTAGTAGCTTTCTCTACTAGTCAACCTTTGGGGTAAACAGTGAAACACAAACGCGGTACTTAATTTTTATTATACATTTATATTATTAGTAAAGATTTGTAATAACCTCCTACAATAAAAATATATTGGGGGGAAAGAGATAGTAATGGAGACTAAAAATCCCATTGCTAGCAATATACTCAACCAGGTCGACCTCCTCGCGGTTCCCCCTGGAAACTATCATGGTTAATTCCTGATGAATTCATCATGATGGGCTAACTGGCCTGTTTTCATTCTCATCTATCACCCTTCACTTGTGCTCCGCCAGCGTATCCTGTTAGCGCAGGCGGGGTTACCGTACCACTTTCATCCATCAAAAAAAAAATTATTTAGCCACTTAAAAATCTATGTATAAAAAAAAATTGCTGAATGTTTATTTGAAGTGATGCACTTAACTTCAGTTGCATCTGTTTGGTCAATTTTTTGTTATGTAAAACAAACAAGGTTTTGCTAGAAGAAATCTCTTGTTAGAGATAAGCTTGCCTTTGTACATTATATTTATAATGAATTGTGATTAACATTATGTTTTGTGTATAATAAATAATAAAGAATCTTTATTGTACATAATTTATATTGGACACATTAAAAGATTTAATATACAATGGCGGACTTGTCACATAGAGGGATCTCTTACAGTTGACCTTTAAGAAGCTAAAAGAAAATTCTAGAATGTACTGTAATGTATGATAAACTATTATAGATAGTGAAAATTTTTATATATCTGTGTAAAGCTAAGGTGGGTAGCTGAAAAATAATAAAAATACTATTGTTTTTTTTTTTTCTGTAAATAATAATGTTGGCTTCAACTTTTATTAATTTACTCTTTATTGCACCACTTAAAGAATAATACAAAATATATATATATATATATATATATATATATATATATATATATATATATATATATATATATATATATATATATATATATATATATATATATATATATATATATATATATATATATATATATATATATATATATATATATATATATATATATATATATTACACTTCTGAAGTACAAAAGGCGGTCTTATTGCTAAAGGAAGCTTTTACCAGAGGGAGACTGTACTTGATTGCTTGGGTACCTCTGTCTCATTCATGTTTCTACTGTGAAGCAGTTGTGTTTGCATGGCTGTGTTTCAGTTTGAAGCAAGGAATATGGCAGTGAATTTACAGGGTACAGAGGAATAACACCTGAGTCCTCAGGAATGACAACGCATGGGTGGTATCATGGACGAAATAGTATATTATGTCCACGGTACTGCTCATGTCTATAGGCGGTGGTTACCACTTTCCATCAGGTGGGCCGTCAGTTTGTTTGCCATTCTAAGTTGTATAAAAAAAAGCTCTTCCAGACAATCTTTGGGTAGAGAAGAAAAGAAAAAAGACGATAGCTATATCATGCTAGAAGTATAAATAATTGTATGCACATTTTACATCTAAGAACTTATAATAATATATTATATATGTATAATAATAAAAAAAAACAATCTCTTGGCAACATTAAAATGTATATTTGTCACAAAAACTGTGCGTGGTTACATGCTTGAACCAATTTCGCGCGCTTTTCACATATGTACATTGCCAAATTTCACAAAATTCACGATTGCCAAGAATAGATGTTGCCAACATTTATAAAAACAGGTAGTAAATAGAAACAATGTGTCTTATAACATTATCTGATTTACACATTTGGCACTTAACAAGGATGTAGCTAAAATATTCATGGCGGGAAGAAAGGGCGGGCAAAGGAAACGGATATTTACATACTTACTTGTACACATTAATGTGTTTTATATTTTACCAATACTTGTTCCCTGTGAAATAATAAACTTAATTGTATTGCTCTGAAAAGAGAAACAACATTTTACGATATTATTTCAAGAATTTAAAACATTTATTACAACAGTAAATCTAGATATTTCCTCATTAATGACAAGTTATTTTGACAATTAGAATCAACTTCTAATGCGCGCCAAATTCAAATTAATAAATGTCAAACGACTTTATTTATTTACAATGTTACAATGTATGTATTATATGATTGTAATGTATTTTACCAGAGGGAGACTTTGTACAAAAGTCGATTGCTTGGGTACCTCTGTCCCATTCGTGTTTCAACCGCGAAGCAGTTGTGTTTGCATGGCTGTGTTTCAGTTTGAAGGGTGGGATATGGCGTGAATTTACAGGGTACAGAGGAATAACACCTGAGTCCTCAGGAATGGCAACGCATGGGGGGTATCATGGGCGAAACAGTATACTCTGTTATGTCCACGGTACTGCTCATGTCTATAGGCGACGGTTACCACTTTCCATCAGGTGGGCCGTCAGCTTGTTTGCCATTTTAAGTTGTATAAAAAAAAATTCTACATTATTATATAAGCCTTTAACTGTCCACTGACGAACATAAACCTCCCCCTTGGGGGGTTTTGCCAGAAGTTGCCACGCTTGGCAGGCGGATTGGCAACCGCAGTCAGGCTTTAGAGATATTTAAAGAGGGACGCTGCTGCCACTCCCTTGCTCTCCCTTAGTCGCCTCCTACGACACCCACGGGAAAGGAAGGGGTGGCCTATTCTATGCCGGGACCACAGCAGGCAGGACGGAGTAAATTAATATATTATACCAAAATTGTATGATTGTTAACAGATGGTATGGATTCCTTCTGCAGTCTCTTCGACCCTTCAGACGGGAACCAGAGCAAGAAAAAAAAACAGAAGCCGCACCAGGACAGTGTGAAGAAAAAAACAGAGGCTCCAAAAGGTATGATTTTTTTTATACCACTGAGGTGGCAATCAAGCATACGGCCCACCTGATGGTAAGTGGTTACCGTAGCCTATGAACGCCTGCAATACCAGAGGTACTACGCGCGCGTTGCCGACCCTGAAGAAACCACTTTACTCCCCTTTTAAAGAACCCCATTGTTTGCATCGCCTATAGACATGAGCAGTACCATGGACATAACAGAGTATACACTTTCGCCCATGATACCCCCCATGCGTTGCCATTCCTGAGGACTCGGGTGTTATTCCTCTGTACCCTGTAAATTCACGCCATATCCCACCCTTCAAACTGAAACACAGCCATGCAAACACAACTGCTTCACGGTAGAAACACGAATGGGACAGAGGTACTCAAGCAAACGACTTTTGTACAAAGTCTCCTTCTGGTGAACAAGATAACAATGTTGTGAAAATTTTCTTTTTAAGTAAATAAAAAAAAACTGTACACGTTACGTAACAGATTACTCGTATGCGCCTACGCAACCAATATTGGCATTTGGCCATAATAGTAATATTTTCCTATGTCCGCAAAGTGATAGAGTAGGTAAATAAAAAAATATCTTAATATCTATACTTATAATAAATCTGTAGAGAGGTCAATTCTGTACATGAAATATATTTCCAAAATAACTATCAGCGGGTGATTAGTGATCCATACTGATGCCAGAAATGCAATCAGTAAAATTTTTATCTGTCTGTCTGTATGTTCGTTATAGAAACAAAGAACTACTCTACGAATTTTAACGAAACTTGGTACAATTATTCTTCATACTTCTGGACAGGTTATAGTATACTTTTCATCACGCTACGATCAATAGGAGCAAAACAGTTAAGGGAAATGTTTCTGTTACATCAAAATCATTGAACCGTAAGGAAGGACGTAGGCTACTTATTTTACGAAAAAACGACGGAAACGGCGAACGAAGTCGCGGGCAACAGCTAGTGTATTATAATAAACTCTTGTAACAATATTCATTCATGCCAGTCTCCGAAACAGCTCGACTGATTTTAATGTAATTTTAGGAATATGTACTGCTTGCTTCAGTTTGAGAGATAGTATTTGTCCTGAGAGGTTATCTAAAATCTTATATCCCATCAAAAATGTAAAATGAAAAACAATGCCGAGTCTCACAACGCAACTAATTAAAGATTGGGTCCCATAAAATGTACCGTCTCGCAACAAGGCATATTGCGAGCAAGGGGGCTTTCAAATTCTATTGTTAACAATCCCTTCCCCTCCCCCCTCGGGGTATTGTTGCCACTCCCGGGTATTCTATGTAAGAACGAAACTGTCTTTTAACGCCAGACTGCGTCAAAACCATCTGTACGAGCTTCAGATATAGTTATGGTAAGCTCTAATTGTCCAATTAATTTATAGGTAGGCGCAGAGGACGCAAGTGCCAAGGCAAGAACGAGACCCTCCCGGAAGAGTCCTCTTTCCTCTGCGAGCCGGAGCTCAGCACGGAACTGCTGGTCAAAGATGGCAGCTACATAGAGAACTTTATGGAAGTGAATAAGAACGAAGGTACAATTGCCCCTAAAATTTTTTCTTTCATGCATGTGCCATAGTGACCCAAAACGGTCACAACTCAGTTTATTGTTTTGCCCTCAAAAGAGCAAAAAACTGATATTCTGTTGTGGCCAAGAGCCAATCGCGAAATTCTTTAACAAAAATAACAAAAAAGAAAAGAAATATGAATAAAATTGTGTGTGTCTTTTACATACATTACATTAAATACGTAAAAGTGTTTTTTTTTATACAACTTAGAATGGCAAACAAGCTGACGGCCCACCTGATGAAAAGTGGTAACCGTCGCCTATACACATGAGCAGTACCATGGACATAACAGAGTATACTGTTTCGCCCATGATACTCCCCATGCGTTGCCATTCCTGAGGACTCAGGTGTTATACCTCTGTACCCTGTAAATTCACGCCATATCCCACCCTTCAAACCGAAACACAGCCATGCAAACACAATTGCTTTACGGTTGAAACACGAATAGGACAAGGGTACCCAAGCAATCGACTTTTGTACAAAGTCTCTCTCTGGTATTTCCAATATTTTTAATTATAGATACCAAAAACACTGGCGCCGATAAGAAACCGAACAGGCGTAATTCGTGCCGTAAGAGTAGACGGAAAAAGAACAAAGTGTCGCCGGCCAAAGAGCTATCAGCTAACTCGGCTTGGGACGAAGAAGTGACGGACAAATGTTTAAACAATCAGTCGACAAAGCCAAAAATATGCGACGACAACATTGGGAAGAACGTGAACGATTTGAAATTTGATGACAGCAGAAAGAATGAGATGAGATATGCTGATGAGGGCGAGCTACAAGACAAGGAAGTTTACAACGTGATCGATAAATTGGAAAGGATCAGAATCAAAGATGACTTGTATTTGTCGGGGGACTTCGATCCCGAAGATCTGGATAGCGACTTCTTTTGCAGTTTCGACGAATTGGATGACTCGTGTGATGATACGTGAGTATTTTTTTGTTCTTTTTATCATTTCTGTTTTTGTGGCTGTAGAGGAAAAAGTGGAACCCTTATGGGACCACTTTGTTGGCAGTCTGTCAAGATCTATTTCTTCAGGAACGTGTGGAGTTAATAAAGTGAAAATAATATCAAATAGGTACTAAAGTCTGCAATTCCTTGAAGCTGTTTTCTAAAGTTTACTCCCGCGAATACTCAGGCTGTGGGATGAGCTTCCCGCCGAGGTTTTTTCTAGAAACTACAGTATGGGGTTCTTCAAAAAGGGTGTATTAAGGTTTCTTCAGGGTCGGCAACGGCACGTGACAACCCGGGTGTTGTAGGCGTCCATTGGCTACTTTAGTGGCTTATTTGCCACGTAGGTATACGTGATGGCAACGCCATCTGTACTGTTTAGCCGGATTTTATTTACTTCTTTCCCATTGTATCCGGCGTATATTGCCTTTCATTCAAAACAGAGATGCTCCCTCTGAACCCTGTAATTTTAGCTGCCATACCCTATCCTTCAAACCGAGACACAACTTGCAAACTGTTTGAAAGATTGTCTTGTTGTGCTGTACAAGATTCGCAGTAGAAACTGGATAGTCCGAGAAGAAAGTTAATTTGCCACTGTAGGTTATTAGGTGGATAATATTACTTCGGGATATTTTAAAAAATGAAACCACGTCAAGTCCTATTCCTTCCTAACGGAGTCATATTTAATTACTTTTTTTTTTTACTAAAACAATGAAAAGGAATTAAATCGATGTTTCGGATCGAAACAGAAACAAAAGAGAGACGAAAGTGCAGACGACTTTTACATAAAGACTCTCTGTGGTGATTCCAAGATCGAATTGGCTTAAACCTAATCAGTGATTAAATTATGTTTGGATCATTTAAGAGTGATTGGTACTTTGTGTTTCGGAGGGCATGTATGCAGAGTTGATGGTCTGAAATTCCGTATTGTTTTGTGCTCCAGTGACTCAGACGCGGACGATTCCGGGGACGAGGTGTACGGTCGTCTGCCCCCCGAACCCAGGTTCGGTAATGTGGAATATAAGTTACAATTGGTGTCCCCTTGCGAGAGGCGATTCCAACATCTAGTTACACAGGTTGGGACTTTATTTTTAAGTAGCTTTAGTTCTAGTTTAATGATTTTTTTAAAGAAAAAATTGTTATAATCCTTTTAGAAAGCAATTGTGAAAGAATGTTCCGAGCACAGCCACGTCTGCGCTTTATGGGATATTCATCGCGTTGTTAGATATTTTAAAAAACATGGAGTGGTTAAAACTTGAATAAAACAAATGGTGTTTTGGTATTTGTGTAGAAATGGATGAAAAATAATTTAATCTCCAGGTTTTGATTTCGATGCGTTTCTAAAGTATCTATATTTTTGTTTTACTGTAATACTACTGAGACTATTTTGGTCCTCCGAGCCGGATTTTTATTTCGTTATTATGTTTTTACCCTCGATTTTGTGTGCATGAGTTTGCACAAAATGTAGGTGTTTCTAAAGTATTGATTTTTAAACGCATTTTACTTCGGGCCTAGTCCAAGTACGGTACTATCAAAAATTGTGAAAATCAAGGATCGCTAGGACAAGTTTACATAGTAGTTGAGAGTGGTACGAGTATGGTTTCCGTGGAGAGTAACGCTCGCGGTGCGGCCGGCAGCTGAAGTGGCGGCTGCGGTCGGGCGGCGGCAGCGCGGTGTACGTGGTGGGCGTGCGCGACTGCGGCGCCGTGCGCGGGCTGCGCGCCGGCGCGCTGCGCGCCTCGCTGCGCGCGCTCCGCAGCATGGCGGCGGCGCTGGCCGCGCGCCTCGCCAGCGTGGCGCTGCGCCGCCTCGCGCCGCGCCGCGCGCTCGCCGCCGTCTGCATCCGCCGGGTGAGTCGCTCGGCGCATGGCGGCGGCGCTGGCCGCGCGCCTCGCCAGCGTGGCGCTGCGCCGCCTCGCGCCGCGCCGCGCGCTCGCCGCCGTCTGCATCCGCCGGGTGAGTCGCTCGGCGCATGGCGGCGGCGCTGGCCGCGCGCCTCGCCAGCGTGGCGCTGCGCCGCCTCGCGCCGCGCCGCGCGCTCGCCGCCGTCTGCATCCGCCGGGTGAGTCGCTCGGCGCATGGCGGCGGCGCTGGCCGCGCGCCTCGCCAGCGTGGCGCTGCGCCGCCTCGCGCCGCGCCGCGCGCTCGCCGCCGTCTGCATCCGCCGGGTGAGTCGCTCGGCGCATGGCGGCGGCGCTGGCCGCGCGCCTCGCCAGCGTGGCGCTGCGCCGCCTCGCGCCGCGCCGCGCGCTCGCCGCCGTCTGCATCCGCCGGGTGAGTCGCTCGGCGCATGGCGGCGGCGCTGGCCGCGCGCCTCGCCAGCGTGGCGCTGCGCCGCCTCGCGCCGCGCCGCGCGCTCGCCGCCGTCTGCATCCGCCGGGTGAGTCGCTCGGCGCATGGCGGCGGCGCTGGCCGCGCGCCTCGCCAGCGTGGCGCTGCGCCGCCTCGCGCCGCGCCGCGCGCTCGCCGCCGTCTGCATCCGCCGGGTGAGTCGCTCGGCGCATGGCGGCGGCAGGTAGGTCGTCGTCTGCAGCCAGCATCCGGCGCGAAGGACGCGGCCGTGGAAACTGTGAAGTAACATGTCGAGCTATATGCTCGGGGACGCAACCCTCGCATTTCAGAAATTATACACGATCTCTTACTCCCAGACATTTCCTGACTAATGAACTTCCTATGAATTTAAATCAGAGAAATTATCAAGATAAGTATATCCAGCTAATTGATGTGTGTTAAGAAGAGGTGTAATGATAAAAAAGATTGAACAAATCATTTAGTTTTCCTACAGGTAAATTCCATATCTCTAACAATAAGTTTGATAAAATTCCGTGATTACAACTCGAGCGCCATCTTACTATTTTCAGCATCCCATAATTTTCTCTAGAGGCTGCTGTGCAACTTTTCTAATGTTTTTGGAAATCTCAAAAATATCGAATATTGTTTCGCAACTTTCACGCTCCCATCTTGTTTTTTCTTTTCTACATTTATGCTTCTAAATAAGTAAATATTTACTAAGTGCTCCTCTAGCGAATTAAAACATTAATCATGTAATAAAATTCTTATAAAGCTGTCACTGAAAATTAGGATTTTAATAGCTAAAGATAAAGACAGATAGATAATTTATTTGCATTACTTACAGCACGCAAATAACAATACAAACATACACATAATACATAGTAAAAGAGATAAAAGACATGAAAAACAAAAAAAGCAACAAAAAAAAAAAGCAAAATACATTACAAAGAGCAACACGCAAGTTTCTTGCTCGTTCTTCTTGTGATGAGACAGCTTTCCGAACAAGCGGTAGATTAACAAAAATGTAATGACTTTTCAAAAGTGCTTCAATGTAAGTTTATTTGAATAAATGATTTCTATTCTATTCTATTCTATTCTATTAAACAACAATTTCTTTTTTTCATGCGTGTGCCATAGTAAAGCATTTCTTAAAAAATCTGAAACAAATTATGATATTTTTTTTTATACCACTGAGGTGGCAAACAAGCATACGGCCCACCTGATGGTAAGCGGTTACCGTAGCCTATGAACGCCTGCAATACCAGAGGTATTACGCGCGCGTTACCGACCCTGAAGAAACCTCTTTATCCCCCTTTTGAAGAACCCCATGCATGATCTTGGTACAAAGTTTTTAATGGTATTTTACCTGCAACGTGTTCTACGGTTAACGCTTTAGTTTGGTAGCAGAGCACTGTTAAAATCATCACCATCGTATCAGCCTTTACCTGTCCACTGCTGAACATAGGCTTCCCCATAGATTAGGGAGGTTATGCAAATAGTTGCCACGCTTGCCAAGCGAGTTGGCAAGCACAGTTAGGCTTTTGGTGACGTAGGGACGCTGCTATCCATGCCTCGCCCTCCCTTAGTCGCCTGTTACGAGACACACACTTAAAGTTAGGCTTTTGGTGATCTTTTAAGAGGCACGCTGCTGCCCATCCCTCGACCATAGCTCCCTCAGTCGCCTTCTTACGACACTCACGAGAAAGAACTGGTGGGCCATTCTATGCTGGAATTACACACTGATTCGGCCTGCCAAGCGTGATAACTACTAGCAAAACCCCCCTTATGGGGAGGGCCTTATGTCCAGCAGTGGACAGTTAAAAGCTGATATGATGATAAACAAATAATAAAAAACAAACGTGCTCCAGCTTCCAGATCCGCAGCAAAGCGTCGAACTGAGGGTAGCCGTGATGGGGGCCAACGAGGCCGGCAAGTCTACCCTCATTGGAGTACTAACTCAAGGTAGGTAACGAATCGTACTGGGGCTAAGAAAGAACTCAGATGTATTTAGAAGTAGGCATGATAGGATTTTTAGAATAGATAAGAAAATATTTATTGCCTTTCTGGCACAATTATAGTACAAAAATATTACATATATAAGAAATGTCTGATATGAGGCAAGAGGAACTGGCACAGCTGATGCTGTGAGTGTCCCAGCGCAATGTGAACAGCTGCACAGCGCTGGTATGCAGCCAGGCCCTCTCTTAACAAAATACAACAATTGTATGCACCTTAGAATGACAAACAAGCTGACGGCTCACCTGATGTCAAGTGGTAACCGTCGCCTGTAGACATGAGCAGTACCATGGACATAACAGAGTATACTGTTTCGCCCGTGATACCCCCCATGCGTTGCCATTCCTGAGGACTCGGGTGTCTATGCCTGTGTACCCTGTGCTATCGGTATACGTTGGTGGGGCACCAGTGAGGGATGATAGGTGAGGATGAAAGCAACTCAATTGGCCTAAAGTGATGAATCAACAATAAAATTAACCAAGGCGGTTTCCAGGGGTAACCGCGTAGAAGTCACCTATCAGGTTGTATTGCTAGCAATGGAGTTAATAGATTCAATTACTAATAATCCCCTTTCCCCCCGTGTTAGGTGAACTGGACAACGGCAGAGGGAGCGCCCGTCTCAACATGTTTCGGCATCTGCACGAAGTGAAGAGCGGCAGGACGTCCTCGCTCAGCCATGAGATACTGGGCTTCGACGCACAGGTAAGGTTTAACACTGCCGACGTAACAAGCATACGACCCGCCTGATGGTGAGGATCTGTGCGTGTCATCAACTATGAGCGAAGTTGTTTAATTCACAACGTTAGTAATCCTAATTACTAACGCACAGGCGGGGTTACTATTCCATTATCATCCATTAAAAAACAGGGTAACGTGGTGAACTACGGCTGTTCGGAGCTGATGACGGCTGAGAGGATCGGCGAGCGGAGCGCTAAGCTGGTCTCCTTCCTAGACCTGGCCGGGCACAGCAAGTACCAGAGGACCACGCTTCACGGCCTGTCTGGGTACTCGCCGCACTACGCCATGCTTGTGGTGAGTTACTACCGTACACTTGGAAAATGAAATAGTCTTTTTACAGAACAAAATTAAATAATTACCCTAAAATTTATTAGGTACCTTAATAGCTAAGTGGTACCCTAATAGCTAAGTGATACCCTAATAGCTAAGTGGTACTCTAATAGCTAAGTGGTACCCTAATCGCCGTGTGGTACCGACATAGAATTGGCCACCCCTTCCTTTCACGTGGGTGTTGACTCTAAGAAATACATACTCTTATAAATAAGTCTCTTATAAATACAGCCAACAATGGACAGCCTACACAGACAGATAGCTTATGTAGGACAAGTAATGATTGTTGACTGTATTTAAACTGTAATTTGTTGTGTGTACTTTAGATGGAAATAAATGGTTTATCTATCTATCTATATTCTATTCAATTATAAGTAATAATAATAAAATTCAATTTTGGAACCCCAATTTAATTACTCCAATGTTTGTACCCTAAACCCCAACAATTTCAGTACCCTAATTTCCTCCTACAATTTCGGAACCCTAATTACAATTTAAGTACCCTAAGACTTAATATCTTGTAAATCGACCCAGATATCAGCGACGGCCGGCATCACCCGCATCACGGAGGAGCACGTGGGCCTACTCCTGGCCCTGGACCTTCCATTCTTCGTGGTCATCACCAAGTGTGAGCTGGCGTCCACCGTGCAGGCTTTGGTGGCGCGGCTGGCTACCATGATCGCGTCTGCCAACAAGGTATCTATACTTATTCACCAGAAGCTTTGTACGAAGGTCGTCTGCATGGGTAACTTTGTCCCACCAATGTATATATGCCTATGTTCAGCAGTGGACAGATAACAGCTGATGTGGTGATGATGATGATGATATACTGCAATTCTCGTGTGTGTACCACCATAAAATGGACCACCCCTTCCCTTTTTTTTATACAACTTAGAATGGCAAACAAGCTGACGGCCCACCTGATGGAAAATGGTAACCGTCGTCTATAGACATGAGCAGTACCGTGGACATAACAGAGTATACTGTTTCGCCCATGATACCCCCATGCGTTGCAATTCCTAAGGACTCAGGTGTTATTCCTCTGTGCCCTGTAAATCCACGCCATATCCCATCCTTCAAACCGAAACAACTTTCCCATGGGTGTCATAAGCGGTGACTAAAGGAACATAGGTTGCCAACCCACCTGCCAAGCGTGACAACTACTGAAAAACCCTCCTTATGAGGGAGGCCTAAGTTCAATCCATTGAAAATGCCTCTTAAAGTTCCTGGAGGAGCACCAGTGCTGATTTTTCAATAACCACCTCATCATATTTCAGAAACCTGTGTTAATAACGGACGAGAGCATGGCTCGCAGCTGCGTCGCGCCCGGAAAGCTCATACGGGACTCGGTTGACGAATTTTCAAGTGACATGGAAATAAACAAAGCGACTGACAACCATCAGTGAGTATTTTGTTTTTTTTTTATAATGGGTGATAATGGAACGGTAACCTCACCCGCGCTATCGGTATACACCGACGAGGCACCAGTGGAAGATGATAGGTGAGAATGAATGTAGGTCAGTTGGCCCACCGTGATGAATTCGACAAGAATTAAACATGATGGTTTCCAGGAATCACGTGGATGTTGACCGGACAGGGTATATTGCTAGCAATGGTGCTAGGTTGCTGAGGTCTAATACCTCATTACTATCAATCCCTTTCCCCCCTCAGTGAGTTTAAACGTGGTCGCACTAATCTCACCGATGATGTGCGTGAGGGACGGCCTTCTACAGCGACGACTGAAGATAACATCAGTGTTCAACAAGACTTAGATGACATCGAAAGTCATAAAAAATCATCGCACGGAAATTTTCTCGTGTTAAGTTCATGATAACGTTACACAGACTATTTTCCATTTGCCGCCAAACCGTAAAGCAAATGACAAATGAATAAATTATACACTCAATATTATGCGTAAAGAGTTCCATTTTCAAAATTTTAACATTTTTTTTTATTATATCGCTTTCAAGTAGCCAGTTCTAAAAACTTTCAGTGTAGCCCTCGTATAACGAATGACGTGAACGTGGCTGCTGATTAGTAGGTCGTCGCAATCTGCTCCACACTTCACGATACTTGCAGCAACCATAGATTATGCAGTAACACCTACAAAGAATAACAAGTATGTCTTTGCACTTACTCTGTACACATGTTCGCAAATACTTTTATCTTAATCCTTGTCATGTGACGTGTCGTAACATTCTGGTGTACTCCCCCCTTTTTCTTTAAATGTAGGTAACACCAGAATGATCATTTTTACTTTAAAGTTACAATATTATCAAGTACTGACAAAGAAAAAATAAAAATGACGTATAAAACAAGATTTTTTTTATACAACTAAAAATGGCAAACAAGCTGATAGTTCACCTGATGGCGAGTGGTAACCGTCGCCTGTAGACACGAGCAGTACCGTGGACATAACGGAGTATAGTGTTTAAAGGATGCTGTTTGTTGTGAGCAGGCGCGAGGCTGCGGCGGCTGCGGCGGCTGCGGCGGCGGAGGCGGAGGAGATGCAGACGGTGGGCGTGTTCCCGGTGAGCTGCGTGCGCGGCGCCGGCCTCAACGTGCTGCACGCGCACCTGCTGGCGCTGCAGCCGCCGCGAGCCGCGCCCGCCGCCCGCGCTGTCAGTACACTACACTCCACTCACGAGCCCTACGCAGTGCTGGCGACCCGTGCACACTCGTTAATTCCATCGCCAATTCTACTAATATGCTCTGCCTTCGCTGTGGCTATAACTCTTTTGAAAGACCTAGAGGCAGAATTGTACTTCTTTTTAAGGGCACTGGTGTTAGGATCTCGTGACGCCTCACCTTTAGCCCAGGCTAGGAAGCACTCCTGTTTCAAACGAGATGCTGTTCTACAAGTGGCTCCATACCAGGGCTGGGATTTCCCACCGACGGGCACCACAGAGTTAGGAATAAATAATTCCATTCCCTGAAGCACCACATCAGCAATGGAATTGGCAATGGCGTCGGGATCATCCAGTGTGAAGCAAACCTGCCTCCATGGGTAAGATGCGAAAAAAATCCGCATCTCATCCCAATCTGTCGGCCTGTAGTGCCAAATTCGACGCCTACCCGTAGAACGAGGTGGAGTCGGACTCATAAGAGACTTGCTCTGCACCAAACAATGATCCGACGATCCAAGCGGGGCCTCGACGGAGATCATACAGTTGTCTGGGTGGGTGGTCAGCAGAAGGTCCAGCAGTGAAGGTGAATGGTTCAACACATCAGGGATTCGCGTAAGCGAGGAAACAAGCTGTGTCAGACCATAAGCCAAAGCAAAGTCATGAACAGATCTTCCCGCATAGTCGGTTGTACGCGAACCAAGCCATTCGGCATGGTGGGCATTAAAGTCGCCAAGAATCACGACTTCAGCGGAAGGAACCTGTTCAAACAGAGAATCTGTAGCCATTTGGACGTGCTCAATGAGTTGGTCGGTTTTAGTGTTACCGCTGTGAGACCTGTATAGGCACGCATAGATGCGGGGATGGTCATTGCAATCTACGCGCAGCCATAGAATGGACAGGAGTTCCAAGGACACCTTCAAGACTCCCAAGGCGTCGACAGCAGATATCCTCTTTGACATACGCACATACACCGGCACGCGGAACAAAACAATGTTCAAGTGTATAGCCCGGGTACATCAGGTATGAAGTTTCGTTTGGAGAGGATATCTGTGTCTCCGTTAGAAAGAGCAATGCCGGCCGCGCCGTTACAAGGTGGTGGTGGACAGCGTTTAAGTTGTAGTGTATTCCCCTAATGTTGCAGAAGCTCACATTGAGCGAAGGGGATACCGTAGAGATCTTGCTCCGTTTGCCCTTGGTACCAAAGAACGGAATTTTGCCCCCAAGAATACGCAGGGCAGCCCGAGCGTAGTTGCTCAAGGGAGGATTCTCCAGCAACATGGCTGCTGATACCTCCCTGGGGTATGTTATTTTTTCTAAATTCCACTGCCATGGTATTGAGAGATGGGGGGGGGGGGTTGGGGGGGGGGGGGGGGGGGGGGGGGGGGGGGGGGGGGGGGGGAGGATTTTGGGATTAGGAAAGGGATGGGTATAGGACGGGCCTCCGGACTCCCTCACTCACCATACGGAATGTGATCGCACTAAAATTGCGACCACTTAGCGTCGGTATTCTGTGAGGGTGTGGTACTTCCCCGGTCGAGCCGGCCCATTCATGCTGCAATACCATATGCATAACAGCGTATCTCTACCACAATGATTACCACACTCTATCTACCACATAACATTCAACAGTTTCGTTTTTAAATTGAAATAACAGATTTTGTTACAATGTAAGTTTTGTATATATATGGCGGCTGACGAGTGTACACGTTGTCTGCAGGAGGCGTGCGAGTTCCAAATCGACGAGATATTCCACGTGGACGAGACGAGCGGGCCGGTGGTGGGCGGACTGCTGGCCCGCGGACAGATCCTCGAGGGCGACCACCTCGTGATCGGTGACAAGCTCATACATACATACATACATAATTTATTTGCAATACTTACACCACATAAATATGGGTGAGATTAGTTCAGATTGCTATTAAATATATCCTATCGGGTCGACCTCCATGCGGTTTCCCTTGGGAATCTCTTGAAGTATATATATATATATCTTGTTTTTTCTTTTTTATACAAGTTAGAATGGCAAACAAGCTGACGGCCCACCTGATGTAAAGTGGTAACCGTCGCCTATAGACATGAGCAGTACCATGGACATAACAGAGTATACTGTTTCGCCCATAACACCCCCCATGCGTTGCCATTTTTGAGGACTCAAAAATGGCAACGCATGGGGAGGCCCACGTCGGGCGGCGTGGACAGCGATGAGACGGAAGCGAACGCCGCAGGCCCGATGGAGAGCGGCGAGTTCGTGGCGACGACGGTGCGCAGCATCTACCGCAACCGCGTGCCGTGCGCCGGCGTGCGCGCTGGCCACTGCGCGTCGCTGGGGCTGCGGCCGCTGTCCGGCGGCCGGCCGCGGCCCGGACACGTGCTGCTGGCCGCGCCGCCGCCCGCCGCGCCCGCCGCCCGGCCGCGCGCCGCCGCCGGCTGCCCGCGCGGCCGCTGCAAGGCCACGGTGCGCCCACTCTTCTATTATATAGATATCACACGCACACGCACACGCACTCGCACATGCACACGCACACGCACACGCACACACACACGCAAACACACACGCAATCACACACGCAAAACCACCCAAACACACACGCAAAAACACACGCAATCACACACGTAAAAACACACGCAATTACACACGCAAACACACACGCACGCACACACACACGCACACGCACACGCACACACACACGCACTCGCACTCGCACACGCACACGCACACGCACTCGCACATACACACGCACACGCACACACACACGCAAACACACACACACACACACACACACACACACACACACACACACACACACACATTTTTGCATGCTTTGCATGCTATATAACTAAACTAATATATATATATATATATATATATATATAATAATATAATGTAAAACTACATGTTTAAATACTTATATGTATGTTGCGCACATATGTATGTGCTACATGTAGGTACATGCTTTGTCTTTGTTTAATTAACAGTTTTATTTATTGTACTGGAACGCTAGCGCCCCTGCCTTGAACAGGTGGGCGTTGACAGTCGCGACGCAGTTGTTTTTAACTAATGTGGCTGTTATCGTGCACTAGCCTACAATTGTAGTTTTTTATGGTTCCAATAAATACATTTTAATTTTAATGATATATGTATACTTACATGTGTAATAATATGTCTATCACATCTCCCATATTTAGAACTAACAAAATTTTTCATCGTGCCTCCCACCAAATTGTTTATAATTACTCCTCTCCATCCAAAGGTTGCCTGCAAGAGATCGCTCTTAGCGATAAGGTCGCCCATTGTTTTCTCATTGTGATCATTTCTTGTAATTGTTTGTATCTATAATAAGTTTACTATTGTAATCTTATGGAGGAAACAATAAAGAGTATCTATCTATCTATCTATCTATCTTACAGATTATGGAAAACGTCAAGAGCAACCAGAGTACAAAACAGGAAAACAGAAAGTCAGTGAGACGGAAAAACAAGAACCTGCTGCAGGACCTGATACACGTGGAGCATTCGCTCGCTAAAGAGATTGGCAACTTCGAGGAGAACATCTACAAGGCGGACGCTGAGGACGACGGGCACCCCATAATGAAGTCCATGAAGGAGGACGACGCCAGGGTGCCGGGGGACGGCGGTGACGCGAGCGATCAGCAGTCCGGCGATGGAGCCAGCGATGAGGATGACTGTATCTGTGACGATAAAGTGTATCTCGAGGATCCCAACGATCCCAGAGGATGCATATACTTCCAGGTGAGTTCACGATGGTATCAGTTGTTGGCTGTCCACTGCTGGACATGGCCCGATAGGCCTCCCCCATAAGGGAAGTTTTGCTAGATGTTGCCATACTTGGCAGATGGGTCGGTAAGCACAGTTAAGTATTGGCTATGTTTTAAGGAGAATGCTGCTGCCCATCCCTCGACTATTAGTAGTTCCCTTAGTAGAGTCTCATGGGAAAGGAAGGGGTGGCCTGTTCTATGCCGGGACCACAGAGAGTTTATGTTGGTATTTATCAATTTGAAATTTTGTCCATAGCACTTGTAGTTGCCATTCTTGAAGATTGTGGTGTTTTTTTTTAAGTGGTTAACAATAGAATGGTAACCCCGCCTACCTGGTATACGTTGACGGGGCACCTGTGAGGGATGATAGGTGAGGACGAAAGCAGGTTGAATCAACCACGATGGTACCCAGGTTGGAAGGTGGGACAGCGTGCAGTTCTAGCTGACTGATGCACGCTACATTGCTAGCGACGGGGCTGTCAGGTGTCTGTGCGGGTGTGCGGGTGTGCGGGTGCTGGTGTAGCCGTAAGGTGCAGTGCGAGGCAGTGTGTGACGGCCGCTTGTGCCCGCTGCACCTGTTCTTAAATTGTTGCATGCCCGATAGGGTGCAACTGTTGATACTGATGTCAAATCCAAAGCAATGGTTACTGCTATATGTATGTACACAGCAATAAAATTCTATTCTATTCTATTATATTTCATTATATTATATTATATTATATTATATTCCATTATATTTAATTATATTCCAATATATTTCATTATATTCCATTATATTTCATTATATTCCATTGTATTCTATTCAGGCGACCGTGCGTGTGCTGCGGCACGCGACGGCCATCGCGCGCGGCTTCCAGGGCTCCGTGCTCGTCGGCAGCGTGCGCCAGACCGCCGCCGTCGAGGTACGCGGGGACACGAGGGCTCTGTAAATCATACGGTCGCCTCTTTTCTTCTTGTGCGAATATAATTAGTAAAAAGGGGACTGAACACGTTACACTATCACTTGGTATTGTTCTCAGTTCACAGCAGGTTGGTGTATAGAAATCTAAAATTTTTGTTCGTTTACATTACTAGATTATATATTGGACACAGTTTATGTAGACAGTACGCGAGCGGGTTGCATCTGAATATGGTAGGGTTATACGGCCGTGTAACATTTTCTATACACTAGCCTGCTATGAATTGACAATTTTATCATTCCTTCTATGGAATGTCTTGTTCTTAGGTCGGATACATTTAAAATTGATCAATATTGATAAATAGTTGGTTTAATTTAAAAAATATTTTTACTCTAATCTTAATAATCACCAACCAGTTAATACATTAAGCTTTTTTTTTTTGATGGGTGAAAATGGTATGGTAACCCCGCCTGCGCTAACGGGATACGCTGGCGGAGCACCAGTGAAGGGTGATAGGTGAGAATGAAAACAGGCCAGTTAGCACATCATGATGCATTCATCAGGAATTAACCATGATAGTTTCCAGGGGGAACCGCGAGGAGGTCGACCTGGTTGGGTATATTGCTAGCAATGGGATTCTCAGTCTCCATTACTAACAATCCCTTCCCCCCCCATACACATATATTACACATATAATAGTAATATATATATATATATATATATATATATATATATATATATATATATATATATATATATATATAAAGTTAAACATAGAATGCAACTCGGTCTTACAAGTAGATTTCCAACTGTCTCCTGCTCAGGGTATCTTGTCGGCGAATGGGCAGCTGCGGGCGGGCGAGACGGCCTCGGTGCTGTTCAGGTTCGTGAGGTGTCCAGAATACCTGGTGCGCGGACGGAGGCTGCTGTTCACGGCCGGACTTGGCACCAGGTGATTTATTTATTGCAACCAGTACTAGCTTTTAAGATTTTCCTTTTTTATGAACATGGAATGATAATTTTTAAAGTTGTGTATTTAAAAATGTGTTTTTTCATGCAACTTAGAATGGCAAACAAGCTGACGGCTCACCTGATGGAAAGTGGTAACTGTCGCCTATAGACATGAGCAGTATCATGGACATAACAGAGTATACTGTTTCGCCCATGATACCTCTCATGCGTTGCCATTCCTGAGGACTCAGGTGTTATTCCTCTGTACCCTGTAAATTCACTGCCATATCCCACCCTTCAAACCAAAACACAGCCATGTAAATTACTGCTTCACGGTAGAAACACGAATGGGACAGAGGTGGCCAAGCAAACGACTTTTGTACAAAGTCTCCTTCTTTAAACTAAATATCAGTAAAAAAATTGCTGTGTGGTCCCAGCATAGATTGAGCCACCCCTTCCTTTCCCGTGGGTGTCGTAAGAGGCGACTAAGAGAGGGCGAGGGATGGGCAGCAGCGACCCTCTTAAAACATCACCAATAGCCTAACTGCGGTTGCCAATCCGCCTGCCAAGTGTGGCAACTACTGGCTAAACCCCGCCAAGAGGGAGCCTTATGCTCAGCAGTGGACAGTTGAAGGCTGACATGATATCGATGATCATTAAGTTACAGAAATTAACAACGGCATCTTTTTCTTTTTTTAATCTACATTTAATTTGGGATTTTTGTTTTTTAACATGTCAATCCCATAAAATCTGAACAAGTTGTTATCTACTATTATAATTATAACTAAGCAATACTACTTACTAATTCACTTAAGCACAAAGCAATTTTGGTAGTAGGAGCATGCATTATGCTCTGAACAGTCCCCACATCAGATTTATTAATATTAAATGTTTTTAAAAATGTTTCCCTTTCCCTTTGGTTCCTATCACATTCCATCAATAAGCGGCATCTTAATACATAAAACATTTTTGGTTCTCTCCCCAGAGCAATTGGACGCATCACCCAAGTGTTTCCCTACATACCCTGAAGAACATGCCATCGGTTTCAGATTGAATAGTGTGAAAATAAATAAATTACTTTAAACGATGTACAGAGCACATCTGCAAGGAATGGATACATTAATAATTAGATATGACACAATTTTCCTACTTACGCTACTTTAGTTTAATGTTCCCCCTTGTTTTATACATCTTTTCTCTCACTCTACTTCATTTTTTATCTGTCCCGTTCATATTTCAATATTTTTTATAGATTTTTAACATAGAGTATCTTTTAGATTTAAAAAAAAAATTAAATCGAAAGATTAGAAAATATTTTAAATAAATTGGCGGGATAAATGTTGCCACCTCTGTTACAAAGTTAGTAGCTAGACTGTGTCCAAAAGTAGCCATATTGCCAGATTTGTATACTAGCAAAAGTGGCTACAGATTCCTCTATTATCTACTATTCTTAATGTATAGGTGTCATTTACCAAAGACAAGGAAAATACTTTAGTAAATTATTAATCCAATATCATACAGAAGTAGCAAAATTTACTTACCACTTTATATATTTAATTATTAGATGACAATTCTGAATATTTTGTTACAATTAACCAAAATATGACTAAAGTAAAGGAAGCAAATATAATGAACGCAATTTAAATACTTGCAAAATATTAATAATTTTTAAATTAAAAAAAAAAAACAGTTACTATACCAACTTCATTATCTATGGTCGAGTTTTGGCGCGAATTGTGCATTTATGAATGCACAATACGCGTTGATTTTTATGACTTTTCCTATTTTATATTGTCTTAGTACAATTATATAGATATAATTATTGTGTAACTAAATTAATTATACACGTGAAAACTAAAGATTATTGACGCATGTGTCATGTGAATGTTATAATTTTTTTTTACTTTTGAATTAAGAATTTGGTATTACTTTTTTTTATTTTTTTACTGTTTAACTCTCAGGGCATAGCCTATAGCTACGTTATCTAAATATTTATAATTTTTAGTTGACAAATTACGACGGACGTCATGTGTGCGACTTTTTTTTTTCCTCTTTCTAGGCAAAGGAATTACATTAAATTTGTTATATTTAAATTCGTTGCGATCTCAAACACGCAGTACAAATACGATGTTTTGCGGAGATGTGGTCTAGAGTTTATTTATTTAAGAAACTAAATCATAATTGGAACCAGTTATGCATAGAAAATGCATGTACACAAAATAATGCAACATAATGATATGGGGCCTATTCTGAGGCTTCTTTTTTCTAAGCCTAATTCTTAATCTAATAATTTTATGGATTTTCGTAAACAAGTTATATAGTAATTTTTATTTTATTAGAAATATTGTTCATATTGGTCCGTGGAATAAAAAATTTCGGTTATGCCAAAATGTAATTTAACTTGAACAGCTATAGTTTAAGTATATATAAATACCTGACGGGGCAATAAGTAATCGTTTGTCATGATTGTGGTGTGTCCTGAATGTTACTTGTAGAAAAATAATAATTTACTAGTTACGAACCTCGTATATATGACGCTGACAGAGATGGTAGTAAAAATGGCAACCGATCGTCATAGAGGGAAAAAAGAAAATTAAATTTATTTGTAAAGTGTTGTGAAGGTTTTGTTTTATATTTATTAGTATGTACTGACATATCTGCGGAACGCAGTGTTGATCTGCACTTCAAAGTACTTTGTAGAAATTAGTAAATATTACTTAAGTATATTGAATTTGATTTATAATTTTAAATACATATGACAAAGACGCCATCTTGTTTTTTTGGCGCCAACTATAGATACAATGAATTAATCATTATTTTAGGAAATAAATTAAGCATGATTTAACTTAAGCATTAACTTGCACTTTAATAATTTACTCATATATATTACTGCGCAGACTTCGTTCATTTTGTTCAATTGTTTCTTGAAATTTCGCAAACAGCGGGGTTGAATCGACAGAGCCAAATAAGTTCGATGCGAACGATTGCTCTTTGTCAAGTTTGCTTCTCAACACTTAAGTGACAGTTAAATCAACTTTTCTCCAATAAACTGCCATTTAGGCGGTTTACGATATAGTGGCAAAAAAATATATTTATGCAAGTAATTTTAGTTCCTAAATCGCTCAGTAGAGGCAGCACCCTCGTTCGGTAGGTAATTTTTAAACAATATAAATAATGAAATTTGATAGCAAATATTGTATAATTTTCAATTGTCGCAACCCACCACTTAAGTGATCACCCCATAGTTTATGGAATTCCGGATTTATCTCGTGCAATAGCGATATACAAATTGTAAAATACTATAAATACTTAATCAGCACATGCAATTTCAATAAAATAATTTCAATTTAATTGTGAGGTTTTATTTTGTTCCCTATATATCTGATTCTGTGCTTTATAATCCTTTTGGCTTGAAGAGTGGGCGTGGAAGTGAAATTATAAGACATTTACTTAACATAGTTGTATCTGAGAGAGGACCGGTGGGCCTTGGTCACTGAGCGTCCTCCCTCCCAGCGTGCAATTATTTTTATGCAACTTAGAATGACAAACAAGCTAACGGCCCATTTGATGGAAAATGGCAACCGTAGCCTATAGACATTAGCAAAACCATGGACATAACAAAGTACACTGTTTCGCCCATGATACCCCCATGCCACAGATAATATAATTACTAGTACAGATACATCATCTCGAACAAACAAGTGAAAAGCTCTAAGTCGGTTTATTCTTCGGCTTAATTTTTAGTTCTTCATATATGCTCTAGATGCTGCTACTTCTTAGCCGCTTGCCAGCTCAAGCTAATAAATTATATTTCCCGATGACTACTAATTGCGTAAGCAACGTATAGATGGCGTAAATCTCTGTGGCTGTCTGACGTCTAAGTCTCTAGTGTCAGTGTATCTAAGTGTCTAGTGTCTGAGTGTAAAGTGACACTCGGACACTAGACACATCGAAGACTAGATACTCAGACACTTGACGCTCAGATACGCAGACACTCAGACACTAGACACTCAGACACGCAGACACTCAGACTCACAGACACTAGAAACTCAGACACTAGACACTCGGACACTAGACACTCGGACACTAGTCACTCAGACACTAGACTCTCAGACACTAAACTCTCAGACACTTGACAATCAGACACTCAGACACTAGACACTCAGACACGCAGACACTCAGACACACAGCCACTAGACACTCAAGCACTAGATATTTAGACACTCATACACCGGATATCGATACACTTGACACTTAGTCACTAGACACTCAGACACTAGACACCTTGACACAGGATACTTTGATACTAGACAGTGTCTGACACACGGTTTCTAAACACTCAGACATAGTCTCGAGACACTCAGACACTAGACACTCAGATGCTCGGACACCTAGACACTTAGACACTAGACACACACGCTCAGACACACAGACACTAGACACTCCGACACTAGATTTTCAGACACTTGACTCTCAGACACTAGACACTCGAATACTAGTCACTCAGACACTAGACACTCGGACATTAGACACTCAGACACTAGACTCTCAGACACTAGACTCTCAGACACTTGACACTTAGACACACAATCCCTAGACACTCAGAAACACAGACACACTCAATATCTGGTGTCTGAGTGTCAAGGTAGTAGTAGCTCAAACTCGATGAGATTGCGTCGTTTCATTACGAAGATCCTATGGGCACCTTGCAACTCCATCATCAGACGCTGGTTACCATCTAGTATGAAAGTACTTGTCAAGACGAGTTAAACGAGCCCAAACTCGATGAGGTTGGGTCGTTTAATTACGGAGTTCCTATAGCCACTTTACAACTCCATCATCAGACTGTTTACCATCTAGTATCAAATTACTCTTCAAGAAGAATTAAATGAGACCAAACACAATGGGGTTGCGTCGTTTAATTACAGAGTTCCTATGGCCACCTTGCAGCTCCATCATCGGACCCTGGTTACCATCTAGTATCAAAGTACTCGTCAAGACGAATTAAACGAGCCCAAACTCGATGGGGTTGCATCGTTTAATTGCGGAGTTCCTATGGCCACCTTCCAGCTACAACATCAGATCCTTGTTACCATCCAGTATCAAAGTACTTGTCAAGACGAATTAAATGAGCCCAAACTCACTGAGGTTGCATCGTTTAATTACGAAGTTTCTATGTCATATTAATATTGCATTGTCATCTGATTTGTACTTGTCAGAGTCCAGTTAGAACAAACTAGGTCACAATTAAAATCGAACAACAGAAATACACGTAGTCGCTTATTAATCACAATAACATGCCAACACAATGTAGGTAGATCTCTAGCCGCAGGGTTGCCATTAAAATAATTAATTGTTACTCAAATGTTAAATATTTTTTCTTCAAACCTATAGAACTTGCTTCATTGTACTCAAGCACATATTTGTATCAATTCCTCTACATTTTGCCATGTAACCACAAATAGAACGACAACAAAATACTATACTAATTATATAACGCTGTTTGATTTACAGATACCATAAATGTAAATTAAAAAAAAAAATTAACTTCTACAAAGCTTTTTGACTCATTTTTTACCAAGCTTTTTTGTTTCACGAACAATTAATTTTTATCCATAATTGCGACAAAAGTACCCAATCTGGCAACGCTGTATCTAGAAATTTCAGGTGAACGGGTAAAACAGATTTCGTAGTGCACTAAATAGAAACAGCGCCATCTGTGAAACGATGTGTACAAACTTGTAGCACGAAAGTGTTAACTAAACAATCTCAATTAGATCAAAGCACAATAGTTTCCTGGTAGAAATAAACCAATTTTTGAATTTTAATATAATTAATGAATTTTGGTTTAAGAATTTATTTTATTCCTTTTTACGTTTTTAGGAGATTTTTAAAATAAAAGTATACATATTTTATAAATGATTTTGTTTGTTTTCTAAGACTTACGGAAGCATTAATAGTAAATTGCGACTAGTATCGCCATCTATTGAAAAGTTTTCCGTGCGGCCATTTTTTTTCGTCATCGTGTCCGCCTGCCCATGCATTACCATTCCTGAGGACTCAGGTGTTATTCCTCTGTACCCAGTAAATTCACGCCATATCCCACCCTTCAAACCGAAACACAGCCATGCAAACACAACTGCTTCACGGTTGAAACACGAATGGGACAGAGGTGCCTGACCAAAAGAATATAATATTCTTTAAGATTAAAAAAAAAAGATTTTTTCCAAATCGGTTTACAAGTGACGAAGTCATGAGGTTACAAACATTAAAAAAAAAAAACCGAATCGAGAACCTCTTTGAAGTAGTTTGAAGTTATAAAACAATTATTAAAAAATACAAATGTTTATATTTTTAACGATGTAAGCAAATGTGAGAATAAAAAATATTAAAACAACATAATTTTTCACTTGTTTTATTATAAAATAAATGCATAAAACTCTCAACAGTTACTGGCCTCCATTACAGGTCTTTAATTTACAAAAAGAAAAAAAAATGTCACAACAATAAATCAGCGCATCAACAACATGCGACAGCCAGTTACAAGATTTCTATCGTTTCTTAGAACTAGAACAATAGCTGTGTATAATTTTTTTTTTTTTATTTTTTATTTGATAGGTTTACGGCTTTGGATACATCCTTTTAATCCATTTTCAATTTATTTACCATATGTTATTTATAGTGTTGTGTATATATAAATGTTACAGTAAAAGCCCCAAATCGGATTCATAACTAAATATAAATACATAACATTTCGGACTTTTACTATTAAGTTTGTAAATGTTAGGTTTTACTAGAAAATTTTAGATATAATTTTTATATATGGACCGTTTATTCTGAAAGTGGTGTAAGTCCATTTACAGCACATAAATATGTGTTTTCGTAGTCTAATTAGCCAAAAACAAATTTATATAAACAAATTAAATGTTGATAAAACAATAGAAACAATGCCAGACCTCGTATGATTTGCCTGTATTTTTAAATCAACAAATATAGTAACCTTTAATTTTCCCAAAACAAAAGAAAATGGACTTACACACTTTCAAAATAAACGGTCCATATTAATGTACACTTATGGATAGGTATGGTAATACCGGTATCGTACCGATATCTATATATTGGGTTCCTCTGGACACTGATGGCGGAGAAAAACATCATCTCATTACGATATCGCCTATACCGGTCAGATATCTTCATTAATTTCCATTTTTCATATATGTTAGTGGGCCAATATATATATATATATATATATATATATATATATATATATATATATATATATATATATATATATATATATCCCTACTTCTTACTTTAGTCACTAGTAATGAAGCGAGAATAAGAAGTCTGGTATATTTGTATACCACATGACTTGCGTCTATTTTTTTTTTGCACATTTGCGTCGATTCTGAAGCGCCAATTCTCTATTCCTATCTCTAAATTTAAAATTTCAATTTAATATTTAAATTAAAATTATTATAAACTTAGTTAACGATGGTTCAAGACAACAGTAATTTCGCGAAACTATCGTATTAAAATACTAGGTTTAGGTTAGATTTTGAAAACGACGTTTCAGAACCGGTACCATTGTCTATGATTTTCATGTAACTTTTAGGATGGTCGCTCACTAATTAGTCTGAATAAATAAAAAAAAAGTACGATTTTATCCAATTTTTAAACTCACGACATATATGAATAAAGGAAAAAAATGATGTATTACATAATCAACCTCATTTACTACATGCACTTCCCGCCAATTTTGACATTTACAAAACGTCAAAAACACCACAAGTGACAAATGTAAACTAATACAAAATACGATACATTCGCAACCACAGAGTAATCACTAATCGCAGCAAAATTTTTAAAATCAGCAGTAACTTAAAAAATATATATATATTTCATACAATTAAAGTAATATTTACAAATCATTATAAATTGAACAAGTTCATAGTCGTATTTGTAACACCTTTTTTTTTTAAACTACTTTAGTGGCGAACAAGCAATCGGCCCGTCTGATAGTAAACAGGGTTAGCGTAATCTATGGACGCCTGTAAGATAAGGGATGTCAAGCGCGCGTTGTCAACCCTTAAAAAACCTTATTAGGTACGTCTGTTTTGCATAAAAAGGTCCCTTAGATATTAGATATAAAAATATGTATGCCTTAACAGATATATTACTAATAAGAAGCACTGAGTATCTAATACAAAAAAAAAAGTATTTCTGGAATAGACAACTTCAGCTTTTGAACTTATCAATATAAATTATACTTATATACTAAAATTATTCACAATAAAATTGGGAGGGTTGTCACATATTCTTTTACGCTACAAGTGAGCGAGCTGTAAGCTCTCAATGCAGTATCTGTCACTTGCGAGCCCTAACTTTAAACAGGACGCGGGCTGGCAGTGTAGCACAGTAATTACTGAATTCACGGAAGCGTCGGTCCTACGTACATATTTATTCTCAGCAAACGTGGATATCGACTCCAATACCTATATATTGAGTTGGATATTGGCGAGGGAAAAACAAAGACATAACTCCATTTCGATATCGCCCACACTAGCCGGATATTTCGATGGAATTCAGTTCTGTATATAGTATTTAATAACTGATATCTAATGTATCCGTTATTATATAGATATTGTGACTTCAATAGATAGAGTATTGGTATGTATCACCTACGCCTTATACTTTTGTAAAGTAATAAATATTAACAGCTAAGTACATTCTACTCACAAACTGAGGTAGGACAAATACTTAATCATCATAATTCATCAATAAAATTAAAGGGAAATACAATTTGCAATGTCCAATTTTCAATTTCAATATTTCAACTATTTTCTAAACAGCTTAAAGACCGAAGTCCATCCTGAGCTACTATTTCTTCAAGTTAATTCGATAGTGTAGCAAGACTTATGGTTATGGATTATCAAGAATTAAAGTTATTATGCAATTTACAAAAAATACCCCCGTTTTCATAAAAAATTTTAGCTATTTAACGTTGTTTTGCCTCTTTCTTTTACACTAAAGTCTATATTTGAAAGATAGAGACAATACAGTGTAATAATTAAAGTAGATATGTGCCAAATATTGGCCCAAAGAATAGCTAATAATTTTACTGCAATATGAAATTCAAATTTAAAATTTTGGAGATAGAACTGTGATAGAAGTGTTACGATAACTTTGGGGCCGATTCCACGACGCCATTTCGCTAAACCTATCTCGAAATGTTCTCCATTTTTAAATTTTATTTATAAGTTTAGACAAATGGCGCTTCAGAATCGACCTCATCGTGTCCTTACAAATGTTTCGCAACAACTAAATCTTTTTTTTTTTTTTACTTTAAACCCCTTTTATTTTTAAAGACATATACTTTTTCTTACTTAGACCCAGACAGATTTTAGGCATACTTTTGTAATAAGATAGTAGGATGTCTAGATCTGTTCATTTAATTTAAATAACTTTAATGATCAAACAAAATATGGCTCGAAAGGCGGAATTAATGCTAGTAGCATACTCTACCAGTCAACCTTTGGGATCAACAGTATCTATCTCAAATTTAGCTATTTTCTTGTAATCATCATCATCATCATGTAATACTTACGTATTTTCTTGTAATACGACCTTCTATATCAACTGAACATTCCCATTTCCCTTTCCCCAGTAATAAACAAGACGTGTTATAATCAAATGTCTTTGTCTAATACCTGATGTGTCGCACTGTGATCGCTCATTTCATTGACATTATACTTTTCATTACAAATACAACACGTGAACATGCCCTCCTTTATGCTCAAGTGTAGTTCATTCAAAATGGACAAGTTCAAACTTTTCCCACATATCTGACAGTTCTGCGGCTCGTCTAAATGGTCCAAGCTCTCGTGGAACTCTCTGGCTCTTTGATTTTTGAATGTCTCTGTACAGTAATTACATTGTATTATATCATTTTCAATTTTTACAATGTTATTTTCTAATCCTTTATCTGCATCTTCACATTTGTCTGTAACCTGTTTTCTAATATCGCTGTCTTTCTCTGTTTGTTTTGGTTGTGGTGTCGAGGTTGCTATTTCATTAATTACTTCTACATTATTATTGTCTATAAGTCCACTTGGATTACTATTATCATCTGTGTTAATATTTACATTTGATAATTTATTTATATTGGAATCACTATCTATTACAGCTAATTGATTAAAATTTGAATCGTCGTTAACACTGGCGCTGTCATTTTTATCATTTTCTACGTCTACATTCGTATTAACTTGTTCTATTGTATTTGGTGTTTCTGCATTTTTAATTTCAGTCGCAGCGTCACTAATCTCGGCTGTAGTGCTAACCAATCCAGATTGATCTCTATCATCGGCGTAATAGATTTCTATTTGCGGCTCACCATTCTTCAGATCTTGACGGTACTCTTCTATTAATATGTCTTTTAAATTAAAATCAGTGTTATGATGTTTCTTCATATGCAAATAGAGAGAAACTGTTTTAAATTGAAAACCGCATAGTTTGCATTCAATATAGTCTTTCGCAAGCAGCGGCGTATGGTCGTATACATGTTGGCAGCAGTATTTCCGCGTTAAAAAGAAAACATTACAATCTCCGCACTTGAATAACTCTATTTTATATTTTCTAGTCGATGCTGAGGGTTTATTTGAAACTACACTCTTGTCTTTGTCTACAGTGTCTGCAGTGTTACTTTGTGATACTAGGTTTTCCTTTGAGACTTTATCGGATACATTTTGGTCTTCAGTATTGGGTTGTGCAACTTCTTTTATTACATCGTCTAAAACATTCAAAGTTATGTTGAAAATAACAAAGTCTTCACGTTTCAAGTTTAGTTTCTCGTGATGGATGTAGATATGTCGGGGAAGACTGTAATTACTGAAGTTGAGGCCGCACGTACCGCAATCCACCGTTACTGATTTATGGTCGGATGTTTTGAGATGGTTCAGACAAGTGTGCTCTTTGAGGAAGTGCACTGAGCACACGCTACATTTATATAAATTTTTGTTATACCTCCACACATCTAGCTTCGAAAGGACCGACTGTGACAACTTGTACTGTGTCATCGCACGTTTCTCAGTACTCTCATCATCTGAAGCATTCGACATTTCTACCGGTTCCTTGTCATCATTATTAGATATTTCAGAATCATTGGCCGTTTCTTTGTCTTTTAATATTGAATTGGATTTAGAATCTTCACTATTGGTAACAATGTCAAATTCTTTAATAAGTAATTTCTCATGGTGCACGTACTGATGTCGCATCAATGAGTTTTTTGTGAAATAATAGCCGCACGTCGTGCATTCTTCTCTCGACTGTTCGTGTTTGTTGACATATTCATGCCTCGACAGCGTGGTCGGCCTCAAAAAACACAAGGAACACACTAAACATTTGTAAAGTTTATTACTGTAGTAGTTTGCATCCGTTTCCATGGATTGATCTATTATTTTTTTCGTTATCTCCATATTTTTCGTGTCGGTTATAGAAATATTTGAAGTGTTATCCATTTCAGCATTAGATTTACTATCTAATGAATCATCATAATCCGTACCAGATATTTTAGAACTGTTGCATGCATCTTTATCTATTTTGGATTTGTATTTGGTTGTAACGATTTTAGGGCTAGTCCCATCGCCGTGAACGTAAAATTCCATGATCTGTAATTTCTCATGGTGTATATACTTATGTCGTATCAACGACTTTATTGTGAAATAACAACCACACATTGAGCATTGTTCTGACCTAATTGTGTGTACGTTTTTAGACTGATGTTTCATCAATGAACTCTGTACCAAGAAGCATACAGAACAAATTGAACACTTGTAGAGATTTTCATTGTAACTGTTCAAGTCTATGGACGTCGCCTTTGGTGCTTGCTTATTTTTAACCTTTCTTTTGGGAATATATGTCTTACTGTCATCTTCATCGTCTAAGGTCGTATCTCTGTCAGAATCTATCTCCTCTTTGAAAGAAACACGTGGCTCTACAGTCGATTTGCTAATCACATTAAAATCTTCGAGTCTACATCTTAGTAAAATATGGTGAGTGTATGTATGCCTGTTTATTGAATGCCTTGTAAATGTAAGATCGCAGATAGGACACTTTGCAACTCCTTGTATGGCATGTTTCATATCTATATGGTATCTGAGAGACTTCTCAGTCATGTAGTGAATGTCGCATCTGGCGCATTTATATAATGTTCTGGACGACTTAACAACTTTGCTTTCAACATTGGTTTTCCATATCTCATCATTACCGCTCGATGTTTGTAAATCGACTACTTCAGTATTAATAACATTACCGTTTTTACTGATTGTTATAATTTCAATTGGTCTCTTCTCTATATTCTTTACTCTACGGTGTTTTGCTTTATGCGCAGTGATTACTTGTCTGTGGAAATCCATATTACAGATGGTGCATCTTTCCGATATCGGCGAGGAATCGCAAGACTTTAGATGCTTGGTGAGAGTTGGCATGTGACTGAATAGTAATTTGCATAGACCGCACTTGTAGAATGTCACAAATTGCTTCACCACTATTGTGCTTTCTCCTTTGCTGTGGTGACTGCACAAGTGGCTCACTAACGATTGAGTCGGGAACAAAAGTCCACATTTGCTGCAATTCTCTTTAGGTATAACAACTTCTGGGGAGCACACATCTATATGAATGCCCAAACTCTGTTCCGAAGTAAAATGCAACCCGCATCTGCACTGGTATACATTAAAAACATTGTCGGAACTGTTCGCAATAGAATTACCCTTTTCATCCCGTGCTGACGTTTGTGTATTCCGTTGAAGAACTATTGCATTCTTTTTATCAGGATCGAATAAAACTGTTACAATGTTGCCTTTAGTGAATTTCGGATGCATACTATGATATTTTAAATGTTTCCTAATCCGTCCTCTAGGATAAACGTGGTTACATATATCGCAAACTTTTGTATCTTTTACATTTACACACACGTGACCTTTCAATTTTATATTACTCAATAATGTTATATTACATTTAATGCATTTGTATAATTTATACTTCTTTTTAATTTTGAATTTCTCATCAGATTCATTCTGCACTTCGGCATCCTCGTAATAATCCGGATATTCATTCCTGGTGTTATCTTTCGATTCGTCCTTATTCATTTTTAAAATTTCATTGAATTCTTCATCTTGAATCTCGTTAAATCCGACAACCCTAAAAGATTTATCCTCTCCCCAAGTATTATGCAGTTTCTCGTGTTTCTTTTGGCCTAATAATGTTGTGAAAGGTATGTAGCAGGTAGAGCATTCGTACTGTTCAGAATTACAGCACGAATTGCTATGCACATGGTCCGAAACGATGTCGGGATCAACGAAGATATTGCATTTTTTACATTTATAAATGGTCAACTCGGGAAAACCGTCTGCCAAAAGTCGCATCTTCACATCAATTGCCACGTATATACTCTTGGCTAAGATCTGTTGCGTCTGTATTGTGGAAATATTTTGGAACAATTCCAACCATTTCGTTGAAAATAATTTACTGTAATCGAATGTCAAAATCTTGAACGACTCTCGATTTATGCTTTGGTAACCTTTATGCACCTCGAGGTGCCTCAAGTAACACGGCATGTCGAAGTTGAGACCACAAATGTTGCAATTCTTTATCGTTACATCATAATGTTCTAGATTACTGAAATGATTCTGACAATGTTCTATTACTTTGTCGTACGAATCAGTCGTCGTGTTGCATGATTCGCACGTGTACAAAATGTTCCATGTAGTCGTTAACGATTGGTATTTCTCCATTAGTGTGGGCATTTTACCTGCTACATCTTTATTACTCTTTATTTTGTATTTATGGTAAGTTAAATGAATATTATATGTCAATTCATCATAGAACTTGCGGCATATGTTGCATTTTTTAATATTCACTCTATTACATTCATGTGCTTTTTTCTTTACAGTGAAAACTTTGCACGTTTCGCAGAAAGGAAGATCAGGTAATGGAGGAACAATTGGCTTTTTATCTCTGAGACTGAGAAACGTAAAGTCGCTTAATTTAACATTTGGTGTCTTGTGAACATTCAGATGTATATGCAAAGAAGTAATAGTCCTAAAAGTCAAAGCACAGTACACGCAATGAAACTTGGTTGATTCCCTGCATCCCCCTTGCAAGTGGTAATGTTTGTTTCTATGAGTTGTCACTGTTCTAAAATAGGTTTCACAAATACTGCAATACAGAAGAACTTTTGGGCCGTAGTATTCTTTTGGAAACTTAGAATTTGTTCCTTCCTTCTTTAAAAGTTTAGGACTCGCTTCGACTGTGTCCAATTTTCTCTTCAAACTCTTCAGAGTATTATCTATGAATTCGACTAAAATGAAGTCAGCACGGATGAATTTTCTAATATGGTGTATCTTTCGGTGGTATATTATACTGTTTTTGTGAAAATTAAGATTGCAGACCGTACAGAGGACTGGTTTCGACTTGATACAGCCCGCTTTGAAGTGACTGAGAAATTTCTTTTCGTCGAAATACAAATTGCATTTGGGACATCGACATGCGACTCTCGAATGCATGTGGTCATGTATTATATAAATTCTTAGCTTATCAGTAAAGGTGTGCTGTTTGTAATGGGCATCGATGTCAGCGGATTTAAATAGGCGCTTGCATTTGCTGCAAGCTACATTGGGCGCTTTATTCCCTAAGCCTTGGCGGCACCAATTCACGTGGCCCACGGAAGAGGCGCAGCTCATAAAGTGAGTTTGGCATTCGTTACATTTGAACAGGACTGATTTTGGTATAGGGAACTTGTAGTTTACACTATCAGTGGTTTTGCTGGTAGGAGTTTTCTTAACAAATTCATCACAGTCAGTAGATATAGTTTGTGATGTTTTCGCACATTTCCCTTTAATAGTCTTTAATATATTTTTGTTAATAAATTCCGGGTGCAGCAGTGCTCTGTGGCGTCTCGCCGTCTTAACATTGGCGAAAGTCTCTTTGCAAACGGTACACAGAATTTTTGTGTTGGCTCTATCAATTTTGCTTCTAAAAATTCTAAAGTGCATATGTTTTATGTGTTTGTTGTAACTCGGGAAGTGTTTGAATGTTGTACCGCATAAGAGACATTTTGGTACGTAAGGCACTGTTTTTTCGTTTGTTAATGTGACTTGATTGTGATTCATTTTCATATGCGCCTGATATTTTTTAAGGTTTCGATAATAACACGAGCATACAGAACACCTGTAGCATTGATACGGGATTCTCGACGTCTTTGGTACGTCTTCTCCTTTATCATTATTTTTAGCATCGTCTGTATTGGAATTAGATGTTAATAGTTCGTATAGATGTGTTATAAGAAGTGTGTTGTCCGAGAAATGTTTGTTGCAATGATTACAATATTTAGTACTAGTAATTCCTACAATGTCCACCTTTTTAACAATATCAGATGTTACATTTCTGGCCATTGCACTGGTACTTTTTCTGGCCGTGTTTGTTGTACTTTTGGGTGTGACAGTGCTTTTTCGCGCTGTAGTTTTCTTAGCCACGTTAAAAAGTGGCTGAGTGCTTTTGCGAGCAACATTCATTGATACGAAGCTTGTACTTTTTCTAGCTGTATATATGTTGCCTTGTGTCTGAGTTGTGGACTTTCTAGCTGTGTTAGTCATTATTTCCTCCTCTAAAGGAATTAGAAACGAGTGGCTGGCCATATTATGGGAATCAATGCCATTCCTGGTGGCGAAAAGTATTTGGCATTCTTTGCAGTAACAATCGCTGCTTTCCAATCTTTCTCTCCAGTCTTCTAGCAGTATCCTAACCTGGGAATGTATATTGCTTACCGGTGCAGCTGGTTTCGATCCCAAAATAATCTTGTTGTTGCTGTGGTAGATCAGTTCTGTGGATTCTTCTAGATCTGGATTTGGAGTCCCGTCATCTTCAGTGTACTCGTAATGGGAGTTGTCATATTCATCGAATTCTGGAATACGAAATTTATTTATTCAGCACACTGTTATAGTTAACAACTTAATTTACATATATTTATATTAACAATTAAGGGATAAGAAAAAAGGAATATGCTAGAAGAAACCTTCATGTCAAAAGGACAGGCTGTTGTAGCAGCGCAGGCGGCGTAGTTATTATGTAATAGGTCGCAGTGTAGTCCCGACATAGACTAAGTACTAAGTGTGCCCATATGGTCCCGGCATAGAATAGGCCACCCATTCCTTTCCCGTGGATGTCGTAAGAAGCGACTTCCCAAGAGCAAGGGATGGGCAGTAGCATCCTCTTAAAAAATCAATAAAACCTAACTGTGGTTGCCAATCCACCTGCCAAGCGTGGAAACTACTGGAAAAACCCCACAGAGATGAGGTTTGTGATCAAGAATAGACCGTTAGGGCTGGTATGATGATGATGATGAAAAGAATATGCTGGAAGATGCCTTCGTGTTAAAAGGACAGGCTGTTTTGCAGCATCGTTATTATGGAATAAGGTCAATAAATAAAGGTTTTGAATCTGAAATATTAAAAATTATAACTAATCTCATATGTCTTTGTAAATTTATACACAAAACGGAAAAAAAAACAATTTTCTATGCTAGTTAGTTCTATGTACATAGAGCTAATGTGAGCGGCACTTGTCGTCAAGGGCGGTGCTGCCATGCAGTATGGCCAGCAGCTATGGTCATTAATGATGACCGTAAAGAAGTTGAGTTTGCATAGCTGTGTTTCAGAGAAAGAGGAATAACACCTGAGTCCTCAGGAATGGCAACGCATGGGGGTATTATGGGTGAAACAATATGTTACTGCACTCTGTTATGTCCACGGTACTGCTCATGTCTATAGGCGATGGTTACCACTTTCCATCAGGTGAGCCATCAGCTTGTTTGCCATTCTAAGTTATATAAAAAAAAAACTGGATACTCCAACGCATAAAAAATATGCTGTATGTCTTTAAATCTGTGTAATGAGGGGGGGGGGATTCTTAGTAAAGGTGATTAAGGGCCCTATTGCTAGCAATATACCCAACCAGGTCGACTTCCATGTGACCCATCCTGGAAACCATTGTGCAAAATTACAGACATATTCACCACAATGAGCTAACTGACCTGCCTTTTCATTATGACCTATCATCCCTCACTGGTGCCCCAACAGAGTATACCTCTAGCGCAGGTGGGGTCGTCATCCATTAAAAAGGATATGTATATTTACTGAATTTAATTTTATAAATTTATTGAAGAATTTATGAAGAGAAAAACTGGAAGAAGTTTCCAGGTAAACTTTATTTCCTTTTTCTCATGCATGCTGTTCCTAGCCACCAATGATAACCCTGCATGCGCTGTAGCAGTATATGCTGGTGGGGCATCAGCAAGTGACAATAGGTGAAACAAGCCAGTTGGCACATAGTGATGAATTCAGAAGTAATTAACCAAGATGGTTTCCAGGGGGAATCGCATGGAAATCAACCTGAAATTTTTTTAATGGATGATAATGAAGTGCTAACCCCACCCGCGCTAACGGTATACCAGTCGGGCACCAGTGAAGGATGATAGGTGAGGATGAAGCAGGTCAGTTAGCCCATCGTGACGAATTCAACAAGAATTGTTCACAATGGTTTCCAGGAGGAACCATGTGGAGGTTGACCTGATAGAGCTTGTTAACAATGGGGCTGTCAAACTCAATTGCTAACAATCCCTTTTCCCCCAAGTCGACCTGATAGGCTATATTGCTAGCAATGGAGCTGTTAAATCACATCACTAACAATCTCTTCTCCAGTTTGAATGGTGTGATATAGAAATGAAATTACAGAGTACAGAGGTAAAACACCTTCGTCTTTAGGAATGGCAATGCATAAAGGGCATCATGGGTGACACAGTGTTCTTTATGTCCTTGGGCAATAGATACCACATTACATTTGTAAAAAAAAGAAAGCTTATAACAAAAACATGTCAGGACATTTCATAACAAAAAAAGTTACCTTCTTCATCCAAATCCAGAGGCTCGGACTTGATGCTGATGATCTGCGGCAGCATGTCCTTGATCTGAGGGTTGTCCAGGATGTCGTGCTCCTCTATATCAATATCGTCAGACATTTTGTATTGCTGTAGAGGAAAAACATACATTTTTTATTTTACCAAAATATATAAAAATATAATACATAGAAAAGCCATTTGCTTAGGTATAGCTGTTCCATGCATATTTGTACTACGAAGCAGTTGTGTTTGCATGGCTGTATTTCAGTTTGAAGGGTGGGATATGGCTGCGAAGATACAGGGTACGGAGGCATAAGACCATTGCCTCTAGCAAGGCAACACATGAGGATGTACTATAGGTATCACAGAATGATAACCACAGATAAGACTCATATCTTTTGACATCAAAACAACCTAACCTAACCTAACCAAAATATTAGTATACTTAAAGACTATTTTCCAGGAGGGGAAGGACTTGAGTCCTTAAAAAAGTGTATATGTACTCTCAGACATGTCTCTATGAAGTTTTATTTGGATCCTGGGATGGACATAGCTCAGCCAGCCCCTCTCTAAATACGCCTATGACCAAATGGACAAAATTGAAACAATAAAGCATTTAAAAAGTTATGAATTAACAATGTGAGGTTGATCTATCTATTTGTATTAATCTGCGTGTTTACCACGTACGACATATATGTATTTATGAAAACATTTATATATTTCTATCAATCGTCTGGAGATGTGTGGCATTGTGTAAAATGCTCAAGGGTTTATTTAACAGTAAGTTAGATAAGAGGCTGATTCGAGCAACTAGTAGTGTTTTTAATGTATAAATCAACATACAAATTGCATAACGTTATTAGAAAACAACTTAGAATGCAACCAGCATTAACACCACGTAAATAAGACTGTGGCCAAAACAAATAGAAAATGTAAACTAGACTAACAAAATTCGACATAATGTTAATTAATTTCTTAGCATTATTTAATTATAATTGTAGCAAAATATAATAGAAAATAACAGGAAAGTTGTAACAAAAGTAACTGTACATAGTTGTTTGTTTTATCATACCTTGTTAGCAAATTGTCAATCATGTAATAAAATAATACAATCACATAATGTGAAGAAAAAGATATAAACAATGACAGGAGTAACTTAGATTATTTATATAATATTATTTTAAAGAATTAACCTTTTAAGAAACACAAATGCAAGCACAAAAAGTAAAAATCAGTTAATCGCACAGATAAAACTTTTCATTCTTTCTCTTACCATAGATTATGGCTTACCATAAATAAATTAATAAAAGACTGTTGATGCTAGAGTTATTATCTCTGTTATGCTTATACAAACCTAAGAACAAGGAATTACATAGGAGTGATAAAATTGTCAATTCATAGAGAGCTTGTGTGCTGGCATACTTTCTACATAAATTGTGTCAAATATATAATCTAGTAATGTAAAATTTGACATTGACTAATAATTGATATATCAAACATTTTCTATACACTAGCCTGCTATGAATTGAGAAAAATAGCAACTGATGATGTATCTTTCGTCCTCTTTTTACTAATTATATTTGCATAAAAAGAAAGGAGGCAACCATACAATTTATAGTTTTTATATCATTCTTTCTATGTAATTCCTTGTTCTTAGTAAAAAAAAAAAAAAACAAGAAAAGTATCTATGCTTTTTGTCTGATCTGTGCTAAAAAAGAAAAAAACTTTGACATTTTAATTTCTTTCGCGGATTTTCTTAATCTTTAATTTTTGTTTGTTTTTCAACTTTGTATTAGATCTAAAACTTTATTATTATTTTTTGTCGTTATTAGATAAATAAGTAAATGCAATGGCAAGGACCAAAGCCTCAGTTGGTGCTAAAGGTAAATACCATTTTTCGCTTTATCACTGGCGTTTTAGTTATTATTAATTTCTGATCATTTATTTTTTAATAGTCTCTATTATTACGGCAGATGCTTTATGTGGTAAGCAGAGTGCAACGAGCTTTAGGGGCATTTATTCTAACATCTGTTTTTTCTTTCGTTCACTTATTGTAAAAGGGCAAATACCGCCTCTAACTTCTTGATAGGGAATATATCCTATCAGGTCGACTTCCCGCGGCTCCCCCTGGAAACTATCGTGACTAATTCATCGTTGAATATGTTAAGAACCTCCTTGGTTCAATGGTAGGCGATATGCATTCTAGCAGCGCTTGTCAATGTAAAATTAAGAAAAATAATATTAGAATGGAAATGACAGATTACCCTTTTGTCATATATACTGTGAACATTGACTGAACTTGCTAACTGACTAATATTAACTAGTGTAGTAACCAAAATCCTAGTCCTGGTTTTCCTTAACACTGATCCTGATCCCGGCGTTGCTTAATACTGGTGAGTGCTACTACCAATTTCCTATATTAGATATAGATGAATATTTAAACAATAAAAATTTTAATAAAAAAATAATGCATAATATATAAATACAATTTATATATAATTAATTATTAATTAATAATACTAAAATTGATAATGATACTAAAAAGATATAAAAATATGAACAACTACATTAAATTGCATTAAAATAAAATAAAACATATGGAAATAAAAAAAAATCGTTAAAATAATAAAATAATTAAAATAATTTGGAATTTAATTCGAATTTAATTAAATTGATGAAATTGAAATTGAATTATTTAAATCTATATGACAATTTAAGGATCGTCGCCCTCCTCGCTTCTAATTGCTGCGCCCGACAGGGTCTACAATGTACTTTATCCATTATTAACATCTTTCATAATAATATTGTAGAATACAATAAATTGAATTGAATTGAATTGACATCATGATATGCTAACTGACCTGCCTTTTCATCCTCACCTATCATCCCTCACTGGTGCCCCTCCAGTGTATACCATTAGCATAGGCAGGGTTACCATTACATTGTCATCTATTAAAAAAAAAACTTTGATATGTGTCTAGTGGTCTTGTCAGTGAATATCCTTTGTTAGTGAAATGCATAATAATTTTACCAACATAGTAATATTCGAAAACAGCCTTTCCCAAAGTGGGCGATAACGCCCCCTTGTGGGCACTGCAGGCCTAAAGGGGGGCAGTAAGAGACCCAGAAAAAATGGGGGCGTTGTGTAGAGGCTTGGGGGGTGATTTGTTGATCTTGAAGTAATAGTGGTTTTTAAGTCGGTGAAAAAATGGAGGTACTAAAAAATAATTTATTCTCAAAGTGGGCAGTAGACAAAATAAGTTTAGGGACCCCTGTTATGAACTATTAATCCCAATGCTAACAATATACCCTATCAGATTGACCTCCTATGTCATTTTCCCTGGAAACCGTCATGTTGAATTCCAGGTGTATTCATCATGATGGGCTAACTGACCAGCCTTTTCATTCTCACCTATCATCCCTCACTGTTGTCTCACCAGCGTATACTGTTAGCACAGGTAGAGCTACCATTCCATTAACATCTATTAAAAAAATATTATAAATTTTAAAGTGAGTTTGATTGTTGCCTTGTACCACCTTGACATTTGATACACACATATTATATGGTATTGATAGTTGTGTATGCATGGCTTTTTGTCAGTTTGAAGGGATATGGTAGTAAATTTACTGGGTACAGAGGAATAACACCTGAGTCCTCAGGTATGGCAACGCGTGGGGGGTATCATGGGCGAAACAGTATACTCTGTTATGTCCACTGTACTGCTCATGTCTATAGGTGACGGTTACCACTTTCCATCAGGTGGGCCGTCAGACAGAAACTGACAGGGTATATTACTATCAATGGGGCCACTAGTCCCCATTACTAATGATCCCTTTGCCCTATACAGTTTTAGCGACCATTCCATTTTCACACCAATAAAATTAGCTGTTTACAATGGTATTTCATATAAAGTTATCTTTCCAGTGGCAATTGGCAAAAGCAGTAAAGCTCGCTGCAGTGTGGCGCCACCTACCAACAGCGGAGGGTCAACAGGTCAGTTAATATATTGAATGTTAACAGACTACTGTCCTTTGAAAACATGCACTATATATAAACTACCATGAGGAACTGCCCCCATTCCTTATGGCGGTCTATGGTGGAGGCCTATGTTCAACAGTGGACAGATAACGGCTGATATAATGATGGTGAAAAAAGGAAAATATTTTCAAGAAATCTGAATTGATTCTGGTCTGGGTGCCCTCGGTTGTGACTCAGGTGACTGTCGCCTGGTTTCTCGCAATCCAGGGTGGTATAGCTTAAGGAGCAGGCAAATAGTGTGATAATGTGACAGTTAGTAATAGACATTGGCACTTATTAATGGATATTGGCACTTCTAAAGGGAAGTTGGCACTTATTAATGGTAATTGGCACTTTTTATTAGACAGCACTTAATAATACACAAATACATATTTATTTATTTATTAAATTTTAATACACTAGAAAGTGTAAATAACGGACTTAACACTGTATAGCTTTATCCAGCAGTCCACATATGCTTCTCAGAATGTCTTATTTTATATATTTTTAATGTATTTCTACAATTACTAGGTAGCAGTGAACGCTCCTCTCGAAGCTACTCCGGAGGCAATCCAGTCTGTCCCCGGGAGACTCCCAAATGGCAAAAACCAATCACCAACTTTTTCATCACCAAAGACACGAATGGGAAAGTGACGGAGCAGGAGGAAGATGATGGGGTGACTGGTAAGTCATTGTAAACACCTGATCAGGATAATATTGTCTTGCGTCTGCGCTATTGGTATACACTGACGGGGCACCAGGAAGGGATGATAGGTGTGGATGAAAGCAGGTCAGTTTGCTCATCGTGGTGAATACACCTGTAATTCAGCATGATGGGGGACTATGTGGAGGTCGACCTGATTGTGTATATTGCTAGCAATGGGACTGGTAGCCCGCGTTACTAACAATCCCTTCCCACCAATATAAGTGATTCATATTATAATTTTCTTTACCAGCCGGCAGTTCCAAATCAAAAACAAACCGCCAAGTCATAGAGTCTGATGAGGAGGAATCTGAAACGGTGGAGAACGGTTCGAAGACATCAGACGAGTGCCCACAGCCAGAACGCCCAAAGAATTCAGTATTAGACGAATCAATAGAATTAGAGACATTAGATGGGGGTACTAGTCATAAAATTAACGAGTATTACCCCACAAACGGTTTGAAAGGTAAAGGGAGAGGTAAGAAGAGGCCCAACAAAGAGAATATAGATGATAGTAATAAAAAAAGGAACTCACTAAAGAGGGATCTAGAAGACGTGGCGACTGGAGAAGACTTAGAACGTGTTACTAAAAAGGTCAAGATTGGTGCATGAGTGGGGCCAAAGGAGGACTGGCAAAATATAAGTTTAAATAGAATTTAATGAAAAAGTAAGCGATCCACTGATCAAGTGATGTTTTTTAGGCAACTTTTTAATCCCCCTTACATCCTACAAAATGAAGTTTTAAACTATTTAATCCCCTACCTAACGGGTTTTATGATCCCAATGGTGGATTTGGGATCATGTGTGTTTTTTGATATTAAATAATGTTGTAAAGTCTTTACTGTACATAAATTACTTTGGACACATTAAAATAGTGTTTCCCAACCTTTTCTGTGTCACGCCCCACTTGGACATTTCTAAAATTTTTACGTCCCCATATATAATTTTTTTCGACAAAGTTTACTTGACGACTCTAATCGCCCAGTTGATATTTTGGTAACGTCAAACGAAATTTTACCTAATAAATATTTACAACATTTTTTTAATTTACTTTTTTTGTTAAATTTGGAACGAGCAAGAGGCTTAAAAACGTTTCGAGTCTATTTTTTATTTGCCCCCCCCCCCCCCCCCCCCCTCTTAACTATAAAATTGCTCCCCTGTGGGGCGTGGGTCCCACGTTGGAAAACACCGCATTAAAAGATTTAATATACAATGGTCGATTTATCCCACAGTGCAGGGGTTAGCATCCTGCTGCTTTTTGAATGTGAAGCTGCAGCTCTTTAGTTCCATATGCAAATATTGTTTATTTTATATATAAAAAAAGACGTTGTGAAGCTTTATTTATGCAAGTCCTATTTGTTGCTGGCAAAAAAATGTGGCTCTCTGAAAAACTTTGAAATTTTGTAAATCGTAATTTTTTTGTTTCTTCCGACTCAAAAGGTTGTCGACCATTGCCATAGAGGGCAGCTCTAACAGTCAACTTTTGAGAAGCTGAAGGGAAACTATAGAATGTTCAAATGTAAAAACTGTACAGTTAAAAATGATAATACCTAGTTATAATTGAACATGTAATACAGTAAAAATATTGTTTATAGTATATTTTTTGCAAAATCTACGTCAATGCCTAACCGATTTCGATTATTATTTTACCATAGAAAATGGTTTTCCCGCGTTGAACTCATATTAAAATTTGTAGATCAGAAATGGTAAAGGCATCCGCAAAACTGAATGCTTACTTTTTTTTAAGTTGATTAAAATTATGTCTTTACATGTAAATAAATCTTTTGCTAGAACTGGCCACGCATGGGGGGAGGTATCATGGGCGAAGCAGTGTACTCTGTTATGTCCACGGTACTGCTCATGTCTATAGGCGACGGTTACCACTTACCATCAGGTGGACCGTCAGCTTGTTCACCATTCTAAGTTGCATAAAAAACATCCTTATTATTATTAAAAAGAAACGAGACTAAACATTGTTGTTTCATTCTATCCTTGTGCATGCGGTAGCGTAAACATGTCTACCTATAAATTAGTTTGTTTAAACATTCCGGTGAGTTACTTGTTAAAAAAATAACTGGTAAAATATGACTAAGTTTAAGGTATTACCTCATTTATGGACTAAGTAATTGTTAAGAATTTCTGATTAAGTTTGCTAAATATAAATAATGTATTTTATAAATTGTCGTTTTATTTCAATAATTTATTTATTTATTTATTCCTTGCAACACTTGACTGGCTTTTAACGACCATGTAATTTTAGACATGGTACATTTAAATAAATACACATAATGTTACTAACGCGGGCTCTTCACAACAGATAATAACTTTTTCACAAACATGCTTGGAAATGTAAGTATTATTTTGACAATCTTCTTCGTAATTAATTAAAATTGCCGTACTGGCCAGATACATGCGGGCAGCGGCCAGGAAAAGTTGTATGGAAATCCATATCTGTGGTGTTTTGCGGCCAGATAAATTACTATGTAAACTCATATCTGTCCTGTAATTTAAAAATGGAATGACCTTTTACTTGGTTTTATTTAAATTTCGAACAGGCTTGCAAATAGAAAGCTGTTTATTGAAAAAAAAAAAAATAAAGGAACATTGTGGCGCGTGAAAAATTATTATTGTTCGTTATTCGTCATTGAATTTAAAAAGTAAAATTGTGGTTTTGATTTCCGCGCATTGTTTGAGAAAAGTACTAAACGAGCCTTGGCCACAACTACGCCTCGGCCCACATTTGCACGTTCGTCCATCAATGCCTCAGTTGCTGGCCGCTGCAGTAATGTACTATGCGAAGCCTGCAGTAGATTAAAATCAAATGACGCTTTAAAAGTGTTTGTAAACAAGTCTATTTGAATTGGAAACATGTTTCATACATAGGCATAGGTGAATGTTGGGTCCTTAATTATAATTTTGTTCAATAATTATGTTATTTTTATATAACTCATCACCATGAATAGTGATGATACCATAGGATATTTTCATCAGAGTGGCTGTGTTTCGGTTTGAAGGGTGGGATATAGCGTGAATTTACTGGGTACAGGGAATAACACCTGAGCTCAGGAATGGCAGGGGGGGGGTATCATGGGCGAAACAGTATACTCTGTTATGTCCATGGTACTGCTCATGTGTATAGGCGACGGTTACCACTTTCCACCAGGTGGACTGTCAGCTTGTTTACCGTTTTAAGTTTTATAAACTATAATATTGATTACTTATATATTACTCTATTCTATATGATGGGTGGCACAGTATATACTGTGATGTCCTTGCAGAACAAAAACACAAATATGTAAGTACAATTTATTCTATATCATCACCTAATTATTGAGTTTAAAACATTCTTTTTTTTTATAGAAAATTGGAAAAATTGTCAATCACAATATCTATTAATATAATACTTCCTAGGAATAACAAAATAAATAAAATGTTACAAAAGTACTTAAATATAAAAATAATTATAAACAAGTCACACCTGAGGGGTTGAAATAAGTGTAAGGCAGCTTTTTTTGATGGGTGAAAATGGAATGGTAACCCCGCCTGCGCTATCGGTATACACTGGCGGGGCACCAGTGAAGGATGATAGGTGAGGATGAAAAGGCAGGTCAATTAGCCCATCGTGACGAATACCACTAGAATTTGCCACGATGGTTTCCAGGTGAAACGCGTGGAGGTCGACCTGATATACACCCGTATTGTTAACCTTCCCATGCGATCGTCCCTGGAAACTACCACGATGTACCAACTCAACCTGATTGGGGGGAACGGGTTGATAGTAATGGGGTCAAATAGCCTCATTATTAACAATATACCCTGTCAGGTCTACCTCCACGCGGTTCCCCTGGAAACCGTCGTGACTAATTCTAGTTGAATTCATCATGACGGGCTAACTGGCCTGTTTTCATTCTCATCTATCACCCTTCACTGGTGCTTCGCCAGCGTATCCCGTTAGCGCAGGCGGAGTTACCGTTACCATATCATTTTCACCCATAAAAAAAAATATATATATAGGCATGGGATATTACTTGTACCCTAGTATTAAACGACTACTTCAACCCCTCTTTCCCCTAATTGTAGCTTTTACACTTAGATTATAAACATAGTGTTTCCATACAATTGCTTCATTAAAAACTGGTCAACTTTTTTCTTCTTTGCTTTGGCTTTTTAGGGTAGCCATTAGCCATTCAAGTTTTATTAAAAATCAGGGAAATTGGCTCAACACAAAACGGGAATATAGTGGCGGAAAATTTAGGGACAGGATTACGGGATCAGGAAAGTTGAAAGAGACAAGGTATCTAATCGTATAATAAATAAATTAATATAGTAAATGAATATAAATTTATATATATATTATAAAGTTTTTTTTTACAACACAGGGGGCAAACGAGCATGCGGCTCACCTGATGGTAAGTGACTACCGCCGCCCATGATCACGCACAACACCAGCAATGCCAGGTGTGCTGCCGGCCTTTTAAAAAGGAATATACTCTTTTTTTGAAGGTTTAATTGAAACAATATATATATATATATATATATATATATATATATATATATATATATATATATATATATATATATATATATATATATATATATATATATATATATACTAAGTGAACTTTTTTTTCCACGTGTACACCAAAAGGGTTACCATAAAAAATAATTATTAAATTTATGGGAGAAATTACATTGTAAGTTGAAAAATAAATATATAATATAATAAATAAGGACAAGACAAACAATGCATAACGATTCGAACTGATAATACTGATGCTTTGAAATGTAGACTTATCATATGTTATCGTTTTTAAATCATTTAAAGATAAACCTATTCTTGCTAATAAGTTGGTAAACTAATCGCCGTATCTTTCTTTCTTTTAAGTGCAATAAAGTATAAAATAAAAAACTATACATATGTATTTTATATTTTTTCCTCCTGGTGAATCTAAAAAACAGTGGCCGTTTCAAATTTAGAAAACCGACTGGGCCTGGCAAACTTTTAACTTGCAACACTATATAAATGGCGCGTTCTGATTTTAAAAAAGATATGTGTCAAAATGTCAAATCAAACGTCAAATCAGTTGTCAAAAGCTAAGAACAAGTAATTAGACAGAAGGAACGGTAAAATAAAAACTTAATAAGAGAGGAGGCAACCGTGTACGTTACAGTTTTTATTTTATCATTCCTTCTGTGTAATTCTTTGTTCTTAGACAAAAAGTTGACCGGTTTTTACACTCGATGCTCTATCCATATAGCTTAAGGTTTTACATTTTTATGAAGGCAAATAATAAATCGTTATATATGTTTTGTATTTAATAAGTTCGTGTATAAACCTATCCTAATCCTAAATAAATAACTAGCATTAAAATTTATCATAAAAATAAACAAAATGTCCCACTGTTGGACAAATGTAAGTGTGAAATTGAATATTTTTTCCCAAAGAAACATGGCAAGAACGATACAATTTTTAACTATCCTTGCTACTACCAGAGGGAGACTTTGTACAAAAGTCGATTGCTTGGATACCTCTGTCCCATTCGTGTTTCTACCGTGAAGCAGTTGTGTTTGCATGGCTGTGTTTCGGTTTGAAGGGTGGGATATGGCGTGAATTTATTGGGTACAGAGGAATAGCACCTGAGTCCTCAGGAATAGCAACGCATGGGGGGTATCATGGGCGAAACAGTATACTCTGTTATGTCCATGGTACTGCTCATGTCAATAGGCGACGGTTACCATTTTCCATCAGGTGGGCCGTCAGCTTGTTTGCCATTCTAAGTTGTATAAAAAAAAATACTTGACGTGTAGGTCCCGACATAGCGATTAAGGGAAATTAATGACCGAGGTATAGGTAGCAGCGTCCCTCTGAAGACATCACTAGTCAAACGTGGCAATTGCTAGCAAAATCTCCGTAAAGTGGTAAACTGTCATAAGGGACGGCCCCCTTCTTTATTATGACAGTCTACGTTCAGCAGTGGCTACAATATACCACAACGTTAGCAAACGCCAGATATTTACGCCATCTGTTGGTTGCTAACTCAACTAGTAGTCGTCGGTAAATAATTTAATAACGACTAGGAAAGTAGCGACATCGAGCGGGCATATGAACAACTAAGAATAAAATCGCTGAATAAGCCGCGTTGGGGCTTTCCACTTTTTTGTTTAACCGTTTGAGTGACTACGAATGCCGTTGCGCTCGTGAAATCAGTCGCTGTTTAGTTCGCTGTAGAAAAATTATGAAAATTGGATCATTTTCGGAGGAGATACGGTTTCGGTTAGAGACAATGGTAAATGACATCAACACGACAAAGATTTCTTTGGCATTTTTAAGTAGATAGTAAAAATGAATGGCACCAAAACGGTTAAGACATTCTATCTGTACTAGTACAGTATTATATTATCTGTGACAGTGGTGAGATAAGGGCTGAAGTGGTGATGATGATGATGAACTTCCGCAAGACAACCAAGCGGTTCAGTAAAAATATATTGGAATAACTTTGTTTATTTTTATGATTTACAAATGTTATACATATATGGTATGTATTTATCAAACGCCCACAGTATTGCTATATCTCTTACAAACTAGTTATCCAAGACTAATCTACGTTTCTACTTATTACAAATTGTGAGCTGTTTTGATAAATCGTTGGGATCGAACACTGTGTGTATTTACACCGTAGTGTGGCAACTTCCCAGTTACCTGTCCATTTTCGAAAAAACAATTTAACAATTATCAATTTATTTTCTTTTATATTTTATTGTACACATTGATAAATACATAAAAAAATATGACAGAGGTGAGCAAACGTACAAAGGCGAGCTTAACTCTGCAAGAGTTCTCCGCCATCAACACCCAAAGTGGAAAGGAGCGTCAATGTCAGCGGATACAGCGGTGCACAATATTGGAACAATTCTTAAACAAGAAAAACTACACAATTGTTTCTGACTAATTATTCAAAAATAGGTAGATAACTGAAACGTTAATCATAGACTAAAAATTATAATTTAAAATTGTACAACTGTTTTTCAAAAACAATTTCGATATTAACACACTACGACGTAAACACTCTTATCATATTACTCGACTGCGTTATATAAATGTTCTAATGTGTTATACAAGTTCCGCTAATTAGACCTTACGTACAATATGCCGATGGATTAGTTTCAAATAAACCCTATCGCTTGCATGAGTGACATTTGTCATTATGACAAATTTAACTTTAAATTTGTGGGGGAGAAGGGATTGTTAGTAATGCAGACTACCAGTTCCATTGCTAGCAATATACCCAACCAGTTTGACCTCCTCGCGGTTCCCCCTGAAAACTATCATGGTTAATTCCTAATGAATTCATCATGATGGGCTAACTGGCCTGTTTTCATTCTCATCTATCACCCTTCACTGGTGCTCCGCCAGCGTATCCCGTTAGCGCAGGCAAAGTTACCATACCATTTTCACCCATAAAGAAAAAATATTAGGACCATTTCGAAAAAATGTAGTTTCATTTAATAAAATACTAGCTTTTATTCGCGACTTTGTCCGCATGACCGCGATAAAAGGTAGCCTATATCCTTTTCTCCATCCCCATATAGTACGTGTATACCAAAATTTCATAGCGGTCGCTTAACTGTAAAGATGCCAAGAGGTAACAAACAAACAAACAAACTCATTTTCACATTTATAATATCATCATCATCGTATCAGCCTTTAATTGTCCACTACTGGACACAAGCCTCCCCTTTAGGGAGTCACTAGTTGCTACGCTTGTCAGGCGGATTGGCAACCACAGTTAGACTCTGGAGATGTTTTAACCCTTCTTTGCATAATGGTGGAAATTTCCATCATAACATTGAATGTCCAAAATTATATAAAAGAACAAGTTCATTTTAAGTTGATCTTGTCTGGACACCTTTTTAATTTCCATTGCAGAAAAAAAAAACCATAGCTGTCAAATTTATTTTTTCAACCATTTTTCCTTTAATTTTGAACACGAATTATATCACCTCGATTTAATTCACCAATGTAATGCAAAGAAGGGTTAAGAGGGACGCTGCTGTCCATCCCTGGCGCTGCCTTAGTTGCCTCTTACGACACCCACGGGAAAGGAAGGGGCGGCGTATTCTATGACGGGACCATGCAGCTAAATTATAACATTAGTAAGCATAATAATAATAAACTTCGATCGTGTAATTTTCAAATCAATTGATGTTCACCACGATTCCATTAGTCTGCGCTGATCTTAGCAGCTTCAGGCACCTTCTGCGATTTGCTACAACGCTCTGCGCTTCTTCTAGAACGTTCCCAATACTGAGATTACAATTCGTGAAGTTTAAAGCGATATTTGTCAATATGACAAATGTCACTCACGCGTGCTAGATTTAAACAATTTATTTATAAAAAAGAGAAAAATGGCTAGAAATCTAGCTGCCATCTTGAAATCACATGTTTGAAGTTGCCTCATTCGTTTTCTTAACTTAACCAAACGTGATACCAGTATTTTTCCATAATTCCTTGCTTTAGTTAATTTTAACTGTTTAATACCTACAGTATTATTGTACCATACGTGGGTTAACTATAAAAATTTGGCTGTCTTATTACGTAGAAATTTTCGTTACTCCTTAACCGACTTGCACTAAAGTGAGTTGCAATGTTGACCGTACACTTTTTATGGTTTACAACCTTTTTACCAGCTAGTTCGCACCGCGTGGATTTCAGAAGTTGGAAATACAATGAAATAGATCACTTATAGATGATGTGTTAAGATCAAATCAGTTTTTAAGTTACACCTTTAGAAATACAACTATAATAACCGCATCCGACTTGGTGCAGTAATTTTTGTGTGATGTTGGAACAAACAGACAGATAGATAGACGAAATTTCTAAAAACGATTGTATTAAAAAAGAATGAAAGATTACTAATCATGAAACATACATTCCCATATAAAAATAAGAGCTAAAAAGATCCGCGTGCGAAACCGCAGGAAACAGTTTATTTCTTTATAGAGCATTTTCAAAATTGCAACCCACTTTCATTAATAACTCACTATAATTATTAATATTCATAACAGTATAAAAATGCATGCAAAATAATACAATTTTGGCCGATTAGGCCCGTTCCAGATCGAACGAAGCGCAGCCAGTGATTAATATGTCAAATAAAAATTTACATATTTAGGGCCTACTGAAAATCAATGGCGTAGCTTCAGATATGAAACTGCGACACATGCTGAGTTAAATCTGTTCAGTAAACAGCAAAATTAGTTCACTATTGACCACATAGATGGCGTTAGGTGAATATTGCATCGCGATATATATTCTAATGTTCCATTACAATATAGTGATTTGTTTTTTTGTATTAAAATGATTAATAAAGCTCAAAAATACTCGGTGCAGTTTAATAGTGTAGTGAACAAGGTCCTTTGCACAAATACTGCTACATTCATTTTGTTTTTTTAATATATTTTTCTTCTTTTATTCTAATTTCAAAATAAAGTAATAACGTTATTATATAATTGTGTAATCTTAATTTCTCTGTTGTTTTTGTCATATGTAGCATGTATAATTTACATTATTTTCTTAAAAAGACATTGTATCTAATAAATTATTTAAATGAAAAGTTTGTTCAGTGTAATGTGTAAATAAATAAATAAAATTTAAAGATATCATTTAGATGTGTTACGTTGTGTTGTAACTTTTCATGATAAACAGTTTTTATATATATATTTTTTTTAAGTCATTCAATACACTACTAGCTGTATACCAGCGCTGTGCAGCTGTACACACTGCACTGGGACACCCGCAGCATCAGCTGAGCCAGTTCCTTTTGCCTGATAAGAGACACTTCTTATATTTAAAAACATTACTGTATTTTCTGTTGTAACTATGTAACTTTCTGCCAATATTTTTTTTTTTTTATTTTGTTTTATTGATTATTATCCGCACTTCGCTCAATATGAAATGGGCCTTATATATATATATATATATTAATACTAATAAATGAGCTATAAATTTAAGAAATTACAATCACAATACAATTTTGTTGTGAGCTTCCGAATTTACTTTAAATATAAATAAATACGACGTTTCCGAAGCTCGCCTTATTGCCTGAAACGAAAAAAAAAGAATTATTAATTAATAGAATTAATTTAAACTGAATTATAAATAAATTAAATTAACTTGAACTGTAGAGAAATTTATGAAATTTAGTTGAATTAGTTATTAATGAAATAATTGAATTATAAATAATTAATTAATTTTATTGGAATTATAAAACATTTAATTAATTTTAAAGTAGAAAATCAGGAAAAAGTGGGCACGTTTGCCCCAGTACAGTTTATAAAGTGGGCACGTTTCCCCAAGTATACTGTATAAAGCGGGCATGTTTGTCCCAGTACACTGTATAAAGCGGGCATGTTTGCCCCAGCACACTGTATAAAGCGGGCACGTTTGCCCCTATACAATGTAAAGACTCGTTTACTCTCCATGGATATATTAAAAACAATATATATTCAATATATATTTTTTGGATCTAGGTTTTCTAAACAGGCAATTGTGTCTGCCACTGCCGTGGTGACAGGCCCACCTTAAACACTCTCAGCCGGGCTCTGGAACTCGGCGAGCGCGTGCACGGGGCTCGGCTGCTTCTTCTGGCTGCCGCGGCGGACCTTCGCGCGGACCTCCTCGGGCTTCTCCGGCCGGATGAGCGGCTTCTTCTCCGGCGCCTTCATCCGCCACACCACGATCGGTGACTGCGAATGTTGAACGTGTTCATATATATTTATGTATGTATATAATTATTAACTAATGTTATAAAAAGGGGAGGTTTCAATTTGTTGTATGTTTGTTTGTAATAAATAAACGCGAAAACCGTACGACCTATTTAAAATATCTTCCACTTAAAAAAATTTGCTATGTAACATACATTAACATAGGCTTATTTAGAAATTTTTATATATTACATATTTTGGAAAATTTTAACTACTCGTGCGGTTCCGGGCCGGATCTCTTGTATGGAAATAATATATTATTAAATCATCCGGTAACTCTCCACTGCTGAACATAGGCACCCTATTGGGTGGTCTAGCCAGTAGTTGCCACGCTTGGCAAGCGGGTTGACAACCGCAGTTAGTGTTTAGTGATGTTTTAAGAGGGACGCGACGGCCCATTCTACGACCATTCAGTAACGATATAAGCATAGATTTATTTATCAATTTATTTTAGGCAACTAGTCCTAAAGCAACAATAATTTGTAACAAGTATTATTGTACTTTTTACTAATAAATGTTATGATATTTGTAAACCTTTTACGATTAAATGGCTGAAAACATTTGAATGAAAACTAGTACACGAGTATGTCTTTGCGAAGCTACATTCAGATCCTGCGCTAAGCAAACCCCCTCCCTCTTTCCTCCTTTAATACACAGGCTTCATAGTATCCCGATCAAACTAATCGCCGTCACGTGGACGAAGTCGCGAGTAAAGACTAGCATAAATATAAAAATATATCTTATCAGCCAATGAAATTAATATATATATATAAGTTTTGAGATATAAACAAAATATAAATATAAAGAGACAAACTGTCTCATGCAACAATTTTCTTAATAAAAAAAAAAGATAAAAACGCATGCCGCTTGCTTAGCGCGTCCAAGATCAAGACATCAAGCATGTAATTAATTTAATTAATTTTCACTAAATTAATAATTTATTTCAACTAAATTAATTTTAATGAACAAATAATTAGTGTTTCAAGCAATCTTTTTTAATTAAATTAAAAATAAATAAACTAATATAATTAAATACTAATTAAGCACATTTAAAATAAAGGTTTTGTCACTACAAATATATAAAACCTTTGTTTGCTGTCTGTCCACGCTCCGTAATCTATGTTACACGACAGTTAACGAGCCTCTCGCGCCATTGATCGATGTATGGCGTAAGATGTATTTATATTTTTTATATGTAACATCTTGTATATAATTTTTCAGGGGAATAATAAATGAAAAGATCATCATCGTCATCATATGAGCATCTAACGTCCACTGCTGAACATAAGCCTTCTCCTTGGGAATGTTGCCAGTAGTTGCCACGCTTGGCAGGCGGATTGGCAGCCGCAGTTAGGCTTTAGAGATCTGTTAAGAGAGACACTGCTGTCCATCCCTTCCCCTCCCTTACTAGCCTCTTACGACACCCACGGGAAAGGAAGCGTTGGCCTATTCTATACCGAAACCATACGGCTAATTAATTAATAAATAAAAAGCAATAATTACAATAATAAAACAATGACAATTTAAAAGCGCTTGTAAACAAGTATAATGAATATATATTATTTCTATTACACACACACACACACACACACACACACACACACACACACACACAAACGCACGCACGTACGCACGCACGCACGCACGCACACACACCCACGCACGCATATATATATATATATATATATATATATATATATATATATATATATATATATATATATAGCTATAAATACATAAGGCCAAATATGACATATACTTACATAGTTCTGTCCAGCCAGCGTCATTTAGCATCGATGCAATATGATTATGAATCTCGTTTCATATTTTATAATAACATATTATTCAGATAGGTAAATTCTGTATTTTTTTAAATTAACTATTACATCAACAAACGGCTCTGACTATCCAATTAGGGATTATAGTCGTGAGAGTATGTTATTTCTATTTCTGTACTAGGATCTTAGATCAATTACATCTAGATAGAGCACCATCCAAGCTTGCGCCATTTTCGCGGGCTCTGAGAGCTGCCGTTCGAAGTACGAGCCGAGACAGCGACGTAAGCACCCTGAAGACTTCCAGGTGAAGTCGAAATAATTAATATATAGCAATACCACAGGGAGACTTTGTACAAATGTCGATTGCTTGGGTATCTCTGTCCCATTCGTGTTTCAACCGTGAAGCAGTTGTGTTTGCATGGCTGTGTTTCGGTTTGAAGGGTGCGATATGGCGTGAATTTACTGAGTACGGAGGAATAACACCCGAGTCCTCAGGAATGGCAACGCATGGGGGGTATCAGGGGTGAAACAGTATACTCTGTTATGTCCACGGTACTGCTCATGTCTATAGGCGACGGTTACCACTTTCCATCAGGTGGGCCGTCAGCTTGTTTGCCATTCTAAGTTGAATAAAAAAAAATCTATATATATTTTAGTTACAATATCTATGTATTGATCCATATGTTAAAACACGAATGGGACAGAGGTACCCAAGCAATCGACTTTTGTACAAAGTCTCCCTCTGGTACACATGCCTAGTAAATAATCTCAAAAAGAAAACTGATTAATACAGAAAAAGCATGCTTTGGAAAAGAATTAAAAGCGAATTCGCAGGTCCGATTGTTCAATTTTGTTTTAAAAACGTTAATAATTAAAAAAAAATTAAAGAGGGCTGCTGTCCATCCCTCGACCGTAAAGTTCTCTTAGTCGTCTCTTATGACGGTCACGGGAAAGGAAAGGGTGACCCATTCCATACCGGGATATCAAAGCAAGTTACAAGCAAATCCATATTATACTTTCAGAACGTTGTATGAAAAAACGACGCGTCAGCTAAACGTTTTTCGACATTTGACTCCATCTAGACGTATATGATCTAGCTTATGATTTTTTTTATAGGAACTGTAAAAATTAAAAAATATGACATACAGACTTTACCCAATTTCATATTAATACTTATAAATACTTTGGTATAATTATTAAAGCTCTCAGCACTTAAAGCTTTTGACTCATATCTCCATGCATATTTATATTGAAAGCGCAATAGTACAGTTCAGATAAAGCTGGACCGATTTTGATTGAACCAATCTCACTTTAAGGCGTAATAATACAATAAATAACCAAGCACACTATTCATGGAAATGGTCGATTTTCCTTTGGGAAATAATCTGAGAATATGTTTATGTACAATGTACGCATGTCGAGTGTTACGTTCAACACGATGGCAACAGTCGACAGATGGCTCTGACTATCCCATCGGGGATTATAATTGTAAGCAATAAGGGTTGGTCCTTCGAGCCGCATTGGATACAAGCAAAAAGGTTCATCGAGCTGTACTAAATATATGAAATTGGTCGTTCGAGCTGGACTAGAAAAATTAAGTTAGTCCTTCGAGTCAGACTGGATAAGATGGCAGCTCACTATGCTTAAAATTAAAGTAGTGTATTATAAACCTTTTTTGTCATTAAATTTCAACCTTAACGCTATAAATATAAAGTCGAAAAATATAAACAACAGTTTACATAATCATAGTCAATAAAGAATTAAAAAATTTAATATGTTAATGCCTTAGCCAACTTTTTTCTCATACTCCAATCGGAATATAAGCGCTCGAACGGATATTGGTCCTACGAGCCGGACTGGACATGTGAATTTTGATTCTTCGAACCGGATTAGATATATGGTACTGGTCCTTCGAGCCGGACTGGGACTGATATATTGGATAATGTAAGACAGTAGATACTTACAGCGATGGTGCCCTGCCTCGTGTACTTGGTGGAGGCGACGTAAGACGCTTTGACGGTGAGGACCACCGCATTCATGAGGTTCTTGGCGGCCTGTATGAGTGACGTCGCGCTGTCCAGCTGAAATGCAGAGATGCGAGTGTTGTTATTGTAACGGTTAGCAATTGTGAGCGAACAAAGTAATTGGCAGGAAATATAATACTAATTTAACTAATAAAATAATAAAGAATGCACTATTTTTAATTAAATGGTGATTTTATAACCGTAGTATAAATTGTATCAAATTTAATTAGTATAAATTGTATCAAATTTAATAATAATTAAAAAAAAATTAAAATGTAAGACTATAATTTTATCAAAATTTTGTATTTTATATATATAAAAAAAAAATAACCAACATAAATACATCCAAATGTAACACAACGATCAGCAAGTCTGTTTGATGCCAATAGCGTTATCATCTGTTATAAAAAAAAAGTACGCGACTAGTCTAAAAGACCAATCGCAGCGACAAATCGCTTATATTGAACGCTACGAATTCGCTGGAATAGTAATTATGAAATATTATAACATAGCTGTAACGACTAATCGCAGTGATTCATCGCATAACCACATCTCGCTAAAGATGAGCTAACATGATAATATATCTAGCTAGTCATAACGACTAATCGCAGCGACTAGTCGCAGCAACTAATCGCAGGTAGCCATTTTACTGACGATTAGCTCACCAGAATAATGATTATGAAAAAATGATAACATATCCCGTTAGTCATTACGACTAATCGCAGCGACTAGTCGCAGCAACTAATCGCAGTTACCCATCTCACTGACTATTAACTCACCGGAATAATGATTATGAAAGATTCAAAATACATCCAATTAGTCGTATCGACTAATCGCAGATACTCACCCCGCTGACAATAAGCTCTCCGGATATGTTCTGCACGTCCGCCTTCACCTTGCTTGTGATTTGTATCTGATGGCAGTAGAGAGCGATGCGCTGCAGGTATGCAAGCAGGTCCTGCTTGGTGGACGACTCCGGGCACTAGGAGGGCAGAGGAGAGAGGTTAAAGCAAACCAAAAAAATTAAGGCCAATGTAAGACACAACCAGTGGTCCAGCGTCTTTGGCGAAGGCTATGGGTTTGTTAGTAATGGGATCTAACAATACCATTGTTATCAAAGGTCTATATCCACGGTATTTCTCGTAGAAACCATCATGATTAATTGCTGTGGAATTAGTCACGATGTACCAATCGTTCTGCTTTCATCCTCACCTATGGCGGGGCACCACACTGGTGCCCCGCCAGCGTATACCGATAGCGCAGGCGGGGTTACCATTCCTTCACACATCAAAAGGATAATTTCATAAGATGTGAATTTACAGGGTACAGAGGAATAACACCTGAGTCTTCAGGAATGGCAACGCATGGAGGGTATCATGGACGAAACAGTATACTCTGTTATGTCCATGGTACTGCTCATGTCTATAGGCGACGGTTACCACTGTCCATCAGGTGGGCGGTCAGCTTGTTTGCCATTCTAAGTTGTATAAAAAAAAGTTGGTGCGGGAGGGGGGGGGGGGATAGTATACCTGTTCAGCAATTTCTCGAGTTAACTTGTCCAGTTTAGTGCCTGCCTCGGATATCTTCTTGGCCGCGTTGATGACATCCATTGTAGTTTTCAATGGGCCGCGCCCCCTGCAAATACCATAAGGAAGGTTATTAGTAAATGATAATGGTGATGAAATAGTGATGATGATGAAATTAGATCAGTTAACACACTGTAACAAATTAATCAAGAATTAACCACTAATTTCCAGGATGAGGCGCGGGGAGGTTGACTTGTGACAAGTGAACCTCCCTGCAATAGCGCAGGCGGAGGTGCTGTTCCATTATCATTCCATCATTTCATTTCATTTAAAACAAAAACACGGTGGTTTCCAGAGGGGACCGCGTGAGGATGTGGAAGGCCGGAGGCGAGGGGATAAGAACTGTTTGTACAGGCACTAGTGCACAGCCATATATCCTGACTCGCAGTAAGGCCTCTAGTGCCTGTTTAGGACTTTAGGGAATGTACCCTATGGAAATTTCTGACGAATTCAAGAAAATACAGTATGATTCCTCTTGGAGTGAACCCTGTCATCTTTCAAGCATGAGCATGCATGTGTTTGAGAAAAAGATGATAGTAACTCTTCATCTCATTACAGAGTCTGTAATCAATTCCCTTTCCGTCACCCACCACTGGATGGATCACCAGTGCAGCAACTGACCTGGTGAAGTCCGTCATCTCGAGCATGATCATGCACATGTGCTTGGCGAGCATGATGATATCATTGCCGGCGTCGTCCCACTTGGCCACCTCGTTGTCGAAGGTCATCTTCTCGCGTCGGAACAGCTCCACCTGCTGCAGGATCTTGCGCTTGTCCTCCTCGGTCATTTTCCGCATGGCCTCCTGTCATTTTATACGAGCAAATAATTGTATTAGGTTAGCTGGAAGAGATCTCTTTCAGTGACAAGCCCACTCTTGCTAATAAGTTGTTAAACTAATCGCTGTATCCTTGTTTTCAAGTGACTTCAAAAAAGGAGAAGTCTCGATTCGGTTGTATGTTTTTTTTAACAGAAAGGATACATTCCTAGATTGGTTCCACAGGAATTTCATCAAAATTGGTCTCGTAGTTTAGTTTTTAAATCAAATTAATGGATTTTGTAACAATTGAAGCCATTTTGTTTTTGTGGATTACAATCTTAAATTAACAAAGTCTTTATTTGCTCTAATTTTTCTCTGCTATTCTCTGGTGATGGGAAACATTGATAATATACCAAAGAAACCCATTACCACAAGTCTAATATCCGACCGATGGCTGAATGAAACTTGATTTAAATTAAAGATGGGTTACAATACAATGCATCCGGATTGCCTGTGTTCCTAACCGCAACCTAAGATTGCCAGGTGAAAATAGCAGCATGATCGGATCCGTCACCTTCGAGGATGATGAACTAGGCTGTAGTGCACTTACCCTAGCGTTCGTGATGCCACTGATATCTGGATACTCATCCACACCATGTTCGCCGGTGTGAGCGCTCGCTGTATAAGAAATAATATATCCTATTATTATTTATACTAATAACATAAATAGGATAGATGTCTGTGTCAGAATATATAATACATTAAATTATGATTTAAACTAATATAATAAAGAGGATAGATGTCTGTGTCAGAACATATAATATATTCAATTATTATTTAAACTAAACTCATAAATAGGATAGATGTCTGTGTCAGAACATATAATATCTTTAATTATTATTTAAACTAAACTCATAAATAGGATAGATGTCTGTGTCAGAATATATAATACATTAAATTATGATTTAAACTAATATAATAAAGAGGATAGATGTCTGTGTCAGAACATATAATATATTCAATTATTATTTAAACTAAACTCATAAATAGGATAGATGTCTGTGTCAGAACATATAATATCTTTAATTATTATTTAAACTAAACTCATAAATAGGATAGATGTCTGTGTCAGAATATATAATACATTAAATTATGATTTAAACTAATATAATAAAGAGGATAGATATCTGTGTCAGAACATATAATATATTCAATTATTATTTAAACTAAACTCATAAATAGGATAGATGTCTGTGTCAGAACATATAATATATTTAATTATTATTTAAACTAAACTCATAAATAGGATAGATGTCTGTGTCAGAATATATAATACATTAAATTATTAATTAAACTAATATAATAAAGAGGATAGATGTCTGTGTCAGAACATATAATATATTCAATTATTATTTAAACTAAACTCATAAATAGGATAGATTTGATTTTACTTTGCAAAAGACGTATACAAAGAAATTATCAACCGATTTTAAAAATTCTTTTACCTACAAAAAGCTACATTGTCAAACTATATATATATATATATATATATATATAAATCAAATTCATCATGACCCAAAAAGGGTTACTATACTACACTCTACACTCATTGACGGTAGGTAAATATATCCAAACTTAATATATAACATACTTTATATACTGATGTATACGATCAAAACCGCGGAAAGAGCTAGTAAGTAATTTAAAAAAAAATTATAAGTTATAATAAATTAGTTATATAAGTTACAATCAATGAGTTTTAAGTTACAATAAATTAGTTCTAAGTTACAAAAAATAATTTCTAAGTTACAATAAATGAGATCTAAGTTAAAATAAAATAGCTATAAATGCGATTAAAGCAAACTTGGTCCAGACAAGTCCGAACGCCTACTCACATCGACTCCTCGTCTCCATGGTCATATCCTCGACCGGTTCGAACTCCGTGTCGGTGTCGAGGTCGTCGCTGGTCTATTCGTTATACGACGACACATGCAATACATACACACACATACACATTTAGCATGCAACACGTAACATAACGTAGCAACAAAAGAAAATATGATTAACACAATAGGATGGTTAGCCCCTTACCTATTTATAATATATAATTTTTCTCTTACAATACGAAGTTGGCAAACAAGCATATAGCCCTTCTGCAGACATATTTAAATTGACTTCAAAATGAAGTTTTTTAATTCCTTTTTCTTTTTGGTATATGTATCATTGTCTATTGACGAATTTTTTTAATGATTTCTCTTTTGACTTTAAACAACTTCTATTTTTTTTATACAACTTAGAATGGCAAACAAGCCGACGGCCCACCTGATGGATAGTGGTAACCGTCACCTATACGCATGAGCTGTACCATGGATAAAACAGAGTATACTGTTTCGCCCACGATACCCCCCATGCGTTGCCATTCCTGAGGATTCAGGTGTTAATCCTCTGTACCCTGTAAATTCACGCCATATCCCACCCTTCAAACCGAAACACAGCCATGCAAACACAACTGCTTCACGGTAGAAACACGAATGGGACAGAGGTGCCCGAGCAATCGACTTTTGTACAAAGTCTCCCTCTGGTAAAACGCTGCTATCTTGACCAAATTCGTATCGAAGCCAACATAGAAGTATTTTTATAGAAAATGAATCACCAAAAACGGCACACAACTGGCGAAAACATCGCGATGCATATACAAAAAGATATTAATAAAAAAAATTTTGAAATAGTACTAACAAACAGATGGGCTGCTTGTTTATTTGCCACCTTTGTGGTATAAAAAAAAAGGTAGCAAGAAAACTAAATTATAATGATTTAATCAATAGATTCTTTTAACGTTTCCAAGTAAGGGGGTAAATGATTGAATGGGGGTCATGCAACTGTATCAGTGAACGATTAATGAATGGAGATCGCAGTTACCCCCGTGTGGTCATAATTACCCCAATGTATTGTAATGTAATGTTTTGTTCAAATGAGAACACGACAAGCCGATTTGGAATATTAATTTGTTTATTTATTTATATATTTTCGTACATTCACTTACAGTATGGATATTTGGTTATAAAAAAAATGTACACAGGCGGACTTATTCCTTGAAGGGATTTCTTTTCTTTATTTATGAATATATATATTTTTTTTTATTATTAATTAGGTGTAGGTAAGTATGTTTATGTATGTAAATATGTGTGTGAGTGCGTGTGCGTGTGTGTGTGCGCGTGCGCGTGCGCGTGTGCGTGTGCGTGTGCGTGAGTGAGTGAGTGAGTGTGTGTGTGCGCGCGCGCGCGCGTGTGTGTGTGTGTGTGTGTGTGTGTGTGTGTGTGTGTGTGTGTGTGTGTGTGTGTGTGTGTGTGTGTGTGTGTGTGTGTGTGTGTGTGAGTGTGTGTGTGCGCGTGTGTGTGTGTGTGTGTGTGTGTGTGGGTGTGTGAGAGCGCGTGCGCGTGTGTGTTTGTGTGTGTGTTCACTTATATAATTGTGCATTGAAATTTAAATAAATAATTAAGTTCACCTTTGCTTACATTGGTTTCTAATTGTTATTATTCTTGTATATTTTAGTGCAATAAAGAATATTTACAATATTAGTAAGTATGAATAATATTGGTAGAATTGGCGTAGATGTAGGTGTCCTCAACGGGAAATCTCAAATTTAAAATCGGCTTATAGTGTTCCATGCATTTGTATCACAATTACTAACTCTACCATACTAGATGTCTGCATAACATTTCTAACACGCAAATGATAATGATACCCCATTAATTTTTTATGTACGTAAAAAAAACAGCCATAACAAACACCATATCTCTCGGCAAGTATATTAGTATAGAGCTTGTGAAAGAGATTTTAATGAATTATACATTTTAATGGACGTATACACTTTTATATTGAATCTTTCCGATACTATTAGGAATAGAAGACACTTATAAGGCTAGCCTGGTGGTAACACCAGAGTAAAGACGCCTTTTTAGTGAGAAGTGACAAATAATTCTGCCGATAGATACATTTACGTTAGTACACGCACGAGGAAGAATAAGACACCGATTGCCGCTGTCTCGTTCTATCTCGTGCATTATTTAATTTATGCTATTTAGAATGTCAAACAAGCAGACGCTCCACTTGATCATCAAAAAAATCTATCTCTTATACTGTCTATCTCTGTCGCAAGCTCTACTTTCGAGAGAGACAGCACCATCAACAAGGAATTAACACGACACATTCCAGCCATTCCCAATTTATCCCCCTCACATTTGCTACGTGTCTCCAGGGTGTAGTGCTCGTCGAGCTCCACATCCTCCGGATCTAGGTCCTCTTCGTCCTATCACCATCACATTAGACAACAATAAGTGCCAATACGGAGCGAGTGAGGAATTATTTTTTTAAGGATCCACATATGAACTTTATAATTCCGTGCTTAATATATTATATTTTTTTTTTTAATTTTATTTATTTTCTCCACAAATTTTACAGAAAAATACAGTTACATGAAAAAAATACAACTATATGTGTATGCATAGTTACGGTGGTCTGTAAAACTTGTGGGAGACCGGACCCTAGACTAGATCAGAGATCTGTATCTCAGGAAATAAAATAATCTCATATTAAAGCTAACACAGTCTACGGCACGAGTGGATGTTTAGTTTCACGCACACGCTTCAGACTTCATCTTCATCCGGTACTATCATCACCTCAGGCACTATCCGTCCACTGCTGGACATGAGCCTCCCCCATAGCCCGCCATAAAGAACGGTCCTGAGCCACCTGCATCCACTGACTGCCTGCAATGCATTTGAGGTCGTCACCCCACCCAAAGAGGTGTCATCCTAAACTGCGTTTGCGTACGGGCTCGCCAGTAAAGAACCCTTCGTAGTCTTCAAGCTATATGATTAGCCTATTGCCACTTCTACTAGGACGCAATTCATCTCATACTAGGACTGAAATCGCCACGCAAGTACCTTTCTTCCTCATCTGTAGTCTTCGAGCTATGTGACCAGCCTTTTACCATTTCAGCTTGCCTATCCTAATATACGGACATACTGGAGGGAAAGGGATTGTTAGTAATAGGGTCTAATTGCCCGTATCGTAAATCGTAAATTCAAAATTCAGAAACGACAAAAAAGCTACTTTTTCAGAGGAAATCCTTAGTTTCATCGGTGGTACACTTCAAAACTGTGCTAGCGGTTCCGATATCACCCCATATCATTTCTCACCTCACCTTGTATCACGAAAACTCACCCTGTTCATCAAAACAGCCCTCCGGATCTCCCTGACCGCGTCGTACACGAGCCGCGACGCGTCGATGAAGTCGTTTTCATCGAGGCCTGCGCCCGCGCCGCCGCCCAACGCGGACACCGCCGCGTCCACGCGAACCGCGAACTTTGACATTACTGTAACAAAAAAAAATATATATATATATATATATACTGACATAGGTTATCTGTAAGCGATATGACCGCCTTTTTTACCTTTATATGTATATTTGAATCTGTACTTTATAAGTACTGTATTTCACTATTTTTTTTATACAACTTAGAATGGCAAACAAGCTGACGGCCCACCTGATGGAAAGTGGTAACCGTCACTTATAGACATGAGCAATACAATGCACATAACAGAGTATACTTTATATGTATCACATCTCCCATATTTAGAACTAACAAAATTTTTCATCGTGCCTCCCACCAAACTGTTTTTAATTATTCCTCTTCATCCAAAGGTAGCCTGGAAGAGATCGCTCTTAGCGATAAGGTCGCCCATTGTTTTCTCATTGTGATTATTTCTTGTAATTATTTATATTTATAATAAGTTTACTACTGTAATCTTTTGGAGGAAACAATAAAGAGTATCTATCTATCTATACTGTTTCCCCAATGATACCCCCCATGCGTCCTGAGGACTCAGGTGTTATTCCTCTGTACCGTGTAAATATTGTTTACATGTCATTGTATATTTTTATGTGCAATAAAGAGTTAAATATATAAATAAATATACTGATTCGGAGGTAAGAGATCATTAATATTGGGTCTAACTGTCCCATTGCTGGTAATGTAGGGTACATTACGCACTTACAATTATCGCATGAAATGAAAAAAATTATGTTACTTCTTTAATGTATTGGCAATTTTTTTTGTAGATGTATATGTATATATATCATCATTTCAGCCATTATCCGTCCACTGCTGGGCATAAGCCTTCCCCATAGACTGCCATAAACAACCGTCGCCCACAGACACGAGCAGTACCATGGACATAACAGAGTATATTGTTTCACCCACGATACCCCCCATGCGTTGCCATTCCTGAGTACTCAGGTGCTATTCCTCTGTACCCTGTAAATTCACTGCCATATCCCACCCTTCAAACCGAAACACAGCCTTGCAAACACAACTGCTTCACGGTTGAAACACGAATGGTACATAGGTGCACAAGCAAACGACTTTTGTACAAAGTCTGCCTCTGGTCTCTACCTGTTCAGAAGAGGCCGCAAGAAACTCAACAGTTTCTCTTTAAAATCTCTATTACCATCAGGTATAGCGTTAGCTTGCTGCCATTCTAAATCGCATAAAGTAACGTAACATAATTAAATCGATTGATACATTAAAAAAAATATTAAACACGTTTAAAATGGTATCGATTATATTAATTGCCGTTTCCGATTATTATTTTATTAATGAAATTACAAAGAAACCAATTAATATAACAAAGTAATACTATATTCCGAGGGCATCGATAATGGGTGCATAATTTTCAAAGATAGTGACGAAAGGGATTGTTAGTAATGGAGTTTGACAGCCCTATTGCTAGCAATATGCCCTATTTTTTTTTAATGGCTGATAATGGAATGATGACCCCACCCGCGCTATCGGTATACACCGGCGGGGCACCAGTGAAGGATGATAGGTGAGGATGAAGTAGGTCAGTTGGCCCATCGTGACGAATTCAACAAGAATTGTACACGATGGTTTCCAGGGGGACCACGTGGAGGTCGACCTAATAGGGCATATTGCTAGCAATGGGGCTGTCAAACTCCGTTGCTGCTAACAATCCCTTTCCCCCCAATATGCCCTATTAGGTCGACCTCCACGTGGTCCCCCCTGGAAACCATCGTGTACAATTCTTGTTGAATTCGTCACGATGGGCCAACTGACCTGCTTCATCCTCACCTATCATGCTTCACTGGTGCCCCGCCAGCGTATCCTGATAGCGCAGGCGGGGTTACCATTCCATTATCACCCATTAAAAAAAAAATTTAAAGATCAACGACCTGCTGGCCCGTGGTACTGCCGTCAGTTTGTAATTAACTGTACCAGACAGTCAAATTAATAGGTTACCCACTGACATGAAAATCACTGAGTACTGCGGATTACCAGTCGCACTGCTAGCAATATACCCGGTCAGATCGACCTCCACATGGTCCCCCCTGGAAACCATCGTGCTAAATTCCAGTTGTATCCGTCATGATGGACTAACTGACTTGCTATTTCATTTTCACCTATCACCCCTCACTGGTGCCCCGCCAGTGTACACCGATATCGCAGGCGTGGTTACCATACCATTATCATGCATTTAAATTACACGTAAACTATCTGAATGTGCAATATAAAATACTGGGGGAAAGGGATTGTTAGTAATGGAGGTTGAGAATCCCATTGCTAGCAATATATCCAACCAGGTCGACCTCCTCGTCGTTCCTCCTGGAAACTATCATGGTTAATTCTTGATGAATTCATCATGATGGGCCAACTGGCCGGTTTTCATTCTTATAAATCTCCCTTCACTGGTGCTCCGCCAGCTTATCCCGTTAGTGCAGGCGGGGTTACCATACCATTTTCACCCATCATCAAAAAAAAAATATTAAATACTTTATCCTTGACAAATAATATCCGGTGAAACTTGCTTCTCGTGTATAAACGTAACCCGTTAAATATTCATTCTTCATTGAAACAAATTATGTAATGAACATACATTATACAGCCATTATAAGATACGTACACGTGAAGAGGTGTTCTCTTTTTCAAACGCAGCCTCAGATTTAAACTATAAATAACGGTTATTTTTTAAAAAAAGAACAATTCATTCACAAACCAGCAACTTCAAGCCGTCACAAAATTAATATTGATCAGTAATCACAAATGTTCTTATTTTAAAACGCATTCAAATGAACGAAGACATGTTCGGAAACGTTAGATTTGAAATATTTAAATTTAGAACGCGAATTCTGTGTGTACTAGTTGATTGTGTTTCGTAAAAAAAGCAGTTTTTTTTTATCTGCAACAAAAAATGGCAGCTTTAATCGTCATTTTACGAATATGGGACCTACGCGTGAGTAACTCAGTGGCAAAAGGAATTACCACCTAACTATATTTACCAGTATTATTTTTAATACGTATGTGCATTTTAAAATTATAGGTATTAGCATTATATCACCCCTAACTGTCCACTGGTGGACATAAGCCATACCCATAAGTGGAGTTTCGACAGTAGCTGCTACGCTTGGCAGGCGGGTTGGCTACCGCAGTCCTATCAATTGTAACAAAACCAGTTATTTTAAATTTAAAACTAAACTATTGAAGCAATTTCAAAAAACAAAATCTAGATATCAGTCCAATCTGTAAGTATATCCTTAAAATAAAAAAAAAAATTCCAAATAAATTTACAACCGACGGAGTTATGAAGTAACAAACATAAAAAAAAACAAATACAACCATATTGAGTCTCCTTTTTTGAAGTCTGTTAATAACATATATATAATTCTATATCAATATAAAGTTTCTTACAATTGAAGCCACCATTTTGTTTTTGAGTATTGCGACTTCGTATTCTAAATTTGAATATTTTAAATCTAACGTTCCAAATTTAAACATGACATCGTATGAACGGATGACCGTGCGTTATTTTGCGTTTTAAAATAAGAATCCATTAGTTTAAAACGCACTACACATTTTAATTTAAATTCAAAATATCTTTATTCACGTAGGTCTATTTTTTTTTAATGGGTGAAAATGGTATGGTTGCCCCGCCTGCGCTAACGGGATACGCTGGCGGAGCACCAGTGAAGGGTGATAGATGAGAATGAAAACAGGCCAGTTAGCACATCATGATGAATTCATCAGGAATTAACCATGATAGTTTCCAGGGGGAACCGCGAGGAGATCGACCTGATTAGGTATATTGCTAGCAATGGGATTCTCAGTCTGCATTACTAACAATCCCTTTCCCCCCCACGTAGGTCTATTCCAGACTCTTATGCTATGTCAAATCTACCGTCAGTTCGGAATGATATCGAGATGAGAAGAACTGACAAGAAACTCGGCTCGTGTTCTTTTCAAATAAATTTTATATTTGTTTACAATAATATGATCGTTTTAAAGTAATCATCATCATCATCATACCAGCCTTTAACTGTCCACTGCTGAACATAAGCCTCCTGTTTGGGAGGTTTTAGCCATAAATGCCACGCTCGGCAGCCGCAGTCAGGCTTTAGAGATGTTTTGTTCTGTTTATCCCTCGCCCTCCCTTAGTTGCCTCTTACGACACGCACGGTAAAAGAAGGGGTGGCCTATTCTATGCCGTAAAGTTAGGCTTTGGTGATGTTTTAAGAAGGACGCTGCTACCCATTCCTCGCCCACTTTTAGCCGTCTTTTACAATACTCATGGGAAAGGAAGGGCTGGGCTATTCTATGCCGTAAAGTTAGGCTTTGGTGATGTTTTAAGCGGGACGCTGCTATCCATCCCCCGCCCTCCTTTAGTCGCCTCTTCCGGGAAAGGAAGGGGTGGCCTATTCTATGTCGGGACCACTTAAAGTAACGGTCAATATTAATGCTTTCACTCAAGTTACTGTACTGTTAAATTTAGTTAACTGGAGTAGTTTAATATTAACTTTTACAACGAAGTATGAGTGAATGAGTATGCGCGCGACGGTAGCGGTGGTAATGGCTGCGCTGGTGGCGACGGCCGCGTCCACGTCCACGCGTGGGCCTGTGTACGACATCAGGCCCGTGCTGACAACCAACAGCAGTTACTATGACACCTTCACCGGTATGCCGACGTCGGAGGCGCGCGTCAACCAGTTACGAGCTAACAATCTCATACCGTGAGTTATAAACTTCTAGACAACTCTTGGGCGTTGCATTTCTGTGTTTCGGTTTGAAGGGTGAGATATGGCGTGAATTTACAGGGTACAGAGAAATAACACCTGAGTCCTCAGGAATGTCAACGCATGGGCAGTATCATGGGAGAAACAGTATACTCTGTTATGTCCATGGTACTGCTCATGTCTATAGGCGACGGTTACCATTTACCATCAGGTGGGCCGTCACCTTGTTTGCCATTCTAAGTTGCATAAAAAAAGGTCTTAAAGACATTTTAACAAAATCGTTTCAGAACT